CTCAATGGACGGTATGTTTCCCTGATTTAGATTATAATTCCTGTCTTTCCCCACTGACGTCTTCTGCGTCAATAGTCTCAACAAGACCGGTGTTATCTCCCCCCGCTACAACGTCCAGCTCCGTGACCTCGAGAAGTGGGTTGTCAGACTCCTTCCATCCCGTCAGTTCGGTTACATTGTCCTGACCACCTCTGCTGGTATCATGGACCACGAGGAGGCCAGACGCAAGCACGTTGCTGGCAAGATCATCGGATTCTTCTATTAGATCAAGCCATCTAGCCATGAATAAAAGTTTCTTATGATATTTTTAGCAGGTCCTTAGGTTCGGAGCGAATAGTGAATTTCTTTACTACTGGCTAATACTTGTACTACTTCCCTGCGGGGTATCTGCTATACTTGCAATGAGAACCGCGTCATCCATCCTACTACTTTGGGTTGTATTGTGTAGATAGCCTGTCCTTCATATCGTATTTGACAATCGAAGACTCTTGGCCTCTCTACGTAGTAGTTTCTGCTCTGCTGGTCATTGGTCGCGGTAACTGTGAGACCCAGAACCACCGCCAATGAGCCGAGGTGTTTGGTTCACCGCCTATATAGCCGGTTATTCTGCCGGGCATTATATCAACAGAACATAAATCTCATTTCTATTTTCCTTACTCATTTGCATAGATAGCGGTGTATTCTTTCTTTTTATAGAATTCCCCACTCTACCCGTTCTAATGCCCCTCGACAGGATATACTTGACCCGACATGGGGTATATTTGCAGTCTCCTCTGTGCCCGATGATCCAGTCTATTAAGCTGAAGCTAATATATGATATCATTTACAGCACCGTCTAAACTGGACTATAGACCTAAGCACGGGGACTTACCACTCAATGTACCCTACTCCCACCGGAATACCCGTCGACCCAATCCTGACAGGACCCGGGGTGCGCCAATCGCACGAACTGGCCGCGCACATCAATAGCGATGAATTCTTCCCAAGACCATGTAGAGTCTACAGCAGCCCGTTCTACAGATGTCTGCAAACTATCCAGCCCACCGTGGAGGTGTTGAAGGCCCGTCAGGAACTCGAGCAGAAACCATATGTGGATTTAAACGTGAGGGTTGAGAATGGACTAGGGTGAGTTCCCTCACCCCTACATATACATTTTAACAAAGCTAGAGGAATGAAACTCCAGCAGGATACAATGTAAAATACTGACATACCTTGCTTTCTGCCTGCACAGGGAATGGTTTGGTTCCTCATCCTCATTCGCACACCCAGCTCCCGCATCGCCAGAAGTTCTCCAAACCCACTTTCCCACCCTCCTCACCTCCTCATCCTCCTCAGATATAGAAGCCAACTCCACCTCACCCCATGCAAACTACAAACCACACATCTACCCTTCCCCCAACGGCGAGAATATCGCAGGACTCCACGACCGCATCGCGACAACCCTGGAAGCGATAATCGCACAAGTCGATGCGGAACTCGAAGCTTACGAGCGTGAGAACCCGTCTGAGGCGAAGCAGAGTCATGCTATTTTGATATGCACGCATGCCGCGCCGTTAATTGCGATGGGGCGCGCGCTTACGGGGGATATGCCGGAGGATACGTGCGTCGAGGACTTCAGACCGTTTACAGCGAGTTTGTCGACGTTTGTGAGGAGGTCGGGTCGTGGGGGTGGGGACGGAGATGGGAATCGGGATCGGGATCGGGATCGGGATAGGTATGGGGAAGGGTCAGATGTCAAAATGATTTCGGGGAAGAAGGTGCCGCGGTGGCAGGGTGGGGTGGGAGTAGGGGGTGGTTGGGATTGCGTAGGGAATGGGGAGTGTGGGTTTTTAAGCGGTGGGAAGGAGAGGGGATGGTATGTTTTTGAGCTCCTGTTTTTCTTCTATTATTTTCTAGATTTGTTTTACTAACGAGGCTATTAGGCACTTTAACGGGGAGGAGGATTTCGACACGACCCCGGCTGCAGCAGTTGTGACGGAGGCTGAGTGTTCGCCTGCGAAGTTATGAGGGTTTTGTTCACCCTTTTCTTATTCATGATGTACATGTACTGTACATACATCCTTGCGTCTGGGATATACCCACAAGGTTCAGTGATTAGGAAAGAATTGATTCCGAAATTGGAATACCGATATAACGCTTCTCGCCGCGATATATACGATCAATATATGATGATACACAACGTCTGGATAGACCTAGGCAAACTATAGAGGAATGTTTCAAGGAGGCATTGTTTTTCACCCCCTTGACTTTATTTTGTTTTAATATTTTTAATTTTCATATCCGTTTTTCACAATAGTATATTTCTGACCGCTGGCTATATTGAAGGTATGCACTGTACAATGAGGAAACATTGCTATTTGGGGGCATTTTTATTGTCACATTAACATTAATACTCTCGCTGACCAGGTGCTTAGATGATCTCTATGTAATGTTCGCTCAAACAACACCGACAAGACAAATAGAGGCATACAAAAATCAATGAAACAGAACAATCGATTCGGAGAAAGAAATCCAAACCAAACGAGAACAGAATACACAAGAAAGAGAAAAGCACAGTCATTCCCTGTCGTCACTTATAGATTAAGCGAATATGCCGCTTAGCAGGAGTACTCCAAATACCAGCCATTAGTAGCATCCTGCTTCATCTTCACAACCCCATCATGTTCCAGAGAAGAACGCAAGGTCAGCACTTCCTTGCAATCCATCGAAGTGACTCTGTGCGACTGGGCGCCCTTGACCTGCGGCCAGTTGGTGAAATCGGCAGCGCCAACGCTCTCCGCCCCAGCGGGTTCTACCGGGTAGATCTTGGCTAATCCAGAATCCTGAACGATGAATTTTCTTTTTTCGCCTTGGTCCCACTTGAGGTTGCACGTCTTGGCACCCTTGGGGACGTGGAAGGTCATTTCCTGATCCTGTTTCTTGTCGCCGGATTTGCTGAGGATGATGTTATGTCCGATCTTCTCGCTGCGTTGGCCATTGAGGATGGCGCGCATCTCGGGAATGCGTAGGACTCCGCTCTCGCCGGGTTTGCAGGCGTTTCGGGCAATTGGGCATTCTGAGGAGACGGGATAAGAATTTCTGGTTGGGGAGGCGGAGACGGACTGCATGCTCAAAGCGGCCAGGAAAAATGTGGTTGCTTGGAGGAAATGCATGTTGGCGGTTGTGGATTTGCGTGGAAGAGGAGGATAGTATCAAGAGGGTTATTGTTTCAAATAAACGATTCTTGCTGGTTTAGAATTGGAGCGATTGGTTTGGTTTATAGATTTCAGGCAAAGTTATCTGTTATTGGAGGAGTGATGATGAGATGAAAGGGGAAAACAACCATTCTCGAGGCCGGAGGAGGAGGCATATTTATACAAAATTTCGCTCCTTTCTGTGCTCGAAGCTCAACTCAGCTAACATCAGTCCCCCACACTGCTGGTTGGCTCGACAGCTGCGCTCATTGACATGGCAAGCCTAGCCTCTAAAGAGGAGTGGGAGTGGCTTAGGCGCATCCTCCCACGGTGGTGAACCCACAAGCTGAGATCGCGCTTGTTACTACTGGCCCCAGCGATATATAGCCGCATACAAACGTGTGTAAATATAGCCACGGCACAAACTTTCCATTCCTCCCAGCCTTAAAAGAAGCTGGGCGGTGACGAAGGAGCATTCCTTAGCTTCTTACCAAGCCCACAGCAAACGTTAGTCATCGCTAATGGGTAACTAGATAGCTCTGGCTGTTCGGCTGGAATTGTTTGCCCACAGGCCTGGTGTAGCTGCAACATGGCATGGCTCCAAATGCGACGACGATCTCTTTATCCCACTCTTCTGCAATCTTCTTGTTGTAACTATCCGATCCTGCCGATGCAATAATAAGCAGATCTTCTATTATTAGAACCAGGCACAGGACATCCCCGCCATCACTGGCCCATTTGCTCCCTCTTCCCGCTCCATCTCGGTATCAATAATAATCCCATAAGGAACCGTCGCGGCATCAGAATGCGGGTGAAAGTTCCGCGCGATTGTCAAACAAAAATGGCAACGGCTCAAGGGTGGCAGCCAGTGACGGCACGGTTTATTAACGCCGCATTAGAGGGCTCTATATCAAAAATATCAATTTTATTCAGATATTCAACTTGAGAGTACAACCATGCCAAGGCATTCTGCAATTACAAATTAAAATTATGTTCAGCTTCCCTTCAATCCACGCTTGGATGACACTAACCGTCTGGCGTCCTAAATTGAAAAGGAACAGGCAGAGCTTCTATCTAGGCCGTCACAGGCTCTATGGAAGCACAAACCATTTGCTACTCCATAGTTGTCACAAATTAACCTCATGGATCTATTTTCGCCCGAAGCGTGATGAGATACATCGATCGATTCACTGCACCTAGTTGGCTACCAGATGGCAGTTTGGAATTGCTCGCTCTCTATTGTGCTTTTTAACGTCCAGCCAGTTTACTTTGTACTAACTCGGTAGTTACTCAAGCTTTGTAAGGTAAGGTAAGCTACATTCATTATTCAGTGCATAGAAATGGTGATCGCTCTGATGTTTCCTCCAATTTCTAGCCTTGCGTGGAGGAACGCCAAAATGGTCAGCGCTGTTTATCTCCTCATTTCCCATGCTCTGTGCCAACGATGTTAATTCAAATACTACCTGTTGTTTTATTTATTTATTTTTTTCTTTTCTTTTCTTTACTGCAGTCGCTGGGCACTGCTCTGCCACCCGTGGCTTTGCGCTGTTAAGCTGATCACAGCCATCAATACTAGGCTGGGCTATGGAAGAAACCCATGTCCATTGAACTGGAAAAGTCACCTGCTGGTGAACGGAGTACGACTGCTGAGCCTTTCTCTACTCTCCTTCTCGCATTTGGTTTCCTGATGACACCATTTTCATCACATTCACTCTGATGGCCTTTCGTCTATATTCGGTCAATTTGTGGCATAGCCTTGCCACTATGAACACGGAATCAGGGACATAAGGTCTACTCGAAGCCCGCAACACCTATAGCATTTTTACATCCAGCTTAAAGTTGAGTTGATATTTGATCTAGTTTCTATTTTGCCTCCACTATAATTCTAACTTCCAAAATTCCGAGGGGATTTGTCAAACTACCTGTTAAACCGACAAGCATATCAGATACCTTCAGCTGGTACCTACCCCCCACCACAGGACTGATCCTTTTGGTGCAGTCGTTTATTGACCTATACTACCTAACCGGAGAGTAGACCGGTTCGAAATCCTTTCGATTACTCTCCGCTCCTAATATATCCGTCGTGGTGAATATTTAAGCACGTTCTTGAGGGTCAACAGTATGGGCGCTGTTGGCATTTGAACCCAACAGCACTCCTACGATGGGCGATATTCTATATGACTGCAGCCATCAGTCCTTCCGCAGTCACCCAGAACACACTGCCCCATGCCACGCTACCCCCTTCACTTTCCATGGGCTTCTCGCCCATCATTCGCTAGCTCCTGTCGCCTGGCATTGTTCACATTGATCCGAGCCTTCTGGACTTCTAAATTTATTATTAGGTAGGCAACAAAAACATGGTTACTTCAAGCTAGATCATTACGCACCTGCCCGAAGCGATATGCTAGGGAAATATTGCGGGGGAATGTGAGAGAGTCTCGTGGCTAACCTTAGAATATTAGGATACATACCCATGGATATTCTTGACTTTGCTGATTAAATATAGATCAACCCAATATTTCATTGTGAAGTTATCCATTATATTATATAGCCACAAATATCTGCACTGTATACATGAAAGAGGACATGCGACGGACCTTTACCATACATAAATCAGGCCGCTAGGGTATATGTACACCAACTGCCACTTCCCATTATGCGAACTTCCGCTCACACAACAAGAGCTGCAACCGCCATGGCCACACCACCAATAGCGCCCCAGTTGGCAGCAGCAGTGGCTAGAGGCATTGCCAAACCGGTGCTGCTGTCAGTGGTGGGAGCATTGGTCCCAGTCGGTGGAGCCTCTGTACCACTTCCAGTCGGCGTAACGCTCGCACCGCTAGAGGGAGCCGGAGCCGCCGTAGCTCCTTCCAGCTTCTCCAGGCCGGCTGTAATTGTGACTTTCCAGGGCGTGATAAATCCAGAGGTGGGGATTTGGGTAGATTCTGCGTACGAGGTGGAGAAGCCTTTGCCTGTTTCAGACACCATCAACACTTTCGTGCAGTCGGCCGAGGGACCTTGGATGGTGCATTCGAGATAGTGGCTCGCGGGGCTGGCGCGGGAGTTTTTTGTGAGCTTATGTGATTTTCGATTTCTCTCTATCCTCGTTGCGAGGGATGCAGGATTGGGAAGGAAGTGAGAGGACGACTCTAGAGAACTTACCCATCTTCGCCATACCCTTGGAAGCCCATTGCTACCTTGTTTGGGGGTGATGTAGTGTAACTCACGCCAGGCACGCCGCATTCGGTGTCGTCAGTCCCTGGGGCACATTCAAGGGCATATACCGTTGCGGTGGGGTCCTGAAGAGAGATCAGCCTTGCTTTAGCATTTCTTTTTGGTTATTTTTCTTCTTTTTTTCTTCTCTTTTTCCCCCATTCAACACTAGGGTCTATCATTCCTCTTTACCACATTTTCAGTATATTCGTCTTACCGCTTTGACCACAGAAGCCACTATCGGCTGTGGGTCGACTGGCCCAGGAAAGGCCAGTTCTGTCACAATGCTCTTCTCAGCGCGGCTCAGGCCAAGAAGGCCGAGGGACACCAGGACCAAGGAGATCTGCATTTTTGGGGAGTAGAGGCTTATCGAGGTATCAAAATATCGGCAGAGGGTCCGGGTGGCTGGCGTATCGAAAGCAAAATATATAAAAAAAAAGAGCGACGACGAAGTTGGTTCTAACGAGAGTATTTGTGCTTCTGAGTTGAGATATTACACATTTCTCGGGCCGGTGGGCGAAAGAATATATATATCTCAGGACAAATTTCAAGGCTTTTTAAACCCCTGTTGTTTGAATGGGAGCCTCATGTTAATAACGCTAGAGGCAATGGAGCTTAGGATCGCACTTGGATATTTAGCTCATCGTCTGGGGGAATCGAGGCTGGCCGATGCTATTTGCTAGAGAGATTTTGACGAACCCTTTAGCCAGAGTAAGACTAGGCTCATTTTAAGTGCAAGAGATTCTCTCCTCTAGGCACAACTACGAAGCGTCACCAAGTCGTGTTGACTGGCTGCTGTTCTTGACATTCTGCCCAATGAACTTCGGGGTTCACGAGTTTCGGGTGTTTCGAAGCAAAAGGGTAGGGAAAAACTAGTAGTTCATGTTCGGGTTCGGATAAAGTTTTTGGAACCTTCACAAGGATTTTTATGCTTAAAATCTTATTTCATTGAAGGCATCTGATTGGTTCCTTGACATGTCGGCTTTCCCCTTTTGCACATTATTTGTTCGGATCGTGAACTTTTGACTTCGTCGAGATACAAAGTTGCAATTTGATAGGCCACTCGCGAATATTCTCTTGCTGCCCCCTCCCAGCCACCCACCTACAAAACAATGCATCTTCTACGGCCATACTTGGTACTTCGCTAGTCCAAGATCACTAGCCATTTCCCCCGAGCGTCGCTAGCATTATTCTAGATATCTGGTATGATTGGAAAATGCCAGCTTGGGCTCCACAAATACTGCAAGCGACCTTAGAAGCTAGATCCACTGCTACGATCCCAGATCTACGTCGTATTCGTCTCGTTCCTGGCCCCGGCGCCAAACCCTAACTATACAAAAGTAATGGAGCTGCGGAGGTGTTTACCAGAGAGTATGTTTCCTGTATCACGGGTAAGGTTATGTTCTCGGTGTACAGAGTACTGTACATACAGGCGGAGTAGGTTAGGGAGTACACAAAACGCGTACAAGCAAACAAACCTTTGACGTTGCAGCTTTGTTTGCGCTGATGGCAGTTACGTCTGAATATTAAATAAAGTATATACGTCTATTTTTCAGTGGGAATGAAAGGAACAACAGCCTTGACGGATTTTCTTCTTTATTCCACCATTGAAGATTATGCTGGCAGTCGTCTGGGATGAGAGGCCCTGATCATACGGGCTTTTATTCCCATTCCATACAGCGTAAAACTTGAAACCTTATTTACTGAATATAGGGTTTAGTGATGGCCATCTCTCGAACAAGCCTCGTGGCGCACAGAGAGAGCCGGCCGGTTTACTCGGGATGATGACATCAGATGGGAATGCTGTTATTCCTGAGAATGATTAGGTCCAAGAATACATGGAATAGAATAGTTGACGTGGGTCAATTAACTGTGCCATGCTTACTCACTCTCTCTAGTGAGTGCGCCACAGTGTACAGAAAACCACACTGTACAGAAAATATTTTGAATATAGTGATCTTCAAAAATTAATTAATAATCATCATCACATCTATCTATAATATAAAGATTATCTATATACTCATTAGAAGGTGTAGAATCCACTGTAGGTTGAGATTCTATAGAATTATCTTATTATGGTTGAGTGACTGTAGATTTTGTAGATTTGATTCCAATCAATCAAAGATTCTTATTGAACTACTTTTTCATCTCATCTGCTCTACAGATTGCAATCTTGCAATTGGCATTCTTAATAGTGAGAACTCCACCTACTTGTACCTGTCTGTGAGAGGATTTGATAACCTGATATCTATTTGCTTAATAATGATCTGCAAGTTCACTCTCATGATGCATATTCAATTCCACCTAGATCATGCTACTCTTGAAGATCTTGTTCAACTGTCTTATCAAATCAGATGTAAGGATATTCTTCACATCTTCTAAGATCTTGACTGCTGCATTGATTTGGTGATATAGTTTTACAATCATCTCTGAGAAGGTTAATTGTAAGAAGACAGTTGACAGTTGATCTGCAGGTGATGAGATAAAGTGATTGTATACATCATCATCACCATTGTATATGTTGAGATCTGGGGCATCATCAATGGTAAGAGATCTCAATTGATTGAGAATTATATTGTGATTAACTGGATACATTCCACAGTCAGCAAAGTCAGCTCTCACAGTGCCAGGTTTGAATGCTTGCAGTCAGACACTCTTCAGATTAGCAAGGAATTGTCTGTCATCATACTGCTCATATCTGTAGCAGGCGGTCTCATTAATAATATCCAACTAATGAATTCATATCTTAATTGTCTCTTCCTGGCTGTCATTCAATGCTTGATTCATCCTCATAGTCCTTGATTTCTTTCTGTTGATCCTCTCATACAAGGTGACATATGGGACTTTGAATTCTTGTGACAGAGATGTGATTTTTAATTTTGAATTGCTTTTATACATGTCAACAGCTCTTTGCAACTGCTCCTCAGTGTAATTAGAAGATTTAGACATGGTTATAATTAATGATGATTATTTAAAGATGAAGAATGAAGATATTGAAAATATTTTCTGTATGATGTGGTTTTCTGTACACTGTGGCGCACTCACTAGAGAGAGTGAGTAAGCATGGCACAGTTACAGGCTATTCCACTCGTTTTAACCCTAGCTTGGCTAGTATATACGTTTCTAGTCATCCACGGAAAGCAGAAAGTCCTTCTGTCAACGGAGGATATTTACAGACGCTTCTAGGAGCCATGTGCGTCCGCTCATGACGACCAAATCTCTCGGTTTCCCTCCCACGTAAGGTCCAGTAGAGGTTCCAGAAGTGGCTAAAAAACTATTGCCATGCTGTCTTTCAGCAGCTAAGCGGGGACCTTTTACAGGATAATAACAGCAGCCATACAACTCCATTGACGCCTTGCTGCGCGAAACGTATAGACAGTGGTACATCGCGCACTCGAGGCTTCCCATCCCAGGCGAGGAAGTGGACGAGCAGGTCCAGCGGTAAGTGGGCCGGCGGGTAGGTGGGTGTCGAGATATGGTTGTGAGTAAACTGCGTTGGAAGTGAGAATTTATATATGTTGCCTTTAATTGTCCCCGTGGTTCTGATGTTGAAATTTTATTTAACCTATTTGTGCTGGGTGGTACTGTTTATCTTTTGACAGGTAGGTGTTTCGGATGGATATGGATGATGGTAGGAGGATTAGGATGGTTTTGAGATGCAGACGGCAACTTCGACCGACTTTGAAGCAAGGGCGTGAGGTGATGTTCCGGAGAAGAGGCTAATTGAATTCAATAAATAATGGAAGCCAAATGCAATTTTCGTGTTCAAGATCCAAAGCTTGAGGGGGGAAATAAACAGACGAATTTTCCTACCTACTCATACATGCATGCATACAAACAGGCATAATAACAAAAGTATTTCGCTGTTCAAAGTAACGAAATGCTCCAGGTCCGTAAAAGAGGACATATCTAACAAAGCAGTGCGGATTACTATATGGGCCAGTTTATCCAAACCAAAATATCACCTAGGAATTAAAATGGATGACAAATGCTGTGTGAAGAGAGCTGGGTATAGAAAAGAAAAAGAAAAATTAGAAGTTAGGGAGCGCCGAGAAGCATAAAAGGCAAATTACTGATGACACGATCATATCATTTCACGCAGCTTTCCCATAGATTTCATGTTTCGATGGCACGATCTTCTTCCAAGTCATCTGTGGGATGAGCGGGTTGTGGGTCTAGTTCCGGGACTGCGGCGTCCTCAGACTCCTCACCAGATGGGTCACCACGAGCTTCTGCTTCCTCATTCCCCTGCTCCCTAGCCTGGTTTTCCTCTGCCTCTCTTTCAGCGGCTAATTCATTTTGTCTCGCGGCTTCTGCCGCATTTCTAGCCGCCACCCGGCGCTCCCCGACACCCGGCACTAGACTTGCAAGGAGAAGAGCAAACGCTCGTTCCGCCGTCCTAAGCCTATTATAAGCACCTGCCGGTTGACTGTTGGCCATAGCTCCGTTATGCTGCGTTCCAACTGCGGGTCGAAGTCCTTCATTGATGTTATTGGGTTGCATCGGATGCACAGGAGGGACATTTGTGTCTACACCTCTGCGCGCTCTACCTGCGTCTCGAGGCTGGTGCGTATCCACAGGCAACAGATTTTCGAGATGTCTGTGTAATGGGTCGATAACCGCACGTTGTGCTCGCTGTAGTAAATCCGTTTCTGATAGAAGAGCTGTGAGGACTGAAAGTGAAACCAAAATAATCCTGAACCATGTACCATCTTCGCTGAAGATGTAGCAAAAGAAATAAAGTCTAACGAAAAGCCAAAGCCGTCCTAGTATCCGAGAGAAATTCGCTGGGCCCAAAAATATTCGATGTCGTTCCTGCTGTTGCAAGATGGCTTGATTCACCGCAGGTGGAATAATCATAGGATTTGGTGCCGCATGTGGCGCTTCATGTGGAATAAATGTTATGGGCGGGTGAATGGTTGGCCTATGAGCATGGAATGCCTGCGTTCCCGGCTGAATGGTACCCTGTCCGGGCGCACCAGTTGGAGGAAGAAGTACTGCATGGTAGCCAGATGGGGAAGATACTAAGTATATGGACGTCTGCGTGGGATCTTGAAGAGTGGGTGAGGGGTTAAATAAGGAATTTTGAGGTGAAGAGGTGAAGGAACGGGTTCTTAAAAGCCTTATTTGATCTACCCGAGCAGTAAGGGACGATAGTCGAGCGAGAAGGTTTTCAGGCATGATGTCTCTTGGCGCAAGTGGATTGCGATCCTGTTCATCCAGGATTTGGTAAAGTTGAATACGTGTACGACAAATACTCTCAATGGTCGGAAGCTGGCCTCGCCGTACCTGGCTTTCCATACCGAGTATTTGTTCAAGTATTGCGGGGATTCTTCGTCGATTTTCACCTAAAGTTCCCACGCCCATTCCGGTCTCACCGAGCCAAGTGGGACGACTGGGAGGAAAGCTTGCCGTGCGTTGAATGGGGAAAGGTTGGGTTGCAGAGGAATCGAACAATGTGGCCCTCGAAGAGGTTGATTGTGAGTCCGATGGGTTGCGATCTTGGTTACTGGGTATCGAACTCATCCGCTCGCTTTGTAGGTTCGGCGTCGACAACCCAAATCTCGTACCATATAAAGGTGAGTTGACATCAACATATAATGGCGAATCAATGTTATTCTGTATTGGGATACCGGCCGGATTTATCGCTGTGGAAAGTCCGGCTTGTGCGGGGCGATTAGTGGATGGCAACCGTGCGTTCTGAGCGATTTGCGCAGCCAGATGCTGATGTTGTGCTATGACCTGCTGGCGTAGAGTAGCTACCTGGTTGGCGGCAGTTGCAGAGTTGAACTGTGCTTGCACTTGTGGTCGCGGTGCTGTTGGGTCAGTGTGGCTTGTGCCGCTTGTCCGAAGGCGTAAGCCGGATGGCTCCTGTTGAGGGTTCGGCAGGCCGGGGTTCGGGAGATCTGGGGCGAGATTTGGTGGAGGAGGAATGGTAACTCTCACTTGGCTAGGGGGAAGAACAAGATGCATTGTGTGCACCCGACCCTAATCGCAGACCGAGTCCCATAAGTTTGTGACCTTCGGGACTAAAGTGAGAGGGGTTGAACTTACGTCTGCAGGTGCGACAATATTGCCTAGCTGGTCTTCATTGTTCAACAGAGGCTTTCCCCTATATATGAGTCTCTGTACATCTGGGCGAGGGTGGTTGGGTAACGCTTCAGACAGTCGAGTCTTCAACTCTAGGATCTTGATTGCAAGAGGAACGTTGTTCAGAGTAACCCGGTTCTGAAGGGATGGAGATACGATATGAAGAACGATAGTCTGCACATCGCTGCTGGATGCGCTGCTCAACCCATCTACGCCGTCTATATTCCTAGGCTTGGTATCTGTCGACATCCTGGCTTCTAGGTTTCCAATCTCCTCAGACTCCTCGTCGTTTGGAGTTACGGATGAACGTCCGGAGGCGCTGGGGGAGATGCCAACAATGCGATCAGAATTTGACGGCTGACGAAAGGCTATGTAAACAACATCCAGATCAGAAGTTGGTGGTATAAGATATGGTATTTAACCACACGAGATTAGTATGAACAAGAAACGTGTCGCTTCACCTGGAAGACGGACGGGGGAGATATGTGGAGCGAGGTGGAGGTGGGAGATGACGGCAGAATTCGCTGGGCAATCCAGTCAACACAAGCACAAACAGCTAGTACACAACAAGCTGGGTCATTCAGCGAACGAAAGACAGCGTGGAACCAAGCGCGGTATATTATTGCATTAATGACACCATCTGCCCGCGCGGACTGATCCTGTTTCAGTGCAACGATGACGATGCGATGCGGATGCTGGCAACGACTGGACTGACTGAGGTGGCCTGAACCCGATCCGGGAGCTGCTGACTCAGCGGCGATATCTTGCTCGGCTCGGATAAACATAAATCTGTAACTAATTGTATGGAAACTATTAACTCCATAATTTGCGAGTCAACTTTCCACGCTGACGTCGATTAGGGAGACAAATTGATTAGCAATTTTGCGCCTTTCTCGGGTCCACGTCTTGGGTTCAATTGGATTCATGGGTATGCTTATGCAACTCAGTGCCATGTCGGGGTGATAATCTGCCGCCTACTATCTCTATAATTTATGAAGCACTGAAGGGAAAACGCCGTTCAGCATGTTGGTCGTTAGACGGGCAGCTGTGTATCAGAATCGCGCCAGCTTCGTGGGAACTTGGGAGGCTGTTGCGGCAGAGCTCGCCCTATGCAGAGTGAATAGCAGGAGAATGCCCTTATCTCGAAGGCCGTTTTCCTCATCGTCCGGACGCTGGCAGCAAAATGGCCAGGGGGGAAAAGGATCACAGGAGAAAGAGTCGTTTCGGTCGAGATTGCGGACAGCTCTGGGGAACACCAAAGTTGAATGGTATCCAATTCCTGTCGGGCTGGGCATCGGGTTCTTGGGATTTGTTCAATTCTTCAGATCTAAAAGAGCAGAAAAGGAACGGCTGGAACGCGAGGGCAGCGAGGAAGTGTTGCCGCGGAAGAAAATCCGACCCTCTGGGCCATGGCAGGTTCAGGTCATGTCTACCCTTCCCCTGAAGGCTATGTCTCGACTTTGGGGCCGCTTCAACGAGCTGGTCATTCCCTACTATCTCCGCGTCCCAGGCTTCAAGCTTTACTCCTGGATTTTCGGCGTCAATCTAGACGAAGTTGCAGAGCCCGACCTCCATACCTACCCGAACCTGGCCGCCTTCTTTTATCGCGAGCTAAAGCCCGGTGTCCGTCCACTCGACCCAAACCCCCTAGCCATTCTCTCGCCAGCCGACGGACGAATACTACAGTTTGGGATGATTGAGAACGGGGAAGTCGAGCAGGTCAAGGGCATGACGTACAGTCTGGATTCTTTGCTGGGACATGAAGAGCTGAGCCCTGGCCACGAGCCGGTACATCCTACGAGGGCTCCAATACACCACAACGAACACCGCGAGCACACTAATAAAGACCCCGATAATGTGGCAGCAGACGAGAAGTTTGCTAAAATGAATGGAATCACCTACACCCTCCCAACCTTACTCTCCGGCACCGGAAAGGGCCACGCCCCCGGAGACAAACCACTAGACGCATCTATGCATTCCACCACCAGCTCCGAAGCCAAGGTCAGAGCCGACCTCGCCAAGGGCAAAACAGCCTGGTACATGCCCACGCCCACCTCAAATAGATCCCTCTTCTACGTCGTCATCTACCTCGCCCCAGGCGACTACCACCGCTTCCACTCCCCGGTGTCCTGGGTCGTCGAAAGCCGCCGCCATTTCGCCGGCGAACTCTTCTCCGTCTCCCCGTACCTCCAACGCACCCTGCCGGGCCTATTCACGCTGAACGAGCGCATCGTGCTCCTCGGCCGCTGGCGCTGGGGGTTCTTCAGCATGACGCCCGTCGGCGCCACGAACGTCGGCTCCATCAAGATCAACTTCGACTCCGAGCTGCGCACGAACAGCCTGACGACCGACACGGCCGCGGACCGCGCTGCTGCGGCCGCTGCCAAGCTCGGCGAGCCCTACTCGGGCTTCTCGGAGGCGACGTACCACCATGCCAGCAAGACGCTAGAGGGCCATGCGCTACAGCGCGGCGAGGAGATGGGCGGATTCCAGCTGGGGAGCTCGATTGTGTTGGTTTTCGAGGCGCCGTTGGGCGGGCGGCCTAGTTTTGACCTGGGGTGGATGGGGGAGCACCGTGAGGGCGGTTGGAAGTGGAAGATTGAGAAGGGGCAGTATGTGAAGGTTGGGCAGGCGATTGGGGAGGTGGAGAAGGCATAAAAGAAGCAAAAGAACAAGAAGAAGAAGAAGAAGAAGAAGAAAAAAGTCATTTTATAGATGGGATGAGCATGTGCTCGTGTGGGCGCTGTATCTACTACTTCTTTCTTGTATGTACTTTTTAACATTTTCTCTTGTCACTTTTCGGTGCATTTATTCTGCATTTTGGACCGGAAAAGGGGTTTGGGTTCGCTCATTTTTGTAAATTACATGATTCATGGTGCTCACGCATCCTCCTTAATCACATTTCATTTTCCTTTCTGAAGCCTTCGTAAGTATGCATGCATATATCGACCCAGCTCTCCCGGACGACTATTCTTGCATCACGGAGTGTAGATGTCTCCATAACGTTGATATCCGGAACCAGCCGTATATACAGGAACAGGCAAGACACACACACACACACACACCACTGCTGTCACTTACAAGTCTCGTCTCGTTGGCCAGTAGTTGACAGAGCTATCCGCGGTCTTGTGCGGTATTTCACCTGCGATTCAAATCCCCGGACTTACCGTAACGTAGACCTTAATACACAACAAGATTCTTCAAAAGGGAAAAAGAAAAATACCCAAGTCCTCTTTCCTCAACCCCTTGTCCATCATCATCATCATCATCATCATCATCACCATTCCGAATCTTGCAGCAGGGGCGTACATACCTCGATCTTCCACCTTATCCCAGCACCTGAATCCTCATATACAGCACACACACACCACACCGGTCCCGTAGACGATGAAACGAAAAACGAAAACGAAAAAGAGAAATTCTACCGCGCCCTGCCCACTTTTTCCCGATATTTATTTCGTTTCTTCAACTCCCCCATACCACACCATGTATATGCTTGCTCTCCCTTCCCGAAACTCCCGAACCCGCCGGACCGACCCGGGGTTTCAGAAAAAGGGGGGAAATAAAATAAAATAAAAGCAATATAAATAAACTCGCAATCGGAATTGGGAATTCGGAATTGGGATGATATCTCGGGGCAGGACAGGAGAATTTGAGCAGTAGTAAGATGAAAGGCAACAACACCCGTGGGGGTGGAAGAAGATGAGATATGATACGAAAAAGCAAAGAGAATGGGGGATGGGTGAGTGAGAATCCGATCTCTTTGAAGTTAAAATATGGCCGGGTCCAACATGCAGTAACCAGGACAACTTTCGCTATTTATTATTATGATTATTCCCTTCCTCCGCCGTGATGCTGAATAATGGACAGGTTGAGCCTGGCAATAATATAATTATTTGGGGAGCGGTGAATAATAATAATCCGTCCGGTGATTGGAATGGAGATGTCAAATCGAAATAATAAATACGGTTGTTACTCCGTTCTCCGTTTTCCGTTTCCCCCTCCCCCCTACCTACCCTACCCCACCCCGCTGGTATGTCCATAGACTCCATACCATGGGTTCTTATTCTTTATCATTGTCGGACCGATGTCGATGGGGGTGGTTGTGGGACGGTAGGACCTGAGCCTGAGAGGTTTGGAGCTGTTTAAATGATAGTTACCAAAAACGAAAGGGGGAGGGAAAACGTGGAATGGAAGTGGAAGCAAAGAAAAAATAAAAAATAAAAATAAAAATAAATGGAAATAAAAGTGAAAACTTTTTGGGGTTTTTTTTTTTTTTCCTTTTAGTTTGAATGGTGGAAGAGAAAGGTAGCAAAAACAACAATCCCTATCTGCCCAACTCCAGGTCTGCAGTCAGTTTATTATTTTTATCATTAGGCAAAAGAGCTCTCTCCTCGTTGCATCATGCTTGGGGATTTGCCAAAGGCCATGAATAACCAATGGGAAAAATGGGGGCTCAGAGCTATTTTGATTCGGTTGTTTCTCTTCTCTTCTTTTCGTTCTTTTCGTTCTTTTCGTTCTTTTTCGGCTTCTCTCCGCATTCCCTCCTCCGTTCCCATTGCTTGCCGTTCCCCCCTCTCCTCCTCCTGCTCCTCCTCTCAAAATCCCACTGAAGCTTGCCCGCGGCGTTAACAGCCCGTGCTAACAACCCTCCCCTGCCCCTCCCCCCTAGCGTTTTCTCTAAACGCCGATGACATCGTCCTTCGATTATTATTACCGCGTAATAATAATACCTGCTGTGAGTGCCGGTTGATCCGTCCAAGAGTACGGAGTACGCATGCACAATCCCTACCCCCTCCCTAAAATAACGATGGACGATAATCCCCCGCCGCCGCCGCCCGCCCGCTAGCTAGCTACTAGCTAGCTAGGGCGAAATAGATACATCCTCCGTACATCCTTTTAGGTCAACCTTGGCTTAGGCTGCGCAATGCGCATGCATGCATGCAAGCAACCTTACTCCGTACTGTGGAGTTACCTACCTTGCTTGAACACACCTGTACTGCGTAATCCCAAGTTCCAATCTAACCTGCCTGCTGCTAAGTAGCTCGGGATCGGGGTTGTCTAGTTTAGTTTAGTGCAATAGAGATAGGATGGGGATAGGATAGGATATGTACTCCGTACAGTAGTATAACGATAACGATGCATGATCGATGGGATGATATGTAGATTGATGGAGTGTTCCAGAATCAAATCGTCGTTTCGTCTTGTGTCTACCAAGAGCCTGCACCACGCCTTGGCGGGGGCTTCTTCCTTGAGAATTCGCTCATTACTGTGTACGGAGTATGCGTCGTCTCTCTAAAATAAGTACGGAGTAGTGTCTTGAGAATGCACACTAACACTATCTGGTCTCATCATCATGGAGAATCAGACCAGCAGGCAGTGGCTGCAGATCAGGCTGAGAGAGCAGATGAGTACTCATGTAGTAATAATGTAGTTACTGTATGTGCGTGTTGTAAATTATTATTTATCTCCATCTCTTCAACTCCAGCTCCGGCTGTGTATTGTCCTATCCCTATCCTATGTTGATAGCTACATTTTAGACTAACTTTGCTTTTTACACTTTCTTTTTTTTTTTTCTTTTTTTCTTTTTTTTTTCTTTTTTTCTTTTTTTTCTATTTTCATTTTTTCTATTTTCCTTTTTTTTTTTTCTTCTTTTTCCTGAGCAGGGCCGTGATCCGCAGCTGGGACTAACTGGTGGCGGAAGCATAAAAGAAGCCTTGCCTTGTAAGGTGGAAATCCGAGGAGGGAGAGCGAGAGACAACGGATACAGAAGCTAAATTCCCCTTGCCCACTTAGCCGAACGCCTCAAATAAGAATTATTATAGAGGCCCATGAGGCCAATGACGTGTGGAGCAAGGAGGGGCAGTGGGATACACAGAGATACAGCAGTACACATATAGTCAATGGGGCGGGGCGGGGTGGAAATAGTACTAATCATAATAATAATAATAATAATAATAATAATAATAATAATAATACTATTATTGAGAAGCAAAAATAATGGATAGCTTCTGTCCCCATTATTCAATGCTCCTAGGAGGTGTCAATAGTACAGGGAAACGTATAGCTGTTTCATAAATGCAACGGAAAGAAGGACCCCAATTATTTTGGTTCTGAATAATAATAATAATAATAATAATAATAATAATAGTAGTGGATGGACAAGATATGCGGTGTGCTTGTACGCAGGAACAGTGCGACAAACGGTATTATTTTTCGCATGGGAATTTGGTGATCAATCAACCCCCATAACTTACTATACTCCATACTCCATACTATACTCCATACTCCGTACTCTGTTCCGTGCTCGCTCTTCCCATCCGATTCCCCCATGCTCTATCCAACCCCCATGCCGCTCACCGCAATGTGCATTTATGCTGATAATAATGGGGGGAATGACAATCCGTTTCCGTTGCCAAGAGCGCGGCGAGAAACGTCAGGTGCAGTGCAGAGCTAGATCTAGCCACAGAATACATCATCCATTATTTGCTGGTTCTGAGGGAGAGAGTCGGGAGGAATAATCATAATCACAAGAATAATAATAATAATAATAATAATAATAATAATAATACATATGATGCCACTCTGGAGGAGAGATTCTCATGAGTTGAAGTTGAAGCACGCAGGCGGATAATTGCCATTTGCGGAATGGTTTTGGTAATATAATCTGTACCTGAAACAGTCATAATAATAATTAATAACTTACAGCAGGGGAGAGAAAGAAAGAAAGCTTCTGGAAGATACAGACCGAACCGACCCGCCCGAGGTTGAGGTGGTTGAGGTTTGTATAAGTTACTACAAACTACGTAAGTTACCGTGTATGTACATGTACATTACATACATGTAGTTACAGCGAGCGTATTGATTCCATTCCGAACCCAGTCCGGAGGTGTCGCCAGTATAGTATCATTATCATTATTCCCTATTCCCTATTCCCTATTCCCTTTTCATCTCTCTCTCACTCTCTCTCTCTCTCTAATAAGAAACTATTCGAACCTATTAACCTTCCTTCCCCCCCTCCTCTTACGACAGGTCACAGAAGAGTTCCCGCTCTCCTACGAATGGAAAATGCCGACGACAAGAACAGGCAAATAATTGTTTTTTTTCCCACCTGGACGCTAAGACCCCCGCCAAGCATTCCTCCCCAGGGATGCGGTCCTCAGTGTAACCTTGGCCAAGCAACAGTTGGCCAATGGCCTATACGTGGTGGTGGTAGTGGGGGGGAGGGACGGAGGGGGAAGAATGGGAGAGAGGGGAGAGGGAGAAGGGGAACCAAACACACAGCGGAGACAACCTACTAGGAAGATGAAACTGGCTCATGTGTCATGGTTGGGGAGGAGAGGAACAAAGCACAGGCAATCCATGGACCATGAGGTTCTCCCATCCGTTGCTAGGTTTGAAAAGGGCAAGGCTTCGAAATGTTATCAGGATTAAGTCTCCACGCTACCGTGGGTCAAAGACTCAAAGGACACTGGACACACTCATCACTCGCTCGCTCGCCCACAGGTCAACAACTATTCTAACCAGCAAACTCAATACGCTGGGAGGAGGAGGAGGAGTTACAGCTTGTAACAGCTAGAGGAGGGGGAGGGGGAGGAGGGGCAGGAGGAGGAGAGGGGTGTCTTTTCTCTTCTTTTTTTTTTTCTGTGTGGGCAAAAAAATAAAAGAATAACGACTGGATTAATATCTGGTTATTCCTGTACAGTGTACAGCCACCTGGAGGCTGGGGGCATGACGAGAGAGTTTACATTAATATTTTTAGTATCTGATTCCTGTTTTGTTTCCCACGGAGGCGATTTTTTTTTTCTTTTTCACTGGATTGGATTATCGGATTGGTTATTTTGCGCATTTCCTCTGGCCAAGCCGGGCCAAGATTTCCCTACGCTTTAATAAGAAGTCCTCTGCTGCCCGCTCCCACAAGTCCCACCGGTGGTATGAGATGATGATGACTGCCGGGATTGCTGCGAACACTCCCTAAGCTGCTCCGTATACCCGTCGTCATATATAAGTTAACCGGCTGGCCCGCCCTGCCCAGCTACTGTTTCCTTTTTTTTTTTTTTCCTCTTCTCTATCTTCTCCTCCCCGTCTCCCGTCAGTCATTTTGCTCGGTGATTCATCTGCACAATAGAGAGAATCGCGGGCTGACTGACTGACTGCGGAATCCCCCTTCCCCCCGGACTAGCTGAGCTCCTGTTCCCTTGTTCTATGCTTGCATACCGTCCATAGCCCTTAAGTGTAGCTTCAGACAACTCTCCCCTCTGTCCGTGAATCAAGAAGAAAAAAAAAAAAAAAGAAAGAAAAAGAAAAAGAAAAGAGAAGAAAGAAGGAAGGAAAGAAAGAAAGAAAAGGGAAAAAGAACAAGAAAAGAACGAAAAAAATTATAAACGAAACAAGAATTCCGCTTCTTCTGTCTTGTCGGCCAAGGTCTCCTCCTCTCCAAATGAGACCAGCCCGCTCTTCCATCGTCGCTGTTCGTACATATATCCAATCTACAACCAAATATTACTACCATTTAAAGCAAATATCTATTGCTTAAAATAATCTCTTTTCTACCATCATCATGGAGAAATCAGAGAAACTCCCTCCCAACAGCGACACAACCTCGAGCAACGGCGAGGAGAAGGGCCTCCTCTCTCTCCCGGCCCATTCGCTCTCCTACGATACCGTTATTCGCGAACTAGGAACCGATCCCGAAGATGGCCTCTCTATCGAAGAAGCCAAGCGCCGTCTGGAGACCTATGGTCCCAATCAGCTCGAGGGCGGCGAGGGCGTCTCCATCGTGAAGATTCTCGTTAGCCAGGTGGCCAACGCAATGATGCTAGTTAAGCGGCCCACTTTCCCCCTTTCCCACCCCCTGTTTATTCTGTATGGAACTCTGTTTGGCTGATCTAGTGTTATGTTGTCGTGGTGTAATAGGTCCTTATCATGGCTATGGCCGTCAGTTTTGGTATTCAATCTTGGATCGAAGGTGGCGTCGTTGCCGCCGTTATCATCCTCAATATCATCGTTGGCTTCTTCCAGGAGTACGCTGCTGAGAAGACCATGGATTCTCTGCGTTCCTTGAGTTCTCCCACGGGTAACGTCTCGCGAGAGGGGAATACCTCTACCATTCCTTCACTCGAGATCGTTCCCGGTGACATGGTTGAACTCAGGACTGGTGACACAGTCCCTGCGGATATCAGGTGAGTCTTGCCAAAACACAATATAAATATTATCTGCAGGACTGGTGAATTAATTGTTTTCTGTAGACTCGTGGAAGCCGTCAACTTCGAAACCGATGAGGCTCTGCTTACCGGCGAATCCCTTCCCGTCCAGAAGGATGCGGACCAGGTCTTCAAGCAAGATACCGGCCCGGGCGACCGACTGAATATTGCTTACAGCTCTTCAACCGTAACCCGAGGCCGCGCCCGTGGTGTTGTTGTCTCGACCGGCATGAAGACTGAAATCGGATCCATCGCTGCCGCTCTCCGCGCAACTGACTCGAAAGTTCGTGCTGTGAAGCGGGGGCCCGAGGGCGAAACCAAAAAGCGCTGGTACCTGCAGGCATGGGCTTTGACCGGCACGGATGCCGTGGGTAGATTCCTCGGTGTCAACGTCGGCACACCCCTGCAACGCAAACTCTCAAAGTTGGCTTTGATTCTTTTCGGCGTTGCCGTGCTGTTCGCTATCATTGTCATGGCTGCGAACGAGTTCAGCAGCAAAAACGAAGTTATCATCTACGCTGTCGCAACTGGTCTCAGTATGATTCCCGCCTGTTTGGTTGTTGTCTTGACAATTACTATGGCCGTTGGCACCAAGCGGATGGTTGAAAGACATGTCATCGTTCGCAAACTTGACTCGCTGGAAGCACTTGGTGCCGTCACCAATATTTGCTCGGACAAGACTGGAACGTTGACCCAGGGCAAGATGGTGGCCAAGAAGGCATGGATCCCATCCCGCGGTACATATTCTATCGGAACTTCAAATGAGCCGTTCAACCCGCACGTTGGCGCTATGGGCTTCGAAGCCGCGCCCCCCGTGAAAGCAGCTACCAACGACGAACCGGCTGAAGGCATCTCCCCGGAAGACCTTCTCAAAGACAACGACGATCTTGTCAAATACCTCGACATTGCGTCCATGGCTAACCTTGCTCACGTCTACAAGAATGACCAGGATATGTGGCATGCTCGTGGCGAGCCTACAGAAATCGCTATCCAGGTCTTCGCATCTCGCTTCAACTGGAACAGGGACCGGTGGACCAAGGGTGACAATGCCCAATGGCACCAGAAAGCTGAATTCCCCTTCGATTCTAGCATCAAGAAGATGTCTGTTATTTTCGAGAACCGGAACGAAGGCCGCCAGATGGTCTACACGAAAGGTGCCGTTGAACGTGTTCTTGAGGCATGTACCACCGTCGTGTGGAACCAGGGCGAAGGGCCCATCCCACTGACCGAGGAGCATTCTAATGAGATCCTTGAGAACATGGAAGTCATTGCCGCCCAGGGACTGCGTGTTTTGGCACTCGCCGGTCGGGAATACAAGGGATCGCAGCTGGAGGATGGCGATTACAACCGTGACGAAGTTGAGAAGGACTTGACCTTCCGCGGCTTGATCGGCCTCTACGATCCTCCTCGCCCAGAAACCGCCGGCGCTATCGAAGAATGTTTCCGTGCGGGTATCTCCGTTCATATGGTTACTGGCGATCACCCTGGTACCGCACGGGCCATTGCTGCCCAGGTTGGCATCATCCCAAGCGACCTGAGCAATGTGGCGAAGGATGTTGCTGACGCCATGGTGATGACGGCTGGCCAATTCGACAAACTCACCGACGATGAAGTTGACGCGCTGCCCACTCTCCCACTGGTCATTGCCCGATGCGCACCAAATACCAAGGTCCGCATGATCCAGGCACTTCACCGACGCGGCCGCTTCTGCGCCATGACCGGCGACGGAGTCAACGACTCGCCGTCTCTCAAACATGCCGATGTTGGAATTGCCATGGGCGAGTCTGGATCGGACGTTGCCAAGGATGCCTCCGATATCGTTCTGACTGATGACAACTTCGCCTCGATCCTCAACGCCATCGAAGAAGGTCGCCGTATCTTTGACAACATCCAGAAATTCGTCCTCCATCTGTTGGCCGAGAATATTGCGCAGGCCTGTACCTTGTTGATCGGATTGGCGTTCAAGGACGCCGATAACCAGTCCGTGTTCCCGTTGGCACCCGTGGAGATTCTCTGGATTATCATGATCACGTCCGGAATGCCTGACATGGGTCTCGGTATGGAAATTGCCGCTCCCGATATCATGGATCGTCCACCTCAAAGCGTATGTTGCCATTCCCCCCCCCCCCCCCCCAAAAAAAAAAAAAAAAAAAAAACCCCCACCAATCTCTCTAAAAATAAAAATAAAAATTCTACTCTTTGTTCAGTTTTCTAACACCCCAAAATCTCAATACAGAAACAAGGTATCTTCACCTGGGAATCATCATTGATATCCTCGCCTACGGCCTCTGGGATGTCTGCCCTCTGCCTTGCCTCCTTCACGCTTGTACTGTACGGATTCGGCGACGGCAACCTCGGACGCGGCTGCAACACCACCTACACCGACCAGTGCGATACCGTCTTCCGCGCCCGCGCCACCACCTTTGTCTGCCTAACGTGGTTCGCGCTCTTCCTCGCGTGGGAGATGGTCAACATGCGCCGCAGCTTCTTCCGCATGCAGCCCAAGTCCAAGAAATACTTCACGCAGTGGATGCACGACGTGTGGCGCAACCAGTTCCTCTTCTGGGCCATCATGGCCGGCTTCATCACCATCTTCCCCCTGCTGTACATCCCCGTCATCAACACCGTCGTGTTCAAGCACAAGGGCATCTCGTGGGAGTGGGGCATTGTCTTTATCGAGGCGACGCTGTTCTTTGCCGGTGTCGAGGCGTGGAAGTGGGGCAAGCGCGTCTACTTCCGCCGCCAGGACCGCAAGGCCAAGGCCAAGGCGTCGTCTGGCGATGCGCGGATCATCGATAGTGAGCAGTAGAAAAACAACGCGCGTGCGCGCCGCCCCCGAGGAGGGTGGGGAGAGGGGGGGAAAATTGGTTTTTTTTTTTTTTTTTTTTTCCTTTCTGTTTTGGGGGGTTGATTGTTTTGCCATGTACTCCGTATGTGTTTGCGACTGTTGCGAGGATTATTTTTTGTTCTCTTTTTCGCGCAGCACAAGCGGGTGCGTGGCAGGGTCTCTCAGCCTTGCTTGGTTGGTCCCCCCATCCATCAATCATCCCATCTCTCTCATCCTCGAGGCTCAACATTCGGTGGTTGCTCGTTCACTCGATTTTCCCTCCCATCACACCCCGCGCCTGAAAATAAGGGGCCCAGTTCTCTGAATGGCTGGGCGGGTGGAAAGGGAAAAAAAAAAAAAGAAAAAAAAAGAAAAAAGAAAACAAAGCAAATTCCAATTCCTTTTCAGTGGAAGAAAAAGGAACCTCACCTCTTACATTCACAAAATGCGCACTCGCCGCCTCCACCAAAACAAAACAAAAGCACTCGAGTCAGTGTTGCGAACGCGCAACTTTTTTCGGGACGGGGGATGAGATTTGGTGAGCTTGATATATATTTTTCATTTTCTTATTTTCATTTTTTTTTTTCCTTCCATCTTAAGATAGGTAAGTAGTAGGGTGCGAAACAAAAGAAAATGATGAGCGAGAACGAAAGAAAAAAGAAAAAGAAAACGAAAGAAAGAAGATGAACAGGGAGGGGGATGTTGAAGAAAAGTTGACAAAGAAAAAGTTGGGATGCATCATGGGAATTCTCGGTGCATAACAAAATTCCCTTCTTTTTTTTTGGACTTGCAAATGCGATTTTTATTTTTTAAATTGGAGTCGCATAGACAAACAAAAAAGCATTCCCTTGCTTTTTCTCTCTTTCTTGAATTTTTTTTTTTTTCCCTTTATTTTTTTTTCAAAAGAAGTACGGAGTAGTTTACATACACATGGCTAGATAAAAAAAACGGCAATTACCCACAGTTTGTGCTTATTTTTTTTTATTTTATTTATTTGCTTTATCTATTTTTTTTCTTTAGTATTATTATTGTCTATTATCCATCTCATTTTACTTTCAGGATTTTTATTATTATTATTATTCTTGTTTTTGGTTATGTTCTTGGAAAACTGTGATTGATTATTATTGATTTCTTCTACGCGTCTTTTTTCTCTTTCTGGGGGCGGCTTCAAAAGGGCCGTGGAGTGGATGGAGTCAACAACCTCTTCGCCCAGCCAGCTTGTTTTCTAGCTGCGTTCTTCAGTTAGTTTTTTTTATGTATGCAACTTGACGAGCAAAATAGGGTAGTTAATAAATGGAGTGCGTATGCATCATGAGCGGTTAAGATCCTACCTCCTGGCTCAAAATCGTCTGTCTCTTCAAGAACTTGCTGCAAACTGCAAAATCTCATTCCATCGTGGATGGAATGTTAAGAGCATCTCCTTAATTCTCAACCTCGTGCGGCGCCGGAGAGAAGGGGGAGGAGCTATGTGATCTGAATTGGCAATTTTTTCCAACACCCTCCCTCCTCCTCTGGTTGCGAGCTGCCAAACGTCCGAGACCCAGACCCAGACCCCCGAAGTATGTTTGACATTTTGATAGCCTATTTTCTGAGTTTGTGCACACTGTTTTGAGCCGTCAGCGGGAACAGTTAGATCTCTCGAGCAGGCTTTTGGTGCATAAATGACACTCACTCCTCTTGCAGATGAACCTGATATCAGGCGTTTAATTCAGTCAGGTATTGCATGGAACTCGTGGGTTTAATTAAGGCCTCCAGACGGTTCGTCACAAGTAGGCAAATGCTGCTCAGCCTGGATACTCAGCTTCAACAGTTTGGCTCTCATCTTTACCAAACTCCCACCGTAGCATTGTGGGCGGCAAACGGTCAGGGGATTAATTGCCAAAGGGAGAGGTAGCGACGGTAGGAAGCGCTGTAAATCCGTATTAACGAAAGGTTCCAGAAGGGGCCTTTGTGGCGCAGCAGCAGGCAGCAAGATCCTCCTGGTAAAACAGTCAGCAAGCAGTGGATCAGAAAGAGAAGAAGAGGAAGAGGAAGAGGAAGAGGATGAGGATGAGGATGAGGATGAGATTGAAGCAGCCAGATGGATAGATATGATATGTTAGATATCAGACTTTCTTATATATTCATTATTCCTTCAATCCTCAAATCCTTACCCCTGAATCCTTGGCGCCATCATAAATATTTAGCTAATAATTTATTATTGAGCTTCAGAATTAAAAAAATAAGAAGTACTCGCAGAAGAAAGAAAGAATAAAATATATCCCAGTTAGTTATTTTATGCCATTAATTATTCAACTTTTAAATATAAAAGAACAATTCTGCTCAAAGGGCAGACAAATACAACAATTCCTTATTTAGCTCTGTTGAAGACTCATTTTCCTTTTCTTTTCTTCTTTGTCTCTTCTTTTTTTTTTTTTCTTGTTTCTTTTCCCCCAATATTTAAGTTAACTATTATAAGTTACTATTATTTAGTTATTTAGTTAGTTAATCATTAATGCTCCGAAGTGACGTCGCATTAAATATTTAAATATTTAAATATTTATTATTTATTCCACCTTTCTTCTACAGCTTGCTGGATGTTTATTTCTCTCCTTCGACATTCCTTTTCATCCGCAGCTATTCTCAACTATTTTATTTCCCTTAGACAACTAACTTATTTAGTCAATTATAATAATTAAAAAAATAATCCATCATCATTGCAGAGTGAGTGAGTGAGTGAGTGAGTGAGTGAGCCCAGCCCCAGCTGCCATTTCCATTTGTCCTGTTTTTCATTGCTCTCTATCTATCAATTGCTACAGAAAGAAATAAACAAAATAACAAACAGCCTTGCGGTGTTCCTTCTTTCCTCCCGCCGAGCATTGTCAGGTTGTATTTAATTCTATTGTACTGTACATGACCATATTTATAATTTATAATTTATATATTCTAATCCAACACAACAGTCTACGTTTTGCTACGCAGTAATCTCGAAGAATTACTGTTTGTTTCGCAGTCTTGTTTGTTGTTTGGACCCCCCCCAAAAAAAAAATTAAAAATTAAAAAATCAACTCTCCGCCTCCTCTCCTCCTCTCCTCCTCTCCTAACTATAACAAAACAAACCATCCGCATCCTTTTTCACTCCAACACACTCTTTTTAATTCCTTCCTCCTCCGCGAATCCCCCGCATCCAACCGCCTACATTTCCACCATCAACCGCCCTCTGCTCCGGACTGGCGGGCAATAATAACCCATACCTGCTTGATAGCTCGATCGTTCCCACTTCACCTTTATTAAGTAATAAGTTGTCCTCACGGTTAACTAGTTACCACTTCCAAGCTCCGATCCGACACCTCCGCAGTACCCGTCTTCGTCGTTTTTACAACAGCTTCAGGCAGGCTATTCGAGGAGGGATCGCCTTTTTCTTACAAAAATGAGTATGCGCACGAGAAGGCAAAAGGCCGCTGCAGCAGCAGCAGGCGCAGGTTTAGCGCCACCGTCACCTCATGATGAGATAGAGGATTCCATGCCCACCGTCAATGGTTCTGTGCACAAGAGCAACAGTACACCCCCCCCCCATTCCACCTCGTCCTCTACCTCCTCCACCTCCAAGCGGAGACGATCCCGCTCCCCCGCCGTGGTAGCGGAACAGAGAGAGAATATATTCCTTTTCTATCCTAATATAATCGGTGGGTTTTAACTCTGCTTTTTCCTTGTTATGTCTTGTAACGCTCTAACGCCCTCAAATGCTAACCCGCGTCCCGTCCTATCCTCTGTCTTGACCCCAGGCTACTTCCGTGTTTTCCTCGCAATCGCTTCCCTCTACTATATGCCCCTGCACCCGCGAACTTGCTCTCTCCTCTACAGCGTATCGTGTCTCCTGGACGCCCTTGACGGCGTCGCAGCCCGCCACTTCAACCAATCCACCACCTTCGGTGCAGTTCTGGATATGGTGACGGATCGATGCACTACAGCTTGCCTGCTGGTGTTCCTGAGCTCTGCATGGCCACGGTGGGCGATTATGTTCCAGGGCCTGATCAGCCTCGATCTCGCAAGCCACTACATGCATATGTATGCAACGTTGACAATGGGTGGTTCGGGTCAGAGCCACAAAAAAGTCGATTCGAGCAGGAGTTGGATCCTGTACCAGTACTATAATAGCAGGGTGAGAACTATACACTCCAACAACAACAAACAATCTTATTATCCATCATCCATCCCATTTAACTAATGCTTTATGTACGCCCCACAAAACAGACCGTCCTCTTCATCTTCTGCCTCTTTAACGAACTCTTCTTCATCGGCCTCTACCTCCTCTCCTTCTCCTCGCCTACCCTATCCCCTTCCCTACTGCAACCCATTGGCGGCGAAGGAGGACTAGGAGTAGGGTGCGGCACCGCCTCCGCGCAACCAGGTTCTCCAGCACTCGCTCCACTATCCAGCCTCTTCTCCAGCCCCTGGAGCGCCGGCGCCCTCGAGCTTGCCCGCGCGAACAAGATGGACAGCTTCTGGCCATGGGTCATCACGGGTATTTCGGCGCCGATCATGGCGGGGAAACAGTTCATCAATGTTGTGCAGATGGTTAAGGCTAGCCGGTGGTTGGCAGAGGGGGATTTAATGAGGAGGAGGCAGCAGGGATTGTCGTCCGGAGCTAAGAAGCGGTGATGATAAAAAGTGGTTATGTTTTATGTTGCTGCTTTTCATCAATCGAATGGAATCGAACTTGGGCTTGTCGATTACGTTTTGGAATGGATGGGAAACACTCCTTTGTTTTGGTTCCCGCTCTGACCTTACGCGATACCCACACCGGAGAGAGTATGAGTGTGGGCTGCCAGTCTGGTTTCCCTTTCGTTCGGTCTGTATATTTTCTCTTTCTTGTTTTCTTTATTTTATATTTTATTGCCCTTGTATGGTCTTGTTTCTATTTCCATTAACCATTTGCCCCAATGGGAGTACATTTTCTGGGTAGGGTTGGGGGACCTATATGCAAAATTGAGGAGGGAAACAAACGATGAACAACAGGTTGGCTTGACATGAGCGGATATGTGGTCCTTCTATTTCTTCTTTTTTTAATTCCTTTTTCGCATTCTTCCCATTCATTGGCTTCTTGCTTGTCTTCTTGCCTTCTCCCTCTTTGTATTTCTTAATATCTCATTCTTTTGCAAGCAGCGATTCGATTACTCATTCGCTTTACTTATGTATTCATTTTCTGTCGAGATCCACCTCATTCTTTTTAGTTCATTTATTATTATTATTATTACTCTTCTACTTTTCTCTTCTTCTTGTATTCTGATTTCTTGACCTTGACTCCTTTTTTACTATTATTTCTAATTATTATCATTACGTTTAAAATTTCTATTTATTTCGTATCTTCTCTAGCATTGTTGTTTTTCAGCATGTTTGACCGAGTTCTCTTTCAGTTCTCTTCTCAGTTTCTTCTTTTCCTTACCATTTCTCTTTAATATTTTTCTTATATTGTCTTTCTATTGTTCAATTTTTTTTTTCTTCCTTGTAGGTTTTGTCAAGGTGTAAAAAGAAAGCTTTATAACTCTGCTGATTTTTTACTTTTTGCTTTCTTTTATATGTTAAATTCAATCGCCGTGTTATTTCTTCTTAGGTCAATCTTACTTCACAGTTAGCCTTCATATCATAATCATGAGCAAGCCTGTGTCTCCCTGGTTCAAAGTTGTTCTCGGAATCGAATTTATCCATTATAGGTAGTTCTGAGCTCCCTCACATGATCTGGCGTCAGGCACCCCTTTCCTAGATAATTTACACGCGCGCCAATCCTCCGCAACCAAAACAACATTTTCCGTCCCCGCAGCTCGAGAAAAGAGAAGGGGGATGTTCCTTCGGAATGCACAAAAATTTAACTTCCACATGAAGCCGCAATCCGTGTCTAACAATCTTTATCTCTAATGCCCCGCCACGGCCTTCGACGGGGCGCCCGCGACCACTCCGCTTTCCCGAGCGAAGACGGAGCGTCTGCCTCAACCCCCGCGAATGACCGACGACCACACCACCGCCATCCCAACTTCGAGGATCCAGTTCGCGGGGCGGCCCGGAGCCCGCGCGCGGAAACTTTTCCTGCGCATAATGCGCATGCTCGTGTGCGCAATTTGTCCATTGCTGGTGACGCTGACCTTGTAGATGCGGAGGATGAGTTAGAGGAGAGCGGGGAGGGGTTTAGTGATAATGAAGATGATGATATCGATGTTGACATTGAGGATGAAGGTGATGAGGGTGATGAAGGGGATGAAGGGGATGAAGGTGATGAAGGTGATGAGGATGAGGAGGATGAGGAGGAGTTGGGAGATGAGGAGGGTGAGGAAGAGATGGAGGGGCAGGAGGGGCAGGAGGAGGATGAGGAGGATTATGACGGTAAATATATATATATTTTCTTAGACATTAGTTATTTATTCCGTTGAGTTTACAAAACAAAACAAAGCCCTTTCTAACAGACTTCGCAGAAAAGCACACTTCAGCCCCCATCCCCGCGAACCTACGCGAAATCTCCTCCCTAGCTTCCTGGACAGTATCAACGCATAAACCAGGCTGCGGCATCGCAGCCCTCCGCCACCCGTCCCCCTCACAATTCTGGCAATCCGACGGGCCCCAACCGCACACCCTCACCTTACACTTTTTCAAACGCGTCGCCATCGTCCGCATCCGCGTATACCTTGACTTCGAACTCGATGAGAGCTACACACCTACCAAGATGATATTTCTGGCTGGCATGGGCGGAAACGATCTTGTGGAGTTTGCGACGTGGCAGGGGGAGGCGCCTGCGGGGTGGGTGGATATTGATTTACAAGGGGTGGGAGGACGGCATGAGAAGACGGGGCGGCGGAAGAGTGGGAGCCATCAGCGGAGAGGTAATGGGACTGGTGGGAATTTTTATGGAGTGAGAGGGGGAGCGAGAGCGGCGGGGTACGCGGGCCTGGGATTGGCGAATTTTAGGCAAAGACATGAGACTCATGGTGACGATGGAATAATCGATCATGGCACAGATGGCAACAAGCGCGGGAGTAGGAGTTATGAAGACGACGACGACGACGACGAGGAGGAGGAGGAGGATGCTGATGATGACGATGTCACCGACACGGACCCATCATCCGGTAACGTCCTCAAAGCCATGGTAATCCAAGTCCGCATCAGCGAGAACCACCAAAACGGCAAAGACACGCACGTGCGCGGCTTCCAGGTGTTTGCGCGTGATGATCGCCGCCTTTCCCGGCCACGCCGCGAGAGCGGCCGTAAGTCTCTAAGGCCCCACGGCGCAACCGGTAGCGGTGCGGTTGCTGATGCTGCGAGGAAAGTTAGGGCTGGTTCGTCTGTAACGGCGGATCAAGGGGGAGCCGCTGCGAATGACGAAGAGGTGTTTGGCCCGGCGTTTGATGAGGATGGTTGGATGGGTGAGATGGAGATTCGGTAGGAGGGGGTTGTGTGTCAACGCGCATGAATGTGCGTGTACATCTATTAATTGTATTCCCCGTTCCTGTTTGTTTCTATGCATTGCTTGGCGAATTGGGGAGGGTGGAACTATACGTAAATTGGAGTTTTACAGGTTTGGTCGAGGGTGGTTTAGGCGCATTGATCATTTGCTTTTTCTTTTCATGTTTCATTCATCCTCAGCTATGAATACCCTCGAAGCAGTCAATGGTTTCGCTTTGTTTTTAAAAACTCTCTCATTTGTAGACTTGGACGAAAAAAGGGCCCATCCATAAGAAAATAATGATAAATATTACTTCTTCTAGTTCATGATAGTTCCGATCTTGTATTAGGTTACTTTGAATGCTACCCTTTTTCATTATGCTCTATTTTGTATTTACACATGCGCCAAATGACCCTGTTCATGAGGGAAAGAAAAAAACCTGTGCCCGAAACCAAAATACCAATTTTCCCAGTCGTTGTTCCCCTAGTACTTGCTTGCTCTAAAGTAAAAATTACCCTTACAAAATCTTCTCCAACTCCGCAGCAACCGCATCGCCGACCTCCTGCGTCGTTGCTTTCCCTCCAATATCACCCGTCCGCACACCAGCCTCAATGACGTTCCTCACAGCGGTCTCGATAGCCTTGGCTTCCGCAGGCCGGTTGAGAGAGTATTGCAACATCATTGCCATGGAGAGGATGGCAGCGACGGGATTCACGATGCCCTTGCCAGCGATATCCGGCGCGGAGCCGTGGATGGGTTCATAGATGCCATTAACCTTGCTCTTCCCATCGGGGATCCCGCTCAGACTCGCGCTGGGCAACAGGCCCAGCGAGCCGGGGATGACGCTCGCTTCGTCGGAGATGATGTCGCCGAACAGATTGCTCGTGACGATGATGCCGTTCAGCTTTCGCGGGTCTTTCACCATCAACATCGCCGCGCTGTCGATCAGATGGTGCCCGTACTTCACCGTCGGGAACTCCTTGTCCATAATCTCCGTGACGACTTTGCGCCACAGTCTGCTCGTCGCGAGCACGTTGGCTTTATCCAAGCTCCACACGGGCAGCGGCGGGTCGTGCTGCAGTGCCAAGTGGCCCGCGAGACGGACGATGCGCTCGATTTCCGTGCGCGAATACGGTTCTGTATCAAGCGCGTAGCCGTCACCGTTGTCCTCGCGGCGTTCGCCAAAGTAGATACCGCCCGTCAGCTCACGGATGATGTTGAAGTCGACGTTGCGGCAGACTTCTGCTTTTAAGGGGGAGATATCGACGAGGGAAGGGGCGGCAAAGTTGCAGGGTCGCAGGTTGCCGAAGGTGCCCATTTCTTTGCGGAGGCGGAGGATTCCTTGTTCAGGGCGGACGGCGCCGGTGCCCCATTTCTGGATTTAAGTGGGTTAGCGTTTTGTCGTTTTCTTTATATTTAACATGCGAAGATGGTATTTTGGAATTGTGTGCGGCGTACTGGTCCTCCCACTGCGCCTAGAATAACTGCATCTGCAGCTTTGGCGGCATTTAGGGCCTCGTCGGTGAGGGCTATCCCGGCTACGTCAATGGCGGCCTATATGCCAATATGAAAAAGATTTAATTAGCTCTTTGTTGAAGATACAGTCTAGGAGAAGGGCCATACTGACCCCTCCAAGTAAATGGTCCTGGAAATTGAACTCAATGTCGGCTCTCTTCTTCTCAACGACGCGGAGAACCTATAACAGTATACATATATTAGGATATGTGTAAAGTATTTTAAATAGCCTTCGTCACTGGAGACATGTTCCTAAACTAAGCATCGGTTCTCGTAACCTATTGAGGGAACTATTTAAAAAAAAAGAGCATGTGCTTCCGAACGGACCTTGATAGCTTCCGCGGTCACCTAGAAACCAAATCATTAGCAACTGCACAGTACATTTCCTTATATAATGAGGAGCTCAAGGGGTCAATTCCACCTACCTCCGGACCACAATAGTCGCCGGCAAAGACGACAATGTTGTATTTCCCCATTGTGAACGGTGTAAATACCTCTGGGGCGGTTGAAGGGCGCTAGGGAGAACCTGGAAGAGGAATTGGCAGCTAGAACAATCGGAATAAGCGCGCTTCGGGAAAGCAATTGATCAATTGAGAAGAAGAAGATATCAAGCAAGGAGTAAGGAGCAGTGACAGTGCGGGATAATGAAGCTGGGAGGAAAACAAAGGCACCGGCCCGATAGGTGCAGCAGAGCCGCCCCTTCAAGTGACCCCGCGCTCCGACATCGGGATGTCCCGTGACATTGATGCAATGCTACAATACTCCGTACCTATAGATTGAATAGCTGCAAATAATTTACAACAGGAACTGAACTATAGTTACGGCTGATGGTCATCGGGTTTGAATATTGTGCAGGAGAGAATTTATTATGATTGAAATAACAAATGTGGATATCCATCACCATTCCTACATGCTTAATGTCTCCCGTCACTTACAATCAGCAAAGAGGGACTTCAGGAACTAGATCCACCAAACTTCCTTGCGGTGGGATTCTGATAGTAATGGGCCAAGCGTCACGTTCATACTATCAATTGATGGATATTGCTGGCCTTCAGTTGGTTCAGTTCCGTAGCCTCATGCTGAAGGATTTCAGGCGCGCTATTCAGCTCCGCGTCTACATGGTCTACCTACCACCTCTACCAACAACAATCGTTCAGCTGTAAGGATTCTTATCCGATGCTCATTGTGATGTTGGGAGTGAAATCAAAAACAGGACGTCTGTCTCCCTTCCACGTTACTGGGAGAGAAGAGAATAACTCGTGAATCGGCAAGTGGGTTACACCCGGCGCACGAGACGTGATGCAAAGGGGGGTTTATGCTGGCTGTTTAGGGGCTGGGTTGTGGGGTAGGGGGATCAAGATATGGGAACTTACGTAGTAAGTCGATGTCTAAGGATAAGAATGAAAGGACCAGTGGAAAGGGAGTTAGCTAATGGACGTGATCTCAATTATATAACTAACTGGTCTAGTTATTTTGAATATTATTATCAATTATTTACTTACTAATTATAACCCTTTTTATGCTCGTGGGGTACCTGTAACATGGATATCAATTGACCTGTCTTATGACGCCTAGACAAAGAAATTTAAAAAATAAAAATAAAAATAAAAAAAAATAAAAAATAAAAAATAAAAAAGGAGAAAATCGCTAAACAAGAGCCACAAGATGGACGGCATAAGACGACATATTAAACGTAGAACACATTAAGACCTTAACTCCAATTCCTCACCTAGCACCTCTCTCGATGATATGCACCGACTACATCCAATGCCAAACGATCCTATCTCCTCCTCAGCCTTGGATCCGTCGCCTCCTCCCTCCTCCACTCCCTCATCTCCCTTGTCCCCATACTCCCCAAACCTCCCTCAATTCTCCTCTCCCACCCTCCCAGCCTAATAACAAGACACGTCGCATTATCCCCATCAGCCCCCACCTCGGTTGCAAACGCCACAACATCCCTCGCCCCCTCATCTGGCGTCCGCGCTTCCTTCACCACATCCACGACCTCCTGGTCAGACATCGCTCCGCTCACCCCGTCCGTCATCAGCACCAGGAACGAGTACTCTGCCGGCCCCATCTCCACGCGCCGCAGCTCAGGTTCCGCAGACACCCCGATCCGCTTTGACCGCATGTCGCCAAAGGCGCGCGTGTTGGCGAGCCCGCTCATGCGCTCTTCGCCGAAGGAATCCGTGACGAACGTCGCGGCGTAGCGGCGCAGCCGATTTCCTTCGATCGGGGAGGAGGGGTGGTGGTCTGTTGTGAGCGGGATGGCGAGGCCGGTTGTGGTGGAGCAGAGGAGGATGCGGGTGTCACCGACGTGGGAGACGACGAGGGAGGATGGGGCGGACGGATTCCAGAACGGGGTTGGGCTTGGGGTGGAGATCATGGCGATGCTGGCTGTGCTGCCGCCTTTGAAGCGGGTGGGTCCACCGATGACAGGGTATGGGGATCGGCTAGGGTGGTGGAGGATGTCGGCTTCGTTGAGAGGTTTTTCGGCCTGGACGAGATCGTCCTCGTCCTGCTTGGCAGCTTGGGCGTAGATGAAATCGAAGTCTGCTTTTAAAAAGGCGTATTCGAGTAGTTCTTCGATTGTGGCACCGCTGTGTGCGTTTGATGCGTGGTGCTCACCAGAGTAGGCGAAGTGTGGTGGGCGAAATCGTCGATAATAGCCCCCTACTAGATTCTTCCAACTGAATACCAATTCCTTCTCCAGCTCTCCGATTTTCTGCCTATTAGCCCGCTGGATAATGGGCAGGTCACCTTGTAGATGTAATGTCTCTCTCTCCTTGCTGTTATGTGCTGAGCCATCACCATGACCCTCCATTTTCCCGTCCCTCTCTACAATAGAGCTACGGGGCCCCTTCCCCAAAACCCTCTCCCCAGTCTCAATCTCCTTCTTCAAACTCGACTGCATCTCAAAGTCCACAGCCGCATCCTGCACATACTCATGCAGACAATCCCTCAGAAATTCACTACACTCAGCCCCACCATGTCCATCAAAAACCCCAAAATAAAACACCTGCGGGTCTCCACTCGCACTCTCCGCCCCCTTGTTCTGGTCCAGGACCCCTCCCTTCTCCCCACCGGCAGCAGCAGCCCTCTCCCCCCTAGCAGCCGCCGCCGCTGCAGACCGTGCCCCAATCGTCAACGACAGTGGTGCCCGCCGCGCAAAGGCTGGTATATCAATCACGCCCGCTTGATATGTATCTTCATTGGTGGGCCGCGTCCCCCGTGCAGCGCAGACGCCGAAGTGGTGCTTCGCGCTACGCAGCGGGATGCGTACCACGGTTGTTTCGCGCGAGACGCCGATGGGTGGCTGCACGGTGGCTGGGGAAGGGCCCCGTGCTGCACTGGCGGTGTGTGGTGTGGAAGCTGACCGGGGTAGCTTGTGATGAGGTCCTGGAGAGGCGCGGGAGTCCGGGTGTAGAGAGGAGGATGGGAGGTGGGTGACGAAGTAGTCGTGGAAATGGCGGCGGGAGCGGTCGTAGGCTCCATCATGTTGCTGTCGGCGCTGGTTGTATTGTGAGTGCTGGGGCTGCTGGAGTTGAGGTTGGGCCTGAGGGTGCGGCTGATGTTGGGGCTCAACATTGGTGCTATGGTGACGGCGTAGGAAAGTCGCGATGAAGCCTGAATTTGAGCACAATGTTTGGTTAGCAGGGGTTCTTTCTAAAGAGCTAGCTGCCTGTCGTCTGTGAAAAGGAAAAATATTTTTCACACAGAGGCAGGGGAAATGCAGGGGATATTTTAGCATTTCAAACGTACTGTAGCTGTCAGCCAGCGTCCAAGCGCGCACAGTTGCACGCTTTACTGCACCGGGGTTCATTTGAGCAACGACATCGACGGCGAGGGTGTGGTGTAGAGATAGAGATAGAGGAGGAGGAAATGCGGCGGGATTATGGGCTCTGTATTATTTATTAATAATAGTAATTAGAAATAACTAGTTGGTGTCTTGCCGGATTTCCGTTTATGGACTGGTGGTGTCTTCTAGTTTGCTCGGAAGGAAATAAAAAGTTGCAATGTTTTGTTGACTTGATTTGTCTCTAAGCTTTGTTCCGTGATGGTTCTAGTTAACTTACTTGTTTGGGCAAAAGGCGTGTTGCAGATAGAATATTTATGAGGACATGCCACAGTAACGTAACTACATATTTATACGTGTTCTCCAAAACGAAGGGCAAAAATAAACAAAAAATTCCAAAATAAACTAGAATGAAGCCAAGAAGAAACCTCCCAACAAAACAAGAACAGGTTAACCTTGGCTCATGTCACTGCTAGGCCACACAATGTCACTGCAAGGCCAAGTTGCGGTGGGGAGATACTTGGCTTGTGGCTGGAGAACAGAACATCTCCACTCTCAGGCGGGGGAGAAGTGAGATTGAGCAATAAATAATTACAGATGTTCCTTGTCACTGTACGGAGTATCCAGGATTAAAACACAAACTTTTTTTTTTAATATTTTTACCTATTTCTTATCATACAACAAGGGTGATTGGACAGCAACGACAAAATTACTAACGACAAAGCTGATCGATCCACTCGATATCAAGTGTAGCGTACATGTAATGTACAGCACCTGCGCCACCAGTCAAGTGACGATGTTTCGCAGTGAAGATCATGGCATAGTCGTGGTAGAGAAACGGCATTCAACAGGGCAAGTGCAGGGGTCTGGACTTGAACATCGAGGCCGTGAGAAGAGAATTAAAAAGAAACAGAGCACAGCGACGATACATTAAGCAAATGGGGAAGCCTGAAATATTGGCACGTCAACATCGGATACCCAGATGGATAGATATATCCCGTGTCAAATCCAGATTTTGAAAAATACACGACGAGAACAATTATTGCGATTTGGCACAAGGGGGCCTGGAAATTCAAAGAAAAACAAAAAGCGGGACAAGGGAAGGTGGAAAATGGTTGATGCATCCAACGGCACAGAGAAGACAAGAAAAGCAATCCTACCCACAGCACCAGAATACCAAATTAGAACACATGGCCAACTTCTTGAACACATTGAACGAGGGTAGTCCAGCCTGGCTCCGGATCCAAGGATAAATCGCCAACCATTGCCATCCATTCCCCTAAAACTCCGCATCGTCATTTCGAATATCTCGCCGTACCGTATGGTACGGTCGACGAAATCGAAACCCCAAACCTCAGACATTACCTGCAGCAGTGGCAGCATCCATCGCGGGCGAAAGCACAACAAGCCCCATATTAACAATCTGCATCGGCTCATTCACTGGCGTAGCATTATTACGAAACCAGATCATCGGCGTAACGCTCAGCTTAACGCGATGGCCCTTCTTCATCAACGTCTGCGGGTCGCGCCCAACCAACGCCGTGTCCCGATGAAACATCGAGTGCGCATCGAACAGGTCGCCGACGTCCGCGAAGTGGAGCTGGAACTCGTAGGGGCCCGAGAACATGGTCAGGGCGACGCTGTGCGCTTCTTCGATGATGCTGACGAAGTCGGTCCAGATGTTTGGGTGGTTGCGCTGGACAAGCGGGGAGATTAAGCGGAAGAGAGTGGTTGCGTGCTCGTTTTTGCGCTTGTTGTAGAAGCTTGCAAAGAGGGGTTTGTTGCGGATGCGGTTTACTTGGCGGCGCATGGCTTCGAAGAGGAGGGCGCGGACACTTGTCGGGGCGTCTGGAATATGATTTAAGTATTTAATATTGGTAAGGAGAAGGGGAAGTGGAAGGGGAAGGAGAGGAGGGCGAGAGATTATATATCTGAGGGGAGGAAACATTGAAGAACAGACATACCAGGATACAAGAGCGTCATCATCTGCCCGATTTCAGAGTCGGCAGTGGAATCGAAGCCCTTAACAACAGATATGCGAAGCACCTTGCTGGTAATATACAAGTTAATCGCCTTGGTCAGGAGCACGAAGCGCGTGGTTGTGTCTGTCAGAAGAGTAGACACCGAGTCTGGATGCGAAGCCTGCATCAAGTGCATCATGGTTTCCGAACCAATCGTGTTGTTGGGGTCCGCATACCCGGTTGGCGAGTTGATATACCGCTGGCCGAAGGCTTCGGATTTCTCGAACAGGGAATGGAACTTGTACCCAAAGTCCATCGCGCTGAGGTTGGTCTCCTCCATGATCATCATGCCTTCAGGTGGGTTCCTGGGCAGGGAGGATAGAGGGACGGGTTTCTCCTCGGCAGCAGCCTGGGCCCCAATGGGGGGTACAAACGCATTCAAACGGTCGACTGCAGACATGGTGGGAACCGTAGCAGCGGAACTGGCATCAGCTGCGACATTTGCAGTAGCTTGATTATCCCCTGCAGGGTTCGGGGTAGGCAGATCCCCAAGCCCAAATTTGGGCGGCGGGTTATTGAAGACGTGGCGATAACGCGAGACGCGAGTTGCCTCCTGGCCATTCGCCAAGTGGTGCTGCGGAGTAGTGAAACTAAACGACAGCGCACGAGGCTTGGGCTTGGTGGAGGTGGGAGCAACCGTCTTGCTCTGAGCGCCGATGGCCGGCTTCTGCTTGTTGACGATGGCTTCCAGCTCTGCAATTCGGTTCTCCATTTTGCGGATCGCGTCGCGGTCACGCTGGCCAGCGGCACGGGCTTCGTCCAGTTTGCCTCTGGTATGCTGAAGATCCATTTCAGCTGCGTTGAGCATCCCCTGGAGCCGGTCGATGTGATACCTCATGGCATCATAGGTCTCCGCCTGGTATGCACCAGACGCGTTGGGTGCCATGTAAGGGGGTGGAGGGCCCATCATCTTGTTTTGGCTAGAGAAGGGGCAAGCTTGTCAGTGGACTAGGGGCGTCAGCAGCGTTCAGAATGACCGCTTGGGGTCGATAGCTGGAATTGACACCGGAAGAAACGCGGATAGGATACAAATATAGCTTGAAGACACGAAATCAATCGAGGGCAGAGGTTGTAAAGGAGGGAGATATTCTTGATTCAGACCACACAATCAAAGACAGAACTCACTCTTTGTTGTGAAAAGGAGAACAGCTAAGAAAGAAGACAGTTATGTATCTTGCAGTAATTGAACTAGTCAAGGAAATGTGATGGAAAGACAGTGGAACTAACAATTGCTTAACCAGTGTCAAGCAAGATATCAAAGAAGCAAAGAAGAGATGAGATGAGATGGTGTGTTAAAGAAAAAGAAGATTCACAGATGACTGACAGATCTGTGTTGTTTGTTATGAAAACAGAAAGATGCGGTTGATGAAATATTGTTGGCTGGTTATCAACCGCATTGGATGTTTGTATTCTGGCATGCGTGTAAATATCATGATATCTGCAACTGTTGGCGTGGGAAATAGATAGTCGCCAGGGGAATTCAGAAACGTGCAAGCGGATCCCCTAGTGACCTTCATAATTATTGCTAAGAAGATGCAATGAGAAAGCAAGTTCATGAGAAGAGATAGCTTATAGCCTTTGCTGTAGATGGTAGGAGAAGAAGAACTGGACGAACGATTAAGAGAAAGGCAGGATAAACTCGATGTGATGGGCAATATCAGGAGAGAGAAAAGCCATGTTCGCTGATATATAGGAACCTCGAAGAGGTGATGTTGTGTGGAATGTCGGATGGTTTTCAGAACATGATAGAAGGACTGGATAGGAAGTAAGAAAGGTGGATAGTAAATAAATCAATTTGGAAACATGGTAATTTGTAACAACGCCCCAGGGCTGAAAATGATGCTCTAGCTACTTGCACTCTACAAGAAAAAAAGACTATTTGAATCAATGCCACAGATGTCACAATAAAAATGCAAATAATATGTACTCGCAGAAAAGACACAACACATACCACTGGTGGAGACCATGTCCTCGCCCTGTATTGGAAAGCATCGCTGGAATGCCATGTGTGTAAGAGAGGGTGAGGTTCCCGCTCGTTTCGGGAGGGGGGGAGGGGGGGAAATGGGAAGACAAGGTCGATGGCCCTAGACAAAAGTTTGTCAAGGCTATCTCTGAAAAATACACCTACCCTCCATTTTTCATCCTTCCTCTCATTATATTTATGTTTGTTTCTTTTTTCAGGTTTGACCTAGTAGTATCCGTAAGTGACTAAACTCAGATCGCTTTGGTACGGGAAAAGAGGCTGCTGTAAACCGCATCAACCACGGGCTGCGCGCTAATCTGTCTCCCTCCGAAAAATCGTCCGTTCAGGCCCTTGATGGCATTCTCGCCGCCCTGGACTCGGTCGAACTTGAGATATATATCTCCTTGGGTATTCGGGTCTAGTGCAATGTGAACAACATGGCCGTATTTATCTTCGCATTCGGCGCGCACGTCGTCTTCCAACTCTTTGACCCAGGATTCACCCTCTTCCCTAAACGAATAGTTAGCATAGACTCAACACATTTGATTGCATTGGGTAACGGGAGGGAATCGTACTCAGCAGGGTCAAACATATTCCTGAGCAGAACACATCTGCTTGCCATGTTCACGCTCACGGGCAGCGGCTTAGCGTTTATTTGCGGCTTGGGTACTTTACGTTTTTCGTCTGGGGTCGGCTCGACAGCAGGTTCATCTGTTCTCGCAAGTTTCCTCATCAATGCGTCTCTGCTATAATTGTTGAAGTTCACACCGGCAACATCCGTGTCATCTAGGGCGCTGGCACCGCCTGCCGCCTTGTCATTGTCTCTGCCTCCAGCTCGGTCAAAGTGACCGGAACCGCCGGCTTGAGCTCCACGACCACCATGGCCAGAGAATAACGAACCCTGGAAGTTATGATGGGCACCTTGTCCCTGGAATCGCTGCAATAAATTGGCGGTCGATTCAGGGGTAAACTTATCATTACCAAGACCAACCCGAATTGGGCGACCAGCCAGGTCGAATCCATTCATTTTTTCCAAAGCTTCTCGAGCTTGGTTTGGATCGCGGAACCTGGATATTTTTATTAGCAAGCAAAGAAAAAGAAAAAAGGCAGGAAGAGCTGGGAATGGTTGATACATACTGGACGAAGCCGTAACCCCTGCTGCGGCCCCCTTCTTCTTTTTGTAGCTGGACAAAATCAAGTTCGCCAAATGGTTCGAAAACTTTCTGTAAATCGCTTTCAGTGATGCTGAAATGGATATTACCAACGTACAGCCTGTGGAACGGAATCGAATTTTGGTTTCCGCTAGCGTTGGCCTCGGGATTGCGGGCCTGTCTGTTTTTCTCGGCTTCGGTTAGTTGAGCAATAATAGGAATCCCTAGAAGCTTTTGGCCAGTAAGCTGGATGGCAAGTGGGACCGATTCTTCATCCTTGAATTCGACATAACCGACGCTGCATGGAAAATTAGCAAGGTTCTTTTTATTTTTATTTTTATTTTTTTAATACAAATTGTATAGCGGGGAAAATAACTCACCCTTTCGATCTCCCGCTCACGCGATCCTTCACAATCTGAGCTTCTTTGACCGGTCCGACTTTCTCGAAGAAAGCAATGAGCTCTTTCGTTCTCAAGCGGGCGGCAAGCTGCTGCACAAAAACGGTTCGTCTATCGCGTTCATCTTCAGTAAGTTGGGGTTCAGGAGTCCTGCTGCGGCGCCTGCCAGAACTGGGACTTCTTCTACGGCCATCCCTATCGCGCTTGCTAGAGCGTCTATCCTCGTCACGCTCGTCCCGACGGGAGCGGCCGGTGGGTCTATAGTATCTGTCGTCGTACGGCGATCTAGAGCGGGAACGTGTAGTCCGGCCAGGCCCGCGATAGTAGTCCCCGCCCGACGATCGATACGGGTCGTCGCGGTCACGACGGGAGCGGCGTTTTTCGCTATCACGGCTTCTGCTTCTCTTTCTGCTTCTATGGCTCCCGTTAGCACTTGCGCGATCGCTCTTTGGGCTTTTCATTTCCTCGTCTCCATCGGCATCTTTCTCATGGCGGCGTTCCCGGCTTCGGTCTCGTCGCTTGCGCTCTCTATCGCGATCGCGGTCGCGACGTTCACTTCTAGAGCCGCTCGATTCATCGTGGCTTTTATCTGGGGTCTCTTCAGCTGGCTGAGGGGGCTCGGCGGGAGCGGCTGTGGACTCAAGCAGAGCCTCGACATCGATACCTGACATGGCGAAGATACGTTGAATATGGCTGGCCCTCGGAAGGAAGGGGAGATGTAGGAAGAATTGTTCACTTTTATCCCGTTAGAGAGGAAAACGAGGAGAGTTAGGCGAGCGAACCCTTCTTGAACTAAAGCGCTATACAAAGGCAAGCCCTAACAGTCCTCCTATAACAAAATTCGATGGGTTTTCGAATGATGTAGGTGCTATGAACGGCCCTTACTGTTGGTCTGGATGGATGCTGTCTTGTTTTGACGTTATCGTTGATATGCAGAAGTACGGAGTACGCGGCTGATTGAAGTTTAAGATACAGGATCTCGGTCATGTGATATAGGTCGCCACCTAGCTCGGATTATGTAAACCCAGCATCGCCACGAGAGAGGCGCAAATCATTTTCTGCCAACATACAGCGTAGATACCATATGTGTTATATATATTGACAACCGAGAGGAATTCATACATGGACGTAAAAATAAGACGAGTTGAAAATCCGAAGATGTTTATTAATGCGCATTATTTTACGCGTTCCTCTTTTCTAAAATACAAAACCATCAGGTCCCCATAAGATCTCATGTAACAAGCCCTGTCCAACACAACCAGACCGTACTCCGCCAACCCTCCGCCAACCAAAAATTCCGCTTACTACACGTAGACAGCAGTTTGTCATCAATTAATCACTCTCTATGCTCCATTTGCCTGTCTACTAAAAACAGCTCTAAGATGCGGGCGGGATATAAGAGCGAACAGCAAATGTGTCGAGAGCAAGGACAAGAAGCAGAAACGAAAAAGAAAGTGGAACAGAACTCAGAGCTATAAGAACAATGTATCCAGCCATTAAAGTAGGTAGAAGTAGAAAGTAGAGGGGGAGAATCCCCCAAAAAAAGGACGGAAGAAGAAGACGAAGGAAACTGTACAACATAATACAGGAGCATTTGTGCTAGTAGCAACAATGCGATGTGTAAGGGCCCATGGGGGGAATAATATGATTGGATCTCGAGCATATACATATATATACCAACTAGATAACTCAGAAGAAGAGGTGGAAGGGAAGAAAAGGCTGGCGGTGAGCTGGATACAGTAATTGTACCATCGAGAGTATGCGCGCAAAAAGAGGGCAACGTTTGAAATTAAAATTAGAATTAGAATTAAAAAAAAAAAAAAAAAAAAAAAAAAAATTCCTGACCAAAAAAAACCCGGTATGTGAACGGAGTGGAAATCATCTTTGTCTGAGCCTTTATAGAGGCGACGCGACTTTAATTAATTTGAATATGTGAGTTGTGTTGAGGAATTCATTCGACCTTCACGGGTTGGAGAGGCGGGAGTTCTGTTCCAAACACCCTGTCCCAGAAGCGGCTGGTGACGCCAAAGCCATTTTCGTAGTCTGCAAAATGGTGTTGGAGGTGGTATTTCTTGAGTTGTTTGTAGTATGATGGAAGACTGTAAGGAGGGCGGCGTGAAAGAATTAATTAACGTGTAAGACTTTTGTTAAAAATAAATAAACGGGAAACTGGGGGAGAATTATTCTGAACAATAATAAAATAGAGCAAATACATACCTGCGATGGTGGAGGAAATAATGTGTCATGTCATAGCAAACATATCCGAATACTCCTCCCGAGAAGACGGTCACGGCTGCGTACCAGTTATAGAAAAACACCGCCTTTGAGATATAGTAGAAGGGTGTTGCCAGTAGGACGAATAATGTTGGGGGCATGACAAGGCGATATTTGTCCATGGGGAGGTAGTGGTGGATACCGTGTAAAAGGAAGTGTAAGCTAATTCCAACGCGATTATCGGGTAAATATCTATTTTCCATCCAGTTAGCAATTGGAATTTATATATATATATAAAGGATCGCGGGTAAATGAAGAGAAGTTCAATTGGAGTTTTGCATACCCATCGACATGGAAGAGACAGCGATGCAGGCCATACTCAACCAGAGTCCATATGCACAGACCCAAAACCCAGTACGCAGATCCTATGATATAATTTTGCAGGCCAGCGAAGCCCACAGCCGTTCCGTAGGCAACCGCCGGATACCAGACCGATGGAACCACCCACCAAGCAGTCTTTGTCAATGGCTCGAGAAAATTTCCAAACAGAGGAGCGGATTCCCCGCCCTTGTAGTGTCGTGGGCGATGGACCTGTTGTAGATAGAAATCCTTGGTGAAACCACCGTACCACAGCTGGCCAAACAGTGGCCGGTTCAGATCGAGGAACTTATGTGTCCGATAATCCGCGGTTAGGTCGGTTTCGACAGTGAGATCTTCCTCACTTGACATGCCTGTGGTACTGTACGTCGGTATGCGTCCGTCGGTCGCTCCATCCACATTTAGGCCGTTCATCTTGGAGGCAGGGGCAGAATTCAGGAAGCCAACATGGTGCTCCTCTAGTATCTCGTATGCAGCGTCAGAGTGGTTGTGGGATGGGATGTCGCGCATGATCTCAGAAACGTCCTGGCCAGCATAGTCCAAGATCAGGTCACCTCCGCCGGGATGATCGTTGACGAAGGAGGTGACATCGTAGACCTTGGAGCCTCGTGTTACGTAGCACGATTTGGCAGTCGAATGTGATCTGAGGTCGGCTGTAGAAAAGATAGGCAAGGTTTTCCCAGGCATGATGGATGGGAGGGGGTTAGAATCTGAGGGAGGGAAACCGAGACAGGCGCACGAAGGTAGTAGGGGGACCACAGTCCAGCGAGGTAAAGAGAGACTTTGGCATATAGAAGCAAATATCAGAGCCAGAGAGGGAATCCGGACTATCCGCAGAGATGCGACGCGGGAGTGGTGATGAGGAGGAGGATATGACGGGGGAGAGAATGAGGTGAAGATGCGTGAAGATGCAGTGAGGAATGCTTGACCAGGACGATCCGCTCCCAAGTTCCGGCGTGGGCTGACCAGAAAAGGCTTGGCTTGCAAAAACCGAACTGCTGCATCCAAACTACATTGTAAACTTACTGCGTATGGTAGTTATGTACCAGGGCCCAGGGAAATGGGCGACAGCAAAAAAGAAAAAAAAAACAAAAGACGAAAAAAAGCAAGGGGTAATTCTCCGGGTGTAGGGGGGGGGAATTGAATGAATACAGCCAGGCGCAGGAGGATATTTGGTTCAAAGGCACAGACAGCTGTATAGAAGTATAGAATGCAAGCAATAACTATACGCTGCGTACTTTAACTATACTCCATACAGCAGCACAAAAAGCATAACTAATAAAGGGCGAGTGCGTTTGACAGACTCTCCATTATTAACTAACCACTCTGTACAGAGTACATGACATGGCTTTGACTGGACTTGACATAAAATTAGTTACTAGTTGTTAACTACATTAACTTTTACTTGCTACAGGTGGGGAGCTCCCCAACTCCTCGATTGCAGCTCAGGTGCTACTTTTACATTTGACCCCCTCTACAGCTGGAGATTAATTAGCCTTCCCTGCTACATAACTATAAGGGGAGCAGCAACCTATCCACTGCGCGTTCCCTCCCCTCGATCCAGCGGGCAGTCAGTAAAAGGGGAACACAGATCTACGCCCCCCACCCTTCCTCCCAGCTGCCAGGAGGAACGTCAGTCAGTCAGTCTTTTGTCTGCATGGAAAATCACTACAAACAAAGGCTATCAAAAAGAAATTGCAATACGATGGTCATGGGGTTCTTGTTTTCTTCTTGCGGTCCCCAGTTGAGGAGACAGGCATATGCATGTAGCCGACCAGCAGTTGCAAGCCTTACATATGCCATGTACGGAGTAGCTAGGGAGTCACCGAGTATAATCATGAGAATGAAGGGGGAGAATAGATTTTGCTGTCTTTTTGCTGTTATCAGACACCGGGGGAAAAAAAAAAAAAATTTGAAAATCCCACAAGGGACCCCATTTATTGCTCCGAAAGTTCGAAATGTCTCCAACAATATTCGTAGACCAACAGAGTACAGATTACTTGTCTCATATTCTACTGTGGAATTATTCATCCAACGTTCCGCTTGGTTCTGGGAAAGCCTGTGGCTTGGTTGGAACTTGAAGCCTATGCGCTGGTCGCATCAGCTCTATCCGTACAATAATGAGCTTGGGTGGAATATCACTGATGTCAATGACCTCATCTAGCATTGGATAAAAGGAGAGACAGGCACAGATCAACCTGGATGAATGGAAGAAGTCATCGCGCCAAAACTTTCTTTTCTTCGGCCTCTCAGAGTCTCTGAGAACGCTAAAAAGAAAAAAGAAAAAATAGAGAGAGAGAGACTTTCGGCGTCGACTGCCCAACCTTGATCAGCAAACCGTTATGGGCAAACCGTGGTCTGTCAAGCCATCGCCTGCAACCTCTGCGTCTGCTTGACAGTGTATCTTTTTTGGGCGTCCGTCTAGCCTGCGTCCGGTCGGAGGGATCCATCCACTCGTCCTCGTCGGTCAGTCGGTCGTTAGTGTAAGTAAAGTAGTCCAATCCATGTCAACGGCTCAGCGGAAGGAATTCAAGCCCTCTTTGAAATAATTGAGAAAGATTCTTGACATCTTTAAAACCGTGCGGGAGTTGCTATGTACTGTACAGTTCCATGTACCCGTGGACATGTTGAGACTTTGAATGATAATATATATATATATTTGTTAAGAAAAAAGGTCCCCCTGGAACTACTTCCAGCTGTTGTTGATCGGCTTGGGGTTGGCGCGAGATCTCCAGTTTTCTGCTGCATATCAGACTTCAAGCCTCGAAAAGAAAACGACCTGCCAACTGTTAACGGGCCTGCTTCCCGTGTGGGGGGCCCCTTGGAGCGGGAATCATCATTATTATTGATGATAATTGTGGATTGAGCGCTGAACAGCCGCCAGAGAGCCAGTGGGTGGCCCCAGCAGTCTAAAGCCTAAATGCCAACGGACAAACAAAAAATAACTTAATTAATTAATAATTTACGGAGCACAGAATTTTACAATAATAGGCATAGCTTGGTAATTGATTTTTCATTAATTAATACATAAAAAACAGGGATTCTTATTGCACAGTACAGTACTCCGTACAGAGTAAGTAGTTATGTGATGAATATTGAATATCAATGTTCTATGCCCCTCCCCGCCCTCTCTCAAGAGAGTCAAATCTACTATCTCTATATCTCCCAAATAATTCTCATCGGCTCAAGGATCTCACTCATTCTCATTCTCTTACAGATTCTTCATTGAGACTGACAGTAGTAGAACAGAGTCTTTTGGCACCCCCAGAGTAGCTAGATAGTGGAATAGAGAGAGATAGCACTGCTGCTCTCTACTTTACTATGATAGGCTCTACTCCGTACAGCAGACCTAGGTAAGAAAGAGCCTAAGATTTCCAGTTTTTTTACGTATTAATAGAAAAATCAATCACTGAGTGAGTTAAACTCAATCCTTTTTAGCAGGGTGTCCCTATCAAAATGTAGGGTGTCCGTATAAATCCCCGTCCCGAGGGGCGGCCAACTTTCAAGGAGAACATAAGTTACCAGCCCACAGCCTAACTCGAATCCTGGGACCAATTAGCCGAGTCGCACGGCAGATAGAGTTATGCGGAGATCGATGTACAATCCAGGCGGGTTTGGAATGTCGCTGCAGACAGTCCAGCAAGACGTTGCTATCAAGCCGCGGAATTGGAAGAGGGCCGCTGCCACCGATTGGGTTTGAAGCTGGGATCCAGAAAGGCTGATAGCGCCACGTCCGCAGCCGCCGCTGTAGCAATCCTGTCGCCGGTGATGTGTCCTCTTATTTTTATTTATATTTATTTATTTTCGCCCCTTCCTTCGCCTCCTCCAGCCCGCCCCAGGAATAACTTCCCTCGAGCAGCCGGGAATTGTGATGAGCTGCAGGTTCCCACACTAGCTGTGCCACCGCATCTAAGACCTTCATGGTTGGCCCTTGGGCGAAGCATTCAAGGGACAGGAGGGGGAGCCAGGGCTGATGGATGGGGAGGGGGCGATTTTCGAACTAAATATCCTGAGCCAGCAAGCCAGCCCGCGATGGCTGCTGGTCCTGGGTCATTTAGGCTGCGGCCTGCGACCAACCGCCCCTCGCTGCGGATTTTAAAAATTTCTTTTTACTAACTATTCTATTCGTCTTGCGACTTGTTCCATCTAGTTGCGCGTTTTAGTTTTCTATTTTATTCGACTTCCAACGCAACCTTTTGCTTGTTCCTTGATCTAGTTTTGTATTTTCTTTTTCTTTGACCTTTTCACAAGATCAAGCTCCAACTACTCGAAAAAGTTAAGGGACGAAAGGTTGCGATAATCTCAAGAGAAGAAGACAAAGGGAATAAATACCACGAAAGTTTGCCGCCCCCCCCCGCTGGCAGTTGTTGAATACCCACTATTTCGCGGGCCAGACTCCCCAAAACCCAAGCGGTTGGGGCCGCTTCGTCGATCGCGGACAGGTCATACTTGTAAATCTTTCTGGCTGTTGAAACACGTCCCAAAATACTCTGTACTCTCGCTGCGATCCCCGAAAACAAAAGGAGAGGGATTCATTGCTCTGAATGCCTTAAAAGCGACGTCAGATTCCCTCATCAATTTATATCGCCGAGCCTAGCGAATTCGTTGGCACAATTAAAAAAACCCCTAACCACAAGATGGACCCTCAAGCCCAGGATGCCTCGAGCAACTCGATCACATCATACCTCCGCCTCCTGAGACGGTGCAAAACCACTCTCCCATACGGGCACCTTATATGCGTCTCCGCCTCCCCTAATATAAGCACAATGGCCGCCCTTTTACGGCTCGCGCGTGCTGTCGGTCCGTTTATCGCAGTACTACAGGTGCACGCTGATATTATTGATGACTGGTCACAGGACGCCGTGCGGAGACTCTTCTGTGTGGCAAAGAAGTATGGATTTTTGATTTGGGAAGGGGGCCGTGTCTTGAATGTCCAGAAGCGCTCGGGGAAACATCAGGGTATGTCTAGCGAGGAAATCAATAGGGACATCAACTTGGCGCGAAAGCGCTATACAAAGGGTCTTGTCGGCGTGGCAGCTTGGGCAGGAATGGTTAGCACCTGGGTTATTGGGCCGGAGGAACAGGGGAAGGGCGGTGATCGTCTGGTTCCGACGTTGCGAAGGGCTGCGCGGGAAGCGGTTGCGGTTCTGAAAAAATCCGTTCGCACTGAAATCAGCGGTGGGAACAAGCAGAGGGATGCATGCGACAATGACGGCGAAGATAGTAGCGGCGGTTGCGTTGATGATGAAGACGATGAATGTCTAGGTAGTGACGACAAACTTGGAGATAACCTGAGCACCATGTTCCCCTCCCCCCGGAAAGGTTCAGTGATATCCCTCACTCGCACGATTACCCAACACACGGAACTTTCGACTTCTGAGCTATTCGCTGGAGTGGTGGGCCCTTGTTCAGATGACGAGGAACAGACCAATGCCGGAAACGCTCCCACTTCTCTACCATTACCCCCTCCACCTCTCCACGCCCGCGGTCTGGTACTGTGTCTTCCAGCAACAGATGACCCGTCCTTCTGCCACGAGTATAGACGAGCTAGCATCGCCACTGCAGAAGCCCACAGCGACTTCGTCGTCGGCTTCGTCAGCAACGAGTCATGGATCGAGGCGTCGCAGACCAGCACCATCATCGGCTCCCGATCCAACTCCCATGAAGATGACGCAGATAGCGAAGAAGGCGAGGACGGAAAAGGCTCCTCAGAACCGCCATACGTACTCTTCGCTCCCCTCGAAAGCGACCATATTCTATTCCCCGGCTCAGAGAGCATAACCCCCCCCGCAATGGACGAGGTTACGCAGGCCCATGCGGACAGTGTCCAGGTATACGTTAATGTCAACGACGATGCTGCGGGGGAGCCATCGCAGCAGCGATGTTCCAACTTTCCGCTATCTCTCCACCAGGCAGACACTTCTGAAGTCCAACACCGGCAAATCAACACGCTGCACCAGCTGATCGGCAGGGCCATTTCCATCAGGAACGCGAAGGCTAGCGTGAATCATCAACGACAGGATTCTGAGGAAGGTGACGCAGAGCTTCTGTGTATCCCGATTATTTCGATGAATGCCTGATGAATTTTCTTCTTTTCTTTTTCTTTACTATGCCCTTCTTCTCCCACTTCCTTTCCATCTCTTGTTTCTGGAGTCCTTTTCACCCAACCCTCCCTCCTCCCTATTATTAGCCCGCGCTTTACTTTCATCCCACATCTATATGCACCGATGGGACAAAACCGAACACAACGTTGTACAAGCCTCCACACATCCTCTTGCTCTCCTCTTCCGGAGGAACGTAAACGCCATTTCAAACACCTTCCTGGCATTCCATCCACCCTTCTTTGGCTGGGGTTGAATCTTCTAACCCTCCCTTCAACCACGGACACTTTGCTGATAATAATTGACCCAATTTGATGTTGATTCTTTGATGATTTTTATATTAATTTTTTCCCTTTTTGTTCTCCACTTTGGGGACTTTGATGAGAAATGCGAATATGAAATGGAATGGTACATGAAGGAAACAATCGGGAAAGCGGGCGGAGACGGCGATTTCTCCTTAATTATTGGCATGCAAGTGGACTTTTTTCATATTTTTCATATTTTTCCTATTTTTCGTTTTATTCTCTATTTTTGTATTCTTTTTTACCTTTTTGAAATAAAATAGTAGACGGAGCCATGAAGATATGATCCAGGTGGTCATTTCCATCACTTTTTATTGTTATTAATTTTTTTCCCCTTTCTGGCTTTGCTGTATTAGCTGGTAAAGTAACCCTGTAACAGACTTTTCAAATATATTACTAGCGTTTGCAATTTCTCCCAAATCATGTGATATACGGACTGTTACGTCTTTATGCTTCCATCTACCAATAATAGCGGCTTGGGGAAGAGTTCTCTATCCTCATGCAGTAAGACACAATATCTATTCACTTAGTTGTTCGATGTCTTCCGTCCATTGACCTGCGTCTATACTGATGTCTTTGTCTTCTATCCTGCCAAGGTCCTAAAATTAATAGTTACCCATCTATCATCGTGTCGCTTTCTATTCCACAATCCCTGCCCACATATCCCATCCTCCAAGAATCGATTCTCTCCTCAGGAGCTTCAGTGTACCGCGCCGTCAAACAGCTCTACTCTAGTTCACGCATACCTTAAATGTGGACGAGCTACTGTATTATTTTTTGACTCTTGCACTCCGGTGATATGAAACCGGTGACTCAATTACTACAATGGAGGACAGCTTTCCTCCGCTGCCGGGAGCTACAGGGCCCAATGGCCTAGTGGGCGGAGGAGAGGCAAGGGTCTTAAACCAGCAGCAAACAGGAGAGGGCCGCTTCGGCGTCACGAAGACAAAAATATTATGCTCCGATGTTGATGTTGTCTTGGAGTTCACGCCTTCGCCGTCGTCTGGTGCACGGAAATTGGCGCATATGAAGTACCTCATGGGTGTTTCAAGCACGGCTTTGAAAGAATCAAGCACGTATTTCAGAGTGATTTTAGATCCTGACAAGTTTCGGGAAGGGCGAGAGCTTTTTGAAAAGACGGCTCAATTAGATGCGAAATACGGAGCTGGTGAAGTGTCCATGAATGATGATGAAGCTGCATTCGCAGAATTGCCTACAATCAGCATCGAGCTACCGCCGCTTGCTGGTGTATTTGATAAGGCAGATCTAATTGAGACGTTTTTGAGAGTGTTATATCTTGGCAGTGCAATGTCGCACGATGACCAGAATATACAAGACATTCTCAATCACCTTGCGAAGAAATCGATTTCATTCGTGGCCAATTTGATCGTTCTTTCTGACAAGTTTGGTGGCCAGGAGGCGCTCAAACGGGCTCTGAATATTCCGCTAGACGGGGTATCCAAATCTGTGGGCCAGACACTGATATCCAAGACACTACGTCGTCTCCAGTCTTCCCGGGTTGAGGACGAAGAGCGCACACGCCAAGCCATATATTTTGCCTTATTTCTGGGGTCCAATGACGGAGTTTTGGCTTTCACACATATGCTAATCATTGACGGTTCCAGGGAGTGGGTATCTGGCGGCGGAGATGGATGGGTCGGTATCGATAGGCCGCTATGGTGGCATCTTCCGCACGGAATTGAAGGTATGCGTGGTCTTCTGAATCCCTTGCAATTGATAAATATTCCCGCCCACTGCTTCCTTACTGGATATTGGCATCAAAACATGTAAATCACTCACATATGCCCCTAATGGCACCGATTTCTAGAGGAGCTCCGCTTCCGTCACGAATCCATCCTAGATACAATCACAGATTTGCAATCCCATTTTCTCCGCGCATACGGCGCCCTACCCCCAGAATCTTCTCCACATTCTCCTCAAATAACGGACCCCAGTATATCTGCATTTCCGCTACAGCCACCACAGCATTCAATGCGCCTACAGTGCCGTCGAATGTACGAAAATTCCCGCGCCTGCGACTCCTTCCACCTGGGAGAAATTATCCGTTTTTTCACCACACGAACCAAAACCCTGCATCTGGAATCTACCTTACCACCGCACATGCATGATTCTGGTGATTCTGAGGACGAAAACGCAGACCATGTGACTCACAACACTACTAACTCCACCCAACCCCCTCCGCCACCAACAAACATAGCAACCCTCCTCGCCTCCCTCCGCCAATGCCCCGAATACCAAATCGACCCCAACCACATCGGCTGCGGTCTGCGCCGCCGCCTACTCCCAGCCCTCGACTGCCTCGCCAGCTTCACAACAAACAGCACCAACGCCGTTGGCATTTGCCCCTCGCACTTCAACAGCGGCAACGACAATAGCACCAACCCATACGCGTCAATGGCAACGAGGTGCGCGAGAGTGGGTTCGTGGCGGAATCATGCGTTCCGCGATGCGATCATGGTCGGCATTGGGGCCGGGAAAGTCGATTCTATCACCTACTTGAATGACGGGCGTGCGAATGGGGCGCTTGCGGAGATGTGTACGTGTGTGGTGAATGCGGAGTTGGCGAGAGCGGCGTTCACGGCTCGGAGGAGGGCGTGGAATTTGTGAGATTGGGGAGAGGAGGACTTGCTGTTGTTGTACAATGCATAGTACCAGTGACAGAGGTCGGGGAAGGGAGGAGGAGGAAATGGTTGCGGTTTTTGCATACCATGCGGGGGAGATTTATCATAGATGTTGGCCTATGTCTTTTATTTTATTGTAGTAACTTTTTTTTTTTTTTCTTTTTTTTTTGCTTGATAAATATTATATTCCTCCATCCTCCGATCTCCTTGGACTACTTGAAAGGATGTGCCCTGTAGGGTCGATTCATTTCCCGTAGAATACGCTTTGCAAGTCTAAACAACGCGATCGACAAGGTGGCAATGTATCTGGAAAGGGCAAATATCCACAGAAGTAAGCTAAAAAGTGGCGTTAACGTACACAAATCCATTTATCCTCCCAATAGCGAGTATCTGAAGAAAGGGGAACATAATACCGGCAGCGCAGACAAAGGGGAAAAAGAAACGAAAAAAAGAAAAACTTTCGCTGTTTGAAAAACACAGGGTTACTTTGCCATACCAAATTAAAGCTATAAAGAAAGGTATAAATACTGCTCAGAAACTCAACATGATCGGGGGTTAGGTTTGATGCTAATAAAGGCAGAAGATGTCTAAATTTAGGGTAGGAACAACAGAAAGTGGTTTCTCGAAAATGGAAAGTTGTGTAATAGATAGAAAGGGGAAGGAGGTCGGAGGGTGCGATAAAAAATCTTGGAAGAGGATAGAGGTTAAGGAAGAGAAGAAAGTATAAAGGTAGTTACTGGTAATAGTCGAAGATTGCCTGGTCAAACAATACCAAAAGATCGGGCCGTTATCCCAAGGGCGTCTAACGCCAATGTGAACCCAAACCTACAAAACCTTGGAAGGGTTTGGAAGCGGAGGTGTATATATTCCGAGGGAAAATGCCACACGATCAAGGTATCATCGTCGTATATCCCCCAATAGTCGTTACAACGCCGGAGTGTTTTCCATGCATAACCATGGTACCAGCGCAGCACAAAGGAAAAAGAAAGAGAGGTAAGCATTATCGTTATTTCCATCACCTACCGCGGAACGACCACGGTGGTGTTAAATTCTTCCATCGGCGACAGCGGATGGATTTACCGTTGTCGAGCTTGAACGACATTCATCCGGAGGCAAAAATCGGTTAACAGGATTCAAGAACTGAAGCCTTATGAATATCCGTTGCCAGTCACATAAAACTCAGCCAGAGCGGAAACATCACATAGGCGTGAAAAAGCCTAGAGCGGTACTGGGCATGGAAGATAAATAGAGACCATTTGCAGTAGAGACAGAGAATAAAGACACCATTTATTTTTCGGGGGAAGAAGGGGTGTTCGAAAGCCGGTTTCAATAGTTCAAGATGGATGGGACGGAAGGGAGGGATAATATCAGGGACCGGACTGGAAACTGAATGTTAGTACATACTTACCTTGAAAGTCGTTTGCCGCTCGACAGGTGTCTAGTTAATAGGAACTGATTGTGTTAGTACAAAAACGGGGCTTAAGGGTCACTGCGGTGGGTTAGCTTTCTTCCAGATGTCCATTAGAAACGGTGGCGTATATGACGCATGTGGCCGCTAAGTTGTGCATGACTGAGTATCCCTGTGTTAAAGGCCCAAATATGCTACTCCGGCCGATGTCGCTTTATGTCTGGCGTGGAACCCTCGACATCATTAATGCCAGAATCTATGAACGAACGCTTTGTTGATTTAGGGCTAGCACGCGCGAGCAACTCGTCCGTCTCAAGAACGGCTTTGTCTGAAGTTGTTGTGGTGAGAGATTCATCGAAATTCCCACCAATTGTGGGGCTGGCAGTAGCGTTTATTTCACCGAGCTCCGAAGTGGGCCTTTCCACTGCGTATGGCCCAGATCCGCCGGTGTAAGAAAGGGGTTCCTCAGCCGCATCGTCGAGAGGGGCAGTTGGTGAGCCAATAGCAGCTATCGCCTCATTAGCTTCCACCATCGGACTCTTAAAGAGATCTTCATGAATCTCGAAGGAATCATGGGTTAGTTCCGGAGTTTTTGGAGCATCTCTTGTGGGAGATTTAATCACCAACCCAGGGGTGGCTTCTTCTCTGTTGGTCATCGGGACGGAATTTTCCGCGTTCTCGGTCCCGCGTACAGCTTCACCGGGTTCGAAAATTTCACCTTCATCCAGGTTGTCGTTGTCATGGTCGGCAATAGCTTCCTCTCGCGGCATCGCATCATTTGTTCCTAAATCGATTTCAATGTGTACATCCTTATTGGTTGTTGATTGAGCATAAATATCAGAACCATATCCATTGTCTAAAGAGACGGTATGGCTTTCCGTGTGGTCTTCTTCATGTGTAAAGTCAGCACCACCATTTTGGTATTCTTCTTGAATATCGTCTTCCGCTTCCGCTTCCAATTGCGGCGCGTTGTTGAACTCGTATCCTTGCACATACTCTTCCGACTGTTGATCAGTTGATTCATCCCTTGAAAGGTGTACAGTTGGTATTTTCATAGTTTGTGGTAGGGTAGGGCTTTGAGAACCCGAATCCTGGGGCTCAGTTGCGACCTCGCCGTGTTCGATTTTTAAGTTGTCCTCTATCGTTAATGTTAGCAACAAACGAAATAATCGCAATTTATGTAGTGAATGAACATCCCGCGTACCTTCGTGTACTCGCACTTTTTCTCTTCCCCTATCCTCACCTTGGCCATGTTCTGTATCGCTGCATTCTTCAGCATTCTGCGATGATTCGATGCTACCATGGCTAGGCGTTTTGGTTGGGAAGTCGTCATGAACGACTTGGTCGTTTTCATCAGTAGGTGCACAAAACTCCGGTTCCGCCTGTGCTAGTAAATGTTGCTCTGGGGATTTGATTTCTGGGCTTCGGCTTGTCGAATCATGCCGTGGGCTCCTAGTTACGCTTTCAGACGAGATTCCTTCTTCATCAGCAGGTTCAACAAGGCGAGAGTACGGCTCAGCCGGCGAGCCGGTGTCTTCTGTCGTTAATAATGGCTGTTCATGTACTTCTTCATCCTCCGCTTCATGTTCCACACCTTGTTCGGCTTTGTCGATATCATAATCTTCCCATGTTAGATAAGATAATCCTTTACCCTCATTGGCAGATGCTGCAAGGCGAGCGAACTCAGCTGTGAAAGTGGGTCTTGAAGAGAGCGTTATATATAGAGGTTCAGGTTCGTTGATACCATCATTGGAGCAAAGATCAAGATAAACTTGAATAATTTGGACCAAAGATGTCGTGATTATGGGAACAGAGTTCTAAAAATCCGAGTTAGTATATTTTGCAAAAAGGGTAAAGAAGACAGTGATGGTCCTTACCTCAGGCAAATGCAATCCAAGACTTTCGATGTCCAGTATTAACTCTTCGTCCTCGCTAATATGCTCACCTAGCACTTGTCGGCACGCTCCCACAAGCTCCGCTACTGGAGCATTTGCTAGTCCTTCATCTTGTAGAAAAAAGGTTTCTGTCGGGTCATTTTCTCCAGGCGGGAACAACGATATTTCGCTATCCTGGTACAGTACTTTTACTGGGTGTAGACTGCTGCTTTTTTGGAGCTCATGTACTTCGCCCTGTGTTTCGTAGTCTTGTGCTTCAACAAAATGATAACTCTCGGTAGTATCTGATTGGTTTTCTTGGTCCAACGGCGGGAGTTTCTGTCCTCCAGATTCTGTATCTTGATGCTCAGGTTCTTGAGCTGTAGTGTTTTGAGGTTCGGGTTCTGTTTGACTGTGCCCATGTAGATCTTCTAAGTCAGGCTCAACATCTTCACCATATTTTTCGAAGTCTCCACTTAGGTGTGCGGCGTCCGCGTTCTCCATACCCTGCGAAGAATCGTTACCTTCCTCTACGGTAAACTCCTTGGGGTATTTTGGCTGAGCAATAGCAGTATCTTCACGGGTGGCAAGGTGCTCCTCAGCCACTGCTGGTGCGTTGGAAATTTCAGTTTCGACGTGATCTGATTGGGAAAGGGTTTCCGGAGCAGGGCTTTTGGCGTCCTCGGCAAGCTTCACTTCTTCTATTTCCTTTTCTTCTTCTTTTTCTTCTTCTCCTCCTTCCGCTTCTCTTTCTTCTTTCACTTCTTTCGTAGTGGGTATGTCTGTCTCTTCGATATCGCTGTCAGGGATGGGGGCATCAATGTCTTCTTCGTAGTCGTCTTCCATCTCTGCCTCGTAATCCATCGGATTATTATAAGCAGAATCTTCATCGAGTTGATAGTAACTTTGCTGGTATTGATCATATCCTGAAGCCAATATATCTTCGTCTATATATTCGCCATCTGCCATATCTGCGTCGTACGTGATATTTGCATCAGCAGTGGGGTGGTCTGAAGCTGTGGCGGAAGCGTCATCCACAAGTACATCATCATCTTGCTCAGGAACGCACTCCTGGGCAAGGTCAAGGTCGATTTCGATATCATCGATATTCCCGGGATGCCTATGGCCTGCGTCTGAGGCCACCTCCATGTTGTCATCGACCACAGTGGGCTCCATGGTTCGCGGTAAAGTTATTGCTGCTTTCTTTTGTTAGGTCACAGGCTGGGCATCGTGACTCGCAGGTTTATTCTTCCACTTGTCTAAGGTCACAAAAAATACGGGGGACGGAGAGCTTGCAGGGAGTCATTTGTTGGTTTGGAGATGCGCAGAGGGGAGGGGTTTTAGAGTGAGCAGTCCAATGAAACGAGAGCAGATTCCGTTCAAAAAGCCGTTAGCTGATAATAAGGACGGACTGAGAAATATATCGTCGGTTACTGAAGCCCAACACGAGGTTGTTGTTGTTGTTGAGTGCTACTATGGATGGAAGTGGAGAGAAGAGCTGAAGTTTGGGTTGGCGTTTGACTTCTTCCCTCTCGTAAGCGAGACACAAGAGCCGCGTGGTGCACGGACCACCTAGCCTTCCATCATACCAGCGTTAAGAAGACAACAATCCTTTTGGAGCCGGCTCATACCACGACGCACCGTCCCTATCCACCACTATTACTAGTAGAATACTTTCCCACTTCATCTCGTCCGTTTGCACTTATATATATATATGCCTTGAGAAGATGGTAGGTTTGATTGACAGATGGCGAAACAGTTATCCCTTCACTGACTCCGAACCGCGGAAACCAGGTCGTCCTCGCAGCGTCGATATGTACCAGAGGGGGCAAAGCGGTGCTCTCACGCCAGTTCCGTGAAATTGCCCGCTCCCGGATAGAAGCGCTATTGGCATCATTCCCAAAGCTCGCAGACTCCGGCACGCAGCACACCATCGTCGAGCAAGATAATGTCCGATTTGTCTACCAGCCATTGGACGAGCTATACATCGTCCTTATCACAAACAAGCAGTCTAATATCCTCCAAGATATAGACAGTTTGCACATTTTCGCTCAGGTTGTCACAAGCATTTGCAAAAGTCTCGATGAGCAAGAGATATTACGGAATGCATTCGAGCTACTTAGCGCGTTCGATGAGCTTGTTACTTTGGGTTACCGGGAAAACCTCTCTTTGTCACAAATAAGGACATTCCTCGAAATGGAAAGTCATGAGGAGAGAGTGCAGGAAATAATTGAAAGGGTATGTGATAGAACTAGTGTAATAATAGTGATTTGATCACATAAATCTCTAACTCCTCCGCAGAACAAGGAACTTGAAGCAAGCGAGGAGCGAAAACGCAAGGCAAAACAATTGGAAATGCAGCGCAAAGAAGCCGCCCGCAGTGGTCGTGGCATGGTCCCGCGAGCCCCATCATACCCAGTGTATACTCAGCCGACTCGGGCAACACCTACAGAAACGTTCGACTCCTATGAGGCGGAGAAAAAGAAGACTTTTGCTAAGTAAGTTTAGACCCATAATCCTCACGCGACCAGCTCACTTTGTCTACCCCACTAACGCAGTTATAGGCCAATGGCTGTTAGGGGCAAGGGAATGCAGCTTGGAAAGAAATCTAAAGCAACAGACATCTATGAGAAAGTCCGAGGAGACCTCGGCCCTGAATCTGAGGAGACTCCGTTGGTTTCTCCCGCTACAGCACCTGGCATTTCAGATAATGTGGCCCAGTCCCGCGCCTCTCTTTCCGCAGACCGCGAGCCTATCCATGTTACTGTGGCTGAGTCCGTTTCCGCCAAACTCTCCCGTGATGGTGCAGTGAAGTCGTGGGAGATAAAGGGCGATCTTCAACTGCGTATCACGGATGACACATTTTCGAAAGTGAAACTTGCTTTGACAGCCAACCCTACACATGGGGCTGTTTTCCGTACGCATCCCAATGTTGACAGGGCCCTGTTCACAAACTCCAAAGTGATTCAACTCCGTGACACTTCGAAGAGTTTCCCTCACAACATTTCAATTGGAGTCTTGCGATGGCGTGTCACTGGCACAGACAATACAGATGTCCTTCCAGTTACATTTACAGTTTGGGTAAACAGAGGTTCTCAATCAAGCACAGTGACCGTTGAGTATGAGCTTAATGGTTCAGACCCATTGCGAGACGTCGTTGTAACAATACCCTTTGGCACTGTTGAACCCACTGTGACGAATTTTGACGCGATTTACGAAGTAACTGGAGATAGCCTAGACTGGAACATTGGCACCATTGATGACTCAAATCCCTCAGGCAGTTTCGAGTTCGAGTCTGAAGACCCCAACAGTGATGAGAATGAATTCTTCCCCATGACTGTCCGCTTCCAGAAAGAAACTCCATTTGTGGATGTTGATGTTCAGACAGTGTCGCTTTTGGAGATGGATGGGCAGACGGTGAATTTCTCAAAGGACTTCAAAACGATTGCGGATGGGTACGTTGTCGAATAAATGAATTTGCTGATAGATATGTTGTCGAATAATTGAATTTGCTGGCGGTTGTAATTTTCTTCCAACACCTTTAGAATATTGATTTCTACATCTCTCTTTGTTGTTTCATGCTTTCTGCGGCGCTTTTCTATTCCGTTTATGGTTTTGTTAACTCTTCTATCTTACTTTTCAATTTAACTGGCGGGTTTCATGCACAACTTCCTCAGTTGTCCCTTGTTCTATCCTTCATTCTATGATTTGAGTTCACAAAATGGTATGGAATAGAAGGGATCTCTAGAATGGAAGACGAAATTGATTCCTTACTGAACTGGTGCTATGTGTCCTATGTACAGATTACCTGGCTTGTGGTCGATCTCGGGGCGTGCAATTCTTATGCAGGTGGGCCATCTTGCCGCGTACTTGTGGAAGCGGTGCGGCTCCATTAAATCCTGGCACTTTTGATGTATCCCCTAGTTGTCTCGACATTGACTTTAGGAATATTTGGATGTGTGCGAATTATTACTAGTTCCATAGGTGTTATATTCCGCTGCCATGTGCTTCCCGAGTAGTAGCGCGGCCTTTTAGTGATTACGTAGCGTATGTTGGTAGGATTCCTTTCATGTGTGGCTATGCTGCACACTAACAGACCCAGTGTAGGGGATCTCAGCGGCATAGGGTCCTCAGGATCAGGGAGTTTTTTTTTTTTTTTTTTTTTTTTTTCCTTTCTTTCCACAGTTTGAGAGCGAACAAGCCAGAAGACCACGTGCATTAACCTCAATCCAAGGAAAGGTATGCGTTTAAATCGGGGTTAACTATGCGCAGTGCGGGTACTGTATTCCGTACATACCAGGGGGTTAGTTACTACTGGCCAAGTGCGCGAAGCACCCCTATCTTGCCTCACTGTGGTTAGGTCTTCAAGCTTGAAAAGAATCCCGAGTCAGCTCAGCATTGAATGTGCTTGGCCCGGAATCTTGGCGCGAGTGTTTGGTACTTTTCGTTAATTCTCCCTGGCCTGAGGTAAAGTGGTATGTATGCATATCGCATCATTATGGAAATTCAATCGCCTTCGCACGCTTTTATCGAAGCCCAATCCGCCCATGGTCCATAGATGAAGCTACGAACAGCTTTCCTATAACATCGTTTGCTTGCCGATGCCGAGGATGGCGCTTAGTGCGGTAGATCGAAGGTAGAAATCTAGGCGTCTTACATAAGCGGTCACCTACGTATGACGCGGCGCAGCTTGGGGCCAGGCGGGATTAGCGCCTTGTTCCTGAAACATCCACCCTGGCCTTAATAATATCAAACGTTTTCTCGTTCACGAACGCTCAGGCTTTAACTCCCCCGCCGAGAAGCCACTGGCCCCTTATCTACCTTTCGTCCGCTCCTGCACGTCACGCACTGTGCGCCAGTTTTGTTCTGTCGGGTTGCGACCTGTCTCCATCCTCCCTTCCCTCATCGACAAGACCCCTCCTCATCAACATCTTGAGCACACTGCTGCATGGCCTCCCTCACCGTCCACCCCTCCTTAATCTTTCGTCTGATCACATCCTAACACGCACTCGTCCGGACGTCCCATCTCGCCTTTCCATTTGGGCGGCCATCGTGCGATCCGTTTACGTTCCCTGGGGGAATCCCGCCGCTCGTTTCTGTCTATCAACACCCTTAAAACCATAGTATACTTTTTGTATATAAACCCCCCGTAAACCAATCGACATCCAATCGTCACAAATCCCGCAGAAAATTGCTGGCTCGATTTCTGTACGGTCTTTAGAGGGCTTGGAAGTCAATCGATCGATATACATTTCCACATTTTCGCATCGAGCTGTGGTTCACACAGCTGTATTTGCCTGGGTTGTTTATTGGCGTTAACATTGAGGTTCTTAGAGCGGCGGGAGCGATTAGCTCCAGATATTTATCATCATGGTTTCAGACAAGTCAGTCTCCTATTCCCTCGCCGTGATAAGCGTCGGTTGATCGTAAGAGGGATTGCCAGGGCTAACATTCTGTTCCGTGCGTGTAGATATATCGGATTGGCACTTGCCATTGTGTCTACCATGGCTATTGGTAAGTACACATTCGTTCCAGTGGTTTTCGCCCCTGCGAGTGGTGAAACCCTGTACTCACAATTGTTGCTGTGTAGGCTGCAGTTTTGTAATCACTAAAAAGGTCCGTTATCACCAGCCTAATCTCCACCCGCACATTTGGAAGAACTAAATGCGCTCAAATTCTTCCGTTTTCGATCTGACATTATGTATTGTAGGGCCTAATGGACGCTTCTAGTAGACATGGCTTTGAGGGAGATGGGTTTTCATACTTAAAGAGTCCGATATGGTGGGGGGGGATAATAACGTGTATGCATCTTCTTTTTCACACGGTTACATCACCAATCATCAATATCGTGCTGACGCTGGAAGAAAATTAGTGGTTCTCGGAGAAATTGCGAATTTTGCAGCATACGCCTTTGCGCCTGCGATTCTAGTGACGCCTTTGGGGGCCCTCAGCGTTCTTATAGGGTATGAAGCCCTGGTTGTGGTCCGTAGCGTTCTAGTATACTAACTTCGTTCAGTGCTGTGCTAGGGGCATATTTTCTGGGAGAGCGATTGGGAATACTTGGAAAACTGGGCTGTGCAATGTCATTACTTGGCTCCGTCATTATCGTTCTCCATGCACCACCAGATGAAGAAATCGAAACGGTGGATGAGATTTTAGAGTACGCTATTCAACCAGGTGAGTGTTTTCCGTGCCAAAACAAATTGTTCGGCGACGCTAAGTATCGACGTAGGCTTCCTTCTTTACTGTGTAGTAGTTGCCATATTTTCAACAGTTATGATATATAGGGTGGCCCCGAAATATGGGAAGAAAAACCCTCTCATCTACATCTCAATTTGCTCGACCGTCGGCTCAGTTTCTGTTATGTCTGTCAAGGCATTCGGAATCGCGCTGAAACTTACCCTAGCTGGTCACAACCAGTTCTCGCACCCATCTACGTACGCCTTTGCCATTGTTGTTGTATGCTGCATTTTGACACAGATGAACTACTTCAATAAAGCATTAAGCCAATTTTCAACCTCGATGTGAGTTTGGGAAGCTTATTCTTCCTTATTAATACACATATGCTAATTTTCCTCGGCAGTGTGAATCCTCTATATTATGTCACTTTTACGACCGCAACGCTATGTGCCTCGTTCATTCTTTTCCACGGCTTTAACACGACTGATCCAGTCAACACTATTTCACTTCTCTGCGGCTTCCTGGTTATCTTTTCCGGGGTTTACCTCCTGAACTTATCCAGGACTGATCCCGATGGCCTTTCACTAGCTGGAAAACGCGGCGAAGACGATGGCGTCCCCACCGATGGAATTGCATCTATTCAGACCCGCCTGTCATTGCAGAATCGAAGGAGTATGGACCGACATCGACGGAGCTCGTCGAGTCTTGATTATTACGGAGGTCCTAGTGACCGTGAAGGGCTCATGCGTTCTTATGATGTCGAAACAGGCGCTTTCGGCCTACAAGATCTTACGGAAGAGAGTGATGACGATCATCAAGAGCACTCGACGCAGAAACGGAACGGCTCCGCGCTCCCACCAACCTCGTCGAAGGTTCCTGAGTCATGAAACAAAAAATTCCTGAGGATCATCCACGCTTTTTTCCACCCTACCTTGCTTCCTAGTTTCCCCGACGTATTCTGCCTGTTTAACCAAAACTAAAATCAAACCTACCTTTTTTTCCTCAACCTCCCTCGGGTATATAAGGTTTTTTTGCCTATGACATAATGGAAACGATCACGAAAAATACACCTCTATTTGTGACGATCCATTTTCTCGCCCCCTCTCCCTCCTTCCCTTATCATGGTTGTACAGGCCGGAGTGGGTTCAAACAATCAAACATCAACATCGTTCTATGATGCGGAACTATATTTCCTTTCATTTTCCCTTTTTGTTGCCAATCGGTCGAGTTTGGGGGGACATATTTGTTCATCTGGGTTAGGCTAGGGTTCGGTCAGGGCTATGTTTGTTGGGTTCAGGCTAGGTAACGAATCTCTCCCGCACTTATATCTGTCCTCATGCATTGTAGAAAGCTGGAGTATTATGGCGTTCGTGGTTTTGATGCTGTTACTCCTTTTTTTCCTGTCTCCTTTACTTGCATTTTTGTGAGGGGGTTCTTCTACTTGACATATACGTCTTCTTTTTCTCCGTTTATTACATTTCTCTCTTGTTCCTTTCGCAGCTTCACATTATCCTTTGCTTGTGGTCCTTGTTTCGTTCTTAGTTTACGTTCTTTTTCACGAAACGACCATCTTGGTTGGGTTGAATGTGAAAGGAAAGAAACACGGAATTACCTACCTAGGTATGAACATGGAAAATCCAAATAGGTACAATCATAAAGGAACCAAACATAAACCGGCGACGATGACGTCGCGGCCGTTATGATGGAGCCATCTTTTTCAACCTTCCTCTCCCTTGTTGCTCGAGCGCCTCTTTCAACTTACCGCCCTTTCTCCATTGTAAATATTTCCCTTCCATCTGAGCCGATCTCTAGATCTATTATCCACCGGTATATTGTAAATAGCTGTACTATTTTTGATTCTCGTAGTAACACTAATACTGTACATACATCCATTATATATGACCCTAATCTGTCAGATTTGACTCAAGGTCACATACTCGTTTCTTATTAGCGTTTACTTTTGCACACACTCATATACAAATATACACGTATCCGATTTGTTAGATCTATATACAAGTAGGTTAGATCCACTCGATTTGAGACTACTGCACCAGCAAATTATTTGATCTACCCACAAATACACATACATGCATGCACATCAAGTGGCGAGAAACATCATGTGTTATCACGTCTCTCTCAAGGTAACAGTGATGAGGTGTTTAGATCTGAATCACTCTAGATCAAGAGGGGATGAGGATGCGGAGAGAGTAAATTGAGGAAGTCATGTAATGTAGCCAATAAGTCATTGATGTTGTGGTACAACCTCCACCATTCGGCTTTTCGTGGATCAATTTACAAATATACATATGGTACTTAAAGAGGAAGCGTAAGCAAGTTGGGGATATAAGACTTGGTAACATCGGAACTATAAAACTATCCTACTACCTAGGTATCTCCAAGGTCAGCAGGCGTTGATGGCGTGAGTGACGTAACTTTCATGGCCAACTAGCCCGATTGAAATCAGAGCTGCTCCTCGACAGAGATCCGATGGATGCCGGGATCCGAGCAGGTAAGTGGACGTTCTGATACCGAAATGCGGTGCTCGTTTCGCAGCTCGGAGTCAATTATTGATATGGGGTTTGAAGGGTGCATGTCCTTGCAAAGTAGCCAGCTCACGTAGAACGGTTTTATTTAAAAAGGTAAGACAGTTTTCCGAATTACATGTGTGCCATGTCCTGCTGTGACAACGTCCCTTCACCTCCATGCTCCCTTCCTTGCTTTGGGAGCCGAAACGACAATTCATGGAGCCAATTAATCAATCAAATTTACCACGTATCAATTTTCTTCCTAGATCGAAGTTACGTGCTGTTTGCGCGCCATATTGATCGCCCGTTTGATCATCTTCACTGTCTCAGCCAACGCCTCCATAGAGGTGGAGCTTGGGACCTCATGGCCACCGCTATGCTTGTATGTAACCACATACGGAGACCGACGTAACTCTAGAATAATAGCGTCGAAATTTTGTAGATACGTGTCTTCCTGGCCCTAGATAATCGCAGTTGGGACATGAACTGGGTCCTCACTCCGTGTAGTGGTGACGTAGTGAACCTCCCCTCTAAGGAGATCTTGCCATGAAAGAGGTAGCGCGCCGATAGTAACATATTGCATTTGAGAATGGGATTGATGCGTTAATTCACTGGGTCTTCCTGATATTTGTGGATGCCATAGGATGTAGCGAGCATAGCGCCTTGAGAAAAGCCTATGACGCCGTCGAAAGGGCCTTCATCTTCGATGTATTTGCCTAAATTGTCAAGGGCTTTAAGGATGATTTCTGGCGAGTTGGGATTGTAGTGAGCGAAGGTATCCTCCTTCGACGTGACGAGAGATGTGATCTCTAGAGGCTGGGTTGTTCAAATCACACCTGCGCATATGAAGGTTTCGCTGGATTAACGCACATACGTACCTGGGGCAATTGGCCATGGCAGACATCTCTCAACAAAGTGATACTCGTGATCACCGCCTAATTCATATCGTATGGCGGCTGCATATGAAGTTGAAGAGAGATTGTCAGCTGGGCAAGGTCAAGTATGATCAAGTGATTACTTTACCTGTCTGGATTCTGAATATCTAGACACAGCTCAAGTATTAGCAATGGCATAACGAGTCAAGAGGACGTAGAAACACATTTTTAGCTAGAATCACATCGTGGCAATGGAGCTATCGCCTGGCTATTCGTGCCAGCACCATGAAGGCACAGAAACCGCGTGATGTATCCGACTCAAAGCAAAACAGTGCTATTCTACGCGCTCAACCGCGACCGAGTTGTTCGAACGTCTGTAGAAGGATGTATATTTGGAGATGAAAAGTCACAAAGGGCAGTAGTCGATTCTCAGGGAATGAAGGGGGAAACCAGTTTGTTTTGGATCAAAAGGAATATAAATATTTGTCTTATCACATCTGATGGACTTGAGAAAAGGGACGTGGCCATCTCGGCATGTCAGAATGAGCCCGACGGAGGCGGAAACTTATACAGAAGCATGGGACTAGTATGAGTTTCCTTTGCAGCATGTAGCTGTTCCGATCGCCAGGAGGATGCAGGCTGGGGCAAATTTTCAAGCGCTTTTCTTGTGTTGGCTGTATAAGTAGAGGGGCTTTTGACCAGAGATCCAAGCAATAACAGCCGCTCGGGCTGCTTTGAGTTTTGGGCAGGTGGAGCCAATACAATTGACTTCATCGCAAGACAAGAGACCAAGCTCCGTAGCTTGCATTTCAACGTTCCTAGTGACATCTCCCTTGTACATGTACATGAGAGCACAGATATGTACATACATGTTTGCAACAATGCTTGAAGGGGAGATTGACACAATGTAAATTCATATTGATCCACATTCCTACATTTGTGTCAGGGGACAAGCTCTTTCTCTTTCTTCACCGGTAAGATATAACTAGGTATAGTATTTGTGCTCAGTGAGATGTGTTGGTTTGTCCCAGACAGCAGACTTCAAAAAAATGGCTCTTTGAGATGGAACACGTTAAAAAAGATCCCGATGGATGCCGAGACTGGAGGCTCCGTGCTAGTGCAAAGTTAGTCAGCATCAACCATCAAATCGCCAACTGCATAATTTTGTACAGCACCAATTGACTCAGAACATGTGCAGAGTCCACGCATACCCTGTACGCTGTTCTTCTTCAGAAACATTGATGAGCAAAAGACATCTAGTCCAATCTCAGTATATGCTGTGTCCAGAGACCATCACTCGGGCTGGTCTACAGTATGATATTTTCTACATCCCAACCACCCAACAACCCAACCATGGGTGTTATTGCACGAGTGGAATATATGGATCTTGAACTCTGTGGGAGACATGACACTGCCAGAGGCTTAAAAGTGTTTGGCCTCAGACGCAGTTGGCTAGTGTTTGCTATTCTTGGGGTCAAGAATATACCCGACGACAACTTGTGTGAAAAGTTGAAGCGTAAATTTGACAATTATATCACTTGGATTTTTTCCTCTCTTGCAATTTATATCATCTTCGACAGCTATTGTGTCGGGAGCTCCAATACAATTTACCGTCCTAAAGTCTTGTATTTTGCCTGCAAGAGTTATTTCAGAAGAGCCGACTGAGAATCTCTGCTTGCCTGTTTAAAGTCTGATTGGCAGCTTTCACATTGATCGTTGAGACTTCACCACAACAAGTTTCCATTTCACGAAAGATAATTTTCTCCAAGTGAAATGCTAACTATATTTGTAGTGGTTCTGTGAAATCAAATATAGGCCACTTGAAGGAACTAGTCGGCTCACGGGCTTGGGGAAAGCGAAATTAGCACTTGAGAGGGGAATAGTCTCTCCTAGTGCTAATTTTGAGCGTCTGAATCCTAAAATTGACGCTGACTACTTGAACATTGCTGTAAGTGAATCTTTCGCTATACATTTCATAGTTATTGTCGACAGGTTCCGCAAACTGGAGTGCCGTGGCCATCGGACGGCCTTCGTCGAGCATCGCTCAGTTAATTTGGTTTTGGCGGATCCGATTGCCACGTCGTGATCGAAGATGCATACAATCATCTACGTTTGAATAACCTCACTGGAAAGCACTCTACCGTTGAGAAGCCTCCATTACCGGAGGATATAGCTCGACGTTGGAAAGCTTCCTTAAGCCATTGTTATAACTCTGCTACAAAACTGGGTGGTGTTTCTGGGTTTTCCGGAGGCAGCGAAGACCCTGACGGAGGACTCGCCGACGGATTGGAGACAAACGAATCCATTTACCCCAGATTACAGCCCAGACTACTTGTTTGGTCATCTTCTGATAAAGAAGGGATATCTAGGATTGCGTTGTCATATTCTCAGTATCTCCATCAACTCTCTCTTGAGCAGGGAAAGAAATCTTATCTTGATAATGTCGCCTACACCTTGGGGACTCGACGAAGCCTTGTACCATGGAAATCATTCGTTGTTGCTGATTCTCTTCGAAATATCAGTCTAGAAACTTCAATGTCGAAACCAAGGTTATCGACTCCGAAATCGTATCTGGGGTTTGTCTTCAGTGGCCAAGGGTCGCAATTGTACGCTATGGGAAGGGAATTGTTATATTATCCAGTATTTAAGCGTAGTCTCCAAGATGCTAATGAGTACCTGCGCAATATCGGGTGTCCTTGGTCTCTGTTAAGTTAGTATGGCCCTTCCCACCCTGCATCCCTCGCGTACTTACTTGCGTTCGCAGATGAATTTCTTAAACCTGAGGATGAATCTAGGGTTAACGAGCCAGAGTATAGCCAGGGCCTGTGTACTGCACTGCAAATTGCTTTGATCGACCCCCTCGCAAGTTTCGGTATTTTTCCATCCGTTGTAGTTGGCCACTCATCCGGGGAGATCGCGGCTGCATACACTGTCCATTTCATCTCACGTCGGTCGGCATGGAAGCTAGCTTATTATCGTGGCGTTCTCTCTTCCACTTCGAGTAGAGACACTCACACGATGATGTCAGTTGGCCTTTCCGCAGCCCAACTCTCACCATACTTCGAGAAAGTCGCAGCCAATTCGAGAAGTTAGAGGTTGTTGCTGCATGTATAAACAGTACGACAAACACAGCGGTTTCCGGATTGGAAGCGCAGGTTGACTTTCTGGAATCAATATTGGATAAAGATAGAATATTTGTGCGAAAGTTGCGTGTCCCAGTGACATACCACTCCCCCCAGATGAATGTTATCGCAGAAGATTACCTCAAAAGCTATTCAAGACTTGGAATTTGGGGAGGGAGGTTCATCAAATCCGGTCATGATATCTTCAGTTACTGCTCGTCGTGTTCACGCAGAGGATGTCATTCACAGCGAATATTGGAAGAGTAATGTGGTATCCCCAGTCAATTTTTCTTCCAATCTTGCTCAAGTATGCGGCCGGCCAAGCCAAAAGCCAACAAACTGGACGGAAACCATGGAAAAATTATTAGTATTTCTGGGATCATTGAAACCGGGCCACATTCGACGCTTCAAGGGCCAATTCGGGATATTCTGAAGTCAATTGGGCGGCAAGCCGATATTGGATACATTTCTCTTCTTAGACATAACACTTCGACAATAGCATCTACAGTAGAAGAAGCCTTGGGCTGCCTTCATTGCTCAGGCTATACGCTCAACCTGCTGTCAATCAACAACCACTCAAAGGATGGAGACATATCAAGTGAACTGCAAGTGCTGGTAGATTTGCCTAGTTACCCCTTCACATATTCACAGAAGTACTGGCACGAGTCTAGAGCGAGTAGCACGGGACACCGATTACGGCAACATGGGCGTTATCTCGGGACTCCCGTGCCCGACTAGAACCCGTTAAACCCGATGTTGCGGAATATAATATATAATCAAGATATCAGAACTTCCATGGGTCGAGGATCATAAGGTATGTGAGAACATCCCGTTGTCTTCTGAATATTTATGGAACAAGCAGTACTGAATTTTTAGATCAACGGAAGAATTATATACCCCGGAGGGGTATTCTAGTGATGGCAATTGAGGCTGCGAAGCAAATTGCAGACCCGAATTGTACGGTGACCGGCTATAACGTTAGGGACGTCGTATTTCAGGCAGAATTAAATATTCCAACAAGCTCCGATCGTATCGAAACTCGGTTTTACATGAAATCTATCAGAAGTTCACCGATGAGGGTGAATGGTTCAAGTTCAGCCTTCATAGCTGCAATCACGATAAGTGCACTCGCATGGCTACATCCAAATTGACTACTATAAACAGGGAGCACTAACATGTGCACCTTGAATGAAACAAGAGAGACGACCACATATTATACGCGAATATATCAACAGGGCCGGGTAGTTTGTAACACTCCTGCCACCACAGACTTTCTCTATCATAATGGATCTGAGTTTGATTGCGGGCCCGCATTCCATCGACTAACGAATGTTGCCCGTAGCGGGGACGGTCAGGCGATTGGAGACGTTTCCTTCTACTCATCCAGAAGTCATAATACGCCGTATACTCAACCACATGTCATCTGCAATCGTTTCGACTGCGCTAGCCACAAAGCTCTCCATAGTGTTAGCAATTCCTGTTGAAGACACTAGATTTCAACAAGCCTATACAAGATTTCGGTGCAGATTCGTTAGTTGCAGCTGAACTCCGCAACTCGTTCTCTCGAGACTGGGGTACTGAGGTCGCAGTCTCTGACATCATCGGTGGTGCGACGTTCAAAATGACGGGGGCTTGGTAGCTAGCAGGCCTCCTCATAGACAGGCTACTTGGACAAAATGTGACCTGTGTTTTTGAAGTGCGATGCAGTGAGTGTGGGGAGTGTCTGGGGGAAAGGGGAGAGAGAAGGGCGTGGGGAGGCAGAATCACACTGAAGAATGTGCGGTGGACGTTCATTTGAATAGCATTGTTCTGACACCACTTCCACAAGCGATGATAGCATCAAGATGTGCTATTCCCGATTCTCCCAACGGTGAAGTCAACCAAATCGTAACAATACAAAGTCAGCTTGCCAAATGTGATATTTGGATGAGCGGGAACGAGCCATGGATAATGAAAACTTAATTACATCTAGATTTTACGATTTGGAATTTCAGTTCGGGATTTGCCCAGTATCCCAGTATCCCACAAATACGCCGAGCTAGCTCAATCGGTAGAGCGTGCGGCTCTTAATATGAGTTTAGACTTTTCGAACCAAATATTCGAATATCCAACCCAATTGATAAACCGCAAGGCTGCGGGTTCGATCCCCGCGTTCGGCTTTACTTTTTTGTATTTTTGTGGCTTTTACCTCTCTCGGGTCTCTTGTGAATGTAAAACTTTGCTCTCAGGCGTTGCGGAAAAACAAGGCTTATATCCCTGGTGGAATTTTTTCTTGCATCGGGCCGAAAGTGCCACCGACAGGTCGTTACAGCCCGGCTTTGATCCAGCAGGGCAACTGGCTGAAAGCGTTTCGTTTCTTTGCCCTTCAGAGGCCTATCAGACACGCCGAAAATCGCCGTTCACGTTACTCCGTTCGCGAATTTCCAAAACTAATTTGAGCCTGCGAGTCGGAATGGGGCTTTGATAGACAACATTAAATGGCAGCACGATACAAGAACACGATTGCAGGTAACCGCCGTCAAAATTTCCCGAGGACCAAGAACCATGGTAAGGTACAATAAGGCCGGGTAGGGCTATTATATCTTTCATAGCCTGAACCTCTCTCTCTGCTGTGCGCTTTGACTCCGTGATTTACAGAGCAACCGGGGCTCCGAGAAATCCATGCCCGCAAATTAGCTTGTCGAGGAGTGGTCTCGTAGTGAGAATGAATAGTAGGCTGTCGCGAGTGATATTGAGGCATCCTGTAAGTGTTTCTGAAGATTCAAGCGGAGTTGGCAAGTGAAGGTGTTATTAGTTAGTTAATCCGTATGCATCAGATCAGATAAGCTTCTTACCACAGGCTTAGTTAACTATAACTATATTACGCTATAGTTACGTTACCTATTTCGAACTAGTGTACCCCCTCATCCGTCATATCAGATGGTTCGACTAAACCCTAATCGAATCTTCCTGCAATTGACTTCGAAGTCGGGCTGATAACGGCGGCTATCAGAACTTACCTGATGCAGCAAAGAATAGTCGGATTCCGACCTTGCTATAGTAATAAGACAAGGCAATGCCGGGGTTGGCCAGAAAATTGTGGATTTTTGCTGCTGTGGATGGGCTTATTCTTCAGTCTTGCCCATCAACACAGCGCGGTGCTTCGAGCAACCCATCCACTGCGCTCCAGATTGAATACAAAACTCGCCGTATATACTCCCCGCCCTCTACCTCGAGCGCTGATGACGCTTGCTTAGAGTCTCACGGGGTAATTGGTGTGTAATCTCAATCTGGATACCGTTGACCTCTTGGAACCTGACAGTTTTCCTCTAACCTGATAGGCCTTCTCTCACTCGCGTCATTCTCCTTCTTAATATCCATTACCCAGCGACAGCAGGTGGCTCAGATCCTTGGAAAACCTATTTTTGCCATTACAGGTGTAGCTATCATTCCTCTTTCCTCTCAAGCTGAGGCGACCAAAGCGATCAATCAGGCACAAGCCCAGGTAGCTTCCAAAAGGGATAAAGATGCGAACGATGATGTCGAAGCCCAGTTTTCGGAGAGCGAGACCGACCCGTCCACTGGCCGCAGTAGCGACGATATAGAGCTAGAAGCCCCGGATTCAATAGACCGGGAAATATACCCGCCGTTGGGCAGTAGGGGTAGGAAAGGAAGCACTATTGCTGAAGACGTCATTGAAAAGCGAGGACGGTATGGGAGGTTCACGTCCCGTTGGTTTTCGAAAAATGGATGGCCGGGAGAGAATAACCGGCCCGATGGAAGTGGATTTGAAGGGGTAATCGATCCTGCAGCAGAAGGGTCCGTCAAAGGAAGAAAGAGCGGGGATTATAAACACGAAGTTCTAGAGCTCGACGACCTCTCCTCTACCGGGCAGAAAGCTTCTTCTGCTCCGCAAGAAATAGACACTCCAGTAGCCGGAACGGCAACGTACGAACTAATGCCGAAGTTTCTACGGTATACGAAGCTATTTTTCAGTTCGCGCAGTTTTTATTTTTCGTATGATTACGACATCACTCGGAAATTTGGTGTCCATGACCCTCAAATCACGCCAGTGCCGTTACATAGAATGGCGGATCCCGTAGTATGGAACCTTTTCCCTTCGTCCCTACTTTTCGAGCTCCACTAATTTGACTGTAGTATTTCTGGAATAGATATTTGATGACCCCTTTTATTGAAAGCGGGCATCATTCACTGGTCCTTCCGCTGATACAGGGGTTTGTTGGACAGAAGGAATTCACTGTCACGAAGTCCACGAAATCTCCAGTCGCTCAAGGCGCCACGATTACCCCAGAAGTGGAAATAGCTACCAATACACCGGATACACCTACTACAGAAAATGAAGACGAACGCGGCAAATTTCTTCTCACTTTAATTTCACGTCGGTCCGTTAAACGCCCGGGACTTCGATATCTTCGACGAGGAATAGACGACGAAGGCAATGTCGCAAACTCCGTTGAGACGGAGCAAATCTTATCTAGGCCGTCGTGGAACCGCTCAGACAAGGTGTATTCTCTTCTCCAGATTCGCGGGTCAATGCCTCTTTATTTTTCCCAGTCTCCTTATTACTTCAAACCCGTACCTGTGCTTCGCCACTCCATCGAAACAAATCAAGTGTCGTTCGCTCGGCACTTCCGTGACCTTAGCAGGCGGTATGGCGAAATTCAAGCCATCTGCCTCCTAGATAAGCATGGTGTTGAAGTTAAAATTGGGGAGACATACCAAAGTTTCGTGGACACTTATAATAACCGCGACAATGCGGACTCTGCTAAAATTGGATTCGACTGGTTTGACTTCCATGCGGAATGCCGGGGAATGAAGTTCGAGAACGTCCAGCGCCTAGTTGATTCAATCTCGGGAACACTAGATCGTTTTGGCAATTCTGTCATACAGGACAATACTGTGTTGAAAAGCCAGTCTGGCATCGTCAGGACAAATTGTATGGACTGTCTGGACCGTACTGGTGTTGCACAATGTGCGTTTGGACAACGAGCATTAGAGAAGCAGCTCGAAAGCGAAGGATACTCTATCGACCTACGGAATAGCACATCTACGCAGTGGTTCAACGTGCTGTGGGCGGACAACGGGGATGCCATCTCGAAACAGTACTCCTCAACGGCTGCCCTTAAAGGCGATTATACCAGAACAAGAAAACGAGATGTTCGCGGAGCGCTCAATGACCTCGGACTAACCCTATCGCGCTACTTCAACAATATAGTCAATGATTACTTCTCCCAGGCTTGTATCGACTACCTTCTCGGCATTGTTACTACCCGTGTTTTCGACGAGTTCGAGATGAACCTCATGTCTGCTGATCCGGGGATTTCTCTCGAGAAGGTACGGCAGCACGCCATCGACACCAGCTGCCAAATCGTGATCAGCGATGAATCCGAGGAGCTCGTGGGAGGCTGGACAGTTTCCAGTCCCCACGAGCCCAATACATTACGCTCATTACCATTCGAACAGTCCGTTCTTTTGCTAACAAATGCTGCCGTCTACTGCTGCCGTTTCAACTGGGATACGGACAAAGTTACTTCCTTCGAGCGCGTCGACCTTCGCTCCATCACCAGCATCAATTACGGCACTTACATCACCTCGACCCTCACTGATGTCCAAATGGAACCCAAACACAATGTCGGAGTCGTAGTAACTTACCAACCGGCCGCGACAAATACAATGCGCGTAAACACGCACTCCCTCCAAAGCCTCTTGGATCAGATATCACAATCCTCCTCCTCCTCAGAACCTCCCCCTAACAATACTTCGACTTCGACCTCGACCTCAACCACAGGTCCGGATTGGGACATCTCCTCTCTGTTCAAACCAGGCGAGAGTGGCAGTAAACGCCCCGTCTCGCGCTTCATGGCGTTCAAGATCCTCCCCCAGACCAACATGACCGCCAGAAACGCCCTTGACAATGTGCAGGTTAGCGAAAGGGACGCTGCGCGTGCTCTCTGTGAAGAGATTGAGCGCACTGTTATGCGGGGCGCGTCAGATAAAAGTGGTGCTGCCAGCACTGGTGGTTCAAGACACGTTGACAGACATTCGATGGTTGAGGAGGTGGAGATCATTTCTGTGGCTGATGCGAAAAAACGGACTGGGTATTTGGAGCATTTGATGTTTGATATTAAGAAGTTAGTGTGGGCTTGAGAATATTCGGGGGACTTTGTCTTCGGCTTTTTGTCTCTCCTCCTAGGTTGGAAGTGGAACGATAAGGTGTTAGGGGGGGAGATTCCCCATTTCGTTTTCGTTTTTATTTCGTTGTAGCTAATCTTGTCCTACTTTGAGCATTTTTTGCTTGCCGCTGGTTGCTTGCGTTGCATCACACAGGTTGATACCCAGGTGAGAATTGTTTCGGCTTCCCTTCATAAACATACACATACACATCATACACTACACCGTGGAAGAACATCGGATCATAAATAATAAACTCAGTTTCATATTATGAAATTCCAGGGGGTTATCGATCTTGCTTGTCGTCAAAATATTGACGACGTGGAACTGTCTTTTTCACTGGTACCACATCCCCCACCATATCGGTCCAGGCTGCCAGAATGTTTCCGTGCAATCTGCCTATGAAGGAGGTGAACGCCTTGTCCGGTGGGTATTAATTGTGTGTAGTGGTTTTATATTTACCACAACCACCACCAACCGGGAACGGTAACTCGTCGTGACTCGACTTCCCACGAGCCCGTAAGGGCTGAAACTTGAGGTTTTAAGCGAAGGTAGGTTTCATGGAAATTAAGAAGCTCGAGTTCGAGATGGAAATGACACCTGGTTTATCTGTACAAACCCACCTTTAAACGCATGATCAGGCTCAATTGGCCACCTAAAAGCGTGATCCACTTTCAGCAAAGCTAGAAGTTAATATTAGGGACCTTGGGCTCCTATGACTACATGTCGGCCTTGGGATCACCAAATCAGAGTTCATCGGCAATTGGGACCACTTTCTGTGGCAGCCGACGATCGTCTGAAAAGCATGTTCTAGAAGGGAAATAGAATAACACACCGGGGCATGGGCTGAAAGCTTAATCAGCGTCTAGCTTGATCCATCTCAAGGTCGCAGTATTTTTGGGGGCCAAGTGTATTGTAATGTAGTTACGTACATGTACAGTACATACATGGATGACGCGTACGGAGTTCTATTCGCTAGGTAAGACAAACGATTGACCTTTCTCGCCCTTTTCCCAGCAATGTATATATACATACGAGTAGTTTCACATCACCTGGGAGCAACCCGAATACTACATTTGATCAACGATCCCATTCATATTTTCGAGCACTAGACTGATATCGAGTTTGAAAGCATCTCTTGTTCGCTTTCTCGTTCCCAGACCCTCCCCACGAGCCCGTTGTTTTTGTGTAAAGTGAGGGAAATGGTCCTTAACGGGAAATGATTCACGAGGACGCAAATGACGTGGCTAATCCCGCTAGTAGCATTTGCAGCGGAGGTGATTGATATGATATGTATTGGTACCTGAAGCAACGGCAACAAGGACAAAAGGGCGAAGAGCCTGATTAACTCCCAGGGATTAGCGGCGGTACGGTATATAACTTGGTAAATTTATAGGCGCCTGCACTTCTGGGGCAATGAACGTCATCAACAGGGTGGTTTCCTCTCTTCTGTTGTCTAAACTACATGCTTGAAACGGAAATAAAGCACAGAATAGACGTTGCTTGTTCATTTGTCTCGTTGGATGTTGGATGTTGTGAAGAGGGGCCGTTATGCCAAGCCCAGTATTCTGCCGACCGCCACCGCCGCACTAGCCGCTTCGGGACATTCCCACCAACCGCCAACCCTCAACCGTGCCATCACCACCACTCGCGCAAAAATCCCACCGCTTGCAGACAACCCTGCCCGCGCTTTCGCCTCTACTTTCTGTCCGGGTTGCGGGACTTTTCTACAGTAAACCAAGTCTGTGATCTTTGAGGTTGGTGCATGCATCGTTCTAACCCTAACCCCTTTGCAGGTTTCCCACCTCTATCTCCACACCCCGCCATCCCACTAATATCTCCTTGCTTCAGAAGTCAATCGCATCCCCCATCAACGAACATTTAAATACCCCCCGGAAACCCAAAGCACAGAGTCGCGCTGTGATTCGGAATCTTCTGTATTGGCGACAGAGGCGCCCTGCCCGAACCTTCTCGTGGATTTCGTCGTTCGGTGATATTTGAATCTATATCAGCCCTCCGCACCACTTCCCCCTTGGGTGTCACCTATATCCCTACGAATATCTATCACCATGGCATGGCAACCGCAGGATCAGCCATTGAGGCAATTGGCTGGATTTCTAAATGATTCATTGAACGGAAGCGATAGCTCTGTCCGAAAACATGCTGAACAGGTATCTCTCCAAACTGCCTCTTTCCCCTCGGGCTCTTAATTACTCGCCCCCTGCCACAAATGGTGCGCCGCTATATAGTAAAGAGCTATTGGGCGCTACAAGAACATTTTGCCTCCGTTTAAGGAAGTCCTTAGCTGACAGCTATTATTTGGCAGATGCTGGTGCAAGCTACCACGTCCCCAGATTTTGCCAATTATCTTACCTACCTGTTCAGCACCCCCCAACCCCCTCCTCATATCGGTTTCGATAATGATACTTATAATATCGTTCGGGTCGCAGCCTCATTGAACCTAAAAACTAAACTTAAAGTCGCATATGGAACTGTTACGTCGGAGAGTCTGGCATATATTCGCTCCGCCGCGCTGTCAGTCCTTCAAGATCCTTCACCACAGATTCGCAATTCGGCAGGCTCCATAATTGCTGAGATCGTCGCACGAGGTGGTCTTCTCGCATGGCCGACTTTACTAGACGAACTCCTTTCCCTTGTCTCGAATGCTTCGGGGTCCGTGCCAATTTTAACCCAGGAGGCAGCCATGTCAGCTCTTGCGAAGGTCTGCGAGGATAATAGAAAGCTGTTGGACAAAGATTTCCAGGGCCAGAGACCGTTAAATATTATTCTCCCAAGGCTAATGCAATGCACATCAAATCCGAGCCCAAAAATCCGCGCTAGCGCTTTATCAACAATCCACATGTTCCTTTCTCAAAGGCCGGATATTTTAATTGGCTCGTTGGACACCTTCCTTGAGCATGTATTCCAACTTGCCAGCGACCCAAATACCGATGTTCGGAGGACAGTATGCCAATCCTTTGTTCAGTTAGTGGATATTGCCCCAGATAAACTCGTTCCCCATATCGCGGGGCTAGTGGATTATGTACTCATGCAGCAGCATGATCCTGAGGACCCGGAATTGGCTTTGGATGCAGCAGAGTTTTGGCTGGCCGTTGGGGAACAGAAAAAGTTACAAGAACCCTTGGTGCCGTACTTGGGTAAAATTATACCAGTTCTTCTCCGCAGCATGATATATGATGAAGACGACGCGATACTTTTAGCCGGAGAAGATGATGACGCAGAAACCGAGGATAAGGTAGAAGATCTGAAGCCTCAATTCGCCAAATCTAAAGGTTCACGGTTACAGTTCTCCAGTGGTGATGGCAAGTCCAACGGTGATGCTGTGGATAAAACGGTCGCCGACGATGATGATGATTTGAGTGAGGGAGAAATTGAAGATGACCTGGACGAGTTTGGGGACGATGACCCCGAAGCGGAATGGACATTACGTAAATGCTCGGCGGCCGCGCTTGATGTTTTCGCCAATGTATATCATCAGCCTGTATTCGAAATAATATTGCCATACCTCAAAGATAACCTGCGACATGCTCAGTGGACAAACCGAGAAGCTGCTGTTCTAGCGCTCGGTGCTATTGCAGATGGTTGTATGGATACCGTTACACCTCATTTACCAGAGCTTGTTCCTTACCTCATATCTCTCCTTTCCGATCCCGAACCAATCGTCAGGAAAATCACTTGCTGGTGCCTCGGAAGATATTCAGAGTGGGCTGCGCACCTTGATGCGACCAAGAAGGCACAGTATTTCGAGCCGATGATGGAAGGGATTCTGCACAGGATGCTGGACAATAATAAAAAAGTCCAAGAGGCTGCGGCATCAGCCTTCACGAGTTTAGAAACGAAATCAGACGCAAACCTTCTGCCCTATTGCCAACCAATATTACGACAGTTCGTTCTTTGTTTCGAAAAGTACAAGGATCGTAACATGTACGTGCTTTATGACTGTGTGCAGACTTTGGCTGAAAGTGTTATGTCTGAGCTAGCGAAGCCAGAACTGGTGGAGATTCTCATGCCTGCGCTTATCCGACGATGGAACAAATTATCCGACCAGTCCAGAGAGCTTTTCCCCTTATTAGAGTGCTTGGGCTACGTGGCTGCTGCATATGGCGATGCTTTCTCGCCCTTCGCTCCGCCGATATTCGCTAGGTGCATTAAACTTATATACACCAATATCCAGGATTATCTTACGGCTGTTACTCACAATACGGGTGAGGAACCAGATAAAGATTTCCTAGTAACAAGTTTAGACATGCTTGGTTCGATTATCCAGGCTATTGATCCCCAGAAAAGCTCAGAACTAGTGACCACATCACAGCCCCCATTTTTCGAGCTTCTCCGGTTCTGTCTTGAAGACCCCAATTGGGAAGTGCGGATATCATCTTATGCCCTCCTTGGGGATTGTGCGATCAATATTTTCCCTACTCTCGAACCCGTCCTTCCTACAGTAATGCCCATCCTAATCAAACAACTTGATCTCAACTTAATACGGGACGATGAGTCTGAGAACGGCCTTCGTGTGATTAACAATGCTTGCTGGGCCGCTGGCGAGATTGCTGCCGTTAGCAAAGCCGGTATGGTCCCGTTCTTGGAAAACCTCTATCAAGCCCTCACCACAATCGTGAGCAATGAGGAAGTCCCCGATTCTGTTAACGAGAATGCCGCGATGGCATTGGGCCGTCTGGGAATTGGATGCGCTGAGCAGCTTGCCCCGCACTTGAGAGAGTTTGCGGATATGTTCCTTCGATCAATGGCGAAAATCGACTTCACCCGCGAGAAGGCGAGTTCGTTCATTGGGTTCAATCAAGTCGTCCGGGCAAACCCAAAGGCTATGGAAAGCTGTCTTTCGGATTATTTCCATGCAATTGCGGTATTTCCACATAAATCGTTGAATCAGCCCCACTTTCAGGACTTGCAACAATCTTTCCAGCAGGTAAGGAACTTCCAATTTCCTTTCGTAGATTATACCCCTACCCTCCTAGTATCCTAGAGTGGTCTAACACGCACACCCAATTTTACAGGTTCTTCAAGGCTATAAAGACCTAATCCCGGACTTCAGCTCGTTTATGGCCTCTCTACCCCCTCCCGTTTCCAGAAAACTCCAAACAGCATATCAACTCTGATATATCTAGCACCAATATGTCAATTATATTTTTATCATATCTTATGAGACAAGAGAATGGCCAGTCAATTTTATTAAAAGAAAAGCGTCCTTCCCGACGGCAATGAATAATATGATAACACATTTATATCCCTTTTCATTCAACATATTCCTAAGAAGAAGCAGTTTATATCATCGTTTCCCCCAAAACTCTATATACTTTATTTCTCTCCAATGCATATTTTCAAGGGATCCCTATTTTCGTTTTACTAACTCTCCACCATCTCCTTGTTTAACTTTGACTCTCTAATCTCTATTTCTTAAGCTCTTGTTCTCTTTCTTGAGGTCTTATTCTCATCCGTTATGTTATTCCCTGCTTTCAGGTATATTTTTCTCGGTTTCATTCTTATATACTCATGATGAAGCGTTCGCAGAAGAAAACACACATGATTTATTCTTTTTCTCTCATATATTTTCTCTTACACTTCCTTTATGAAGTATTATGCCAACCCATGTGGTTGGGCGGAAAGAGCTTGGACTCGGATTTTCTTGCGATATTTTTTTGAGAAATATCTGTAAGTGATGACATGACGTACGTGCGCATACGGAGAGCAAACGGATACCTTGCTGGATGTATGGATGTGTTCTGATGGGCGCAGTTGGTATGCTCTGGTATTGTTCTGTGGGTGCTTTGTAGCAGCCAGTTGACTCAGGAGGCCCCCGGTATACGATGCTGGACACCCACCTAGGCCCTGCGTCCATATATGGACAAAGGGAAGCTGCAGAACCCGGTGAGGTTAATGAATTAATGAATGATATATCTTTCTGCTATCCGGTTAAAGGGTCATAGTAAAACTGGCGGAAGAAAGAGAAGGACCTGATATGAAGGACGGGAGTATGAATGGGACGGGATATGTTGGGGGGAAGAGAGACAAAATAGATATCAATATCTTAATCATCCATTTCCTTTTAAGGCAGTGTCTGGCTGAATACGTAGGATCGTTTTCTATTTTCTACAGTTTCTTTCTTTATTTCGTCTCCTCCACCAGTTCAGCCAGCTACTGGGTTTTTACACCTTCAACCCCTTGATAGGCGACATCATCTTCGTCCACACTCTTTTTTGTTCTACCTACCTATGGACTTTTGTTTTCATCATTTTCTTTCCCAGTTTCTCTATCCCCCTTAGTTCGTTCGTATTCTATTCATCTCTCAGCTTGCGTGCTACAGCGTGGTTGCCCCATATTCAGGAGAAGGCAATGTTGAATGGGAATGGATAGCTTCTCTTCCGTGGCGTTCTATCTTAGCAGATAGCCTTGGTATATACATATATATAGGTCATATGCCCATTCTCTTGCTCCATTTTCTTGCTCCTCTTTATTTATTTATTTTTTGTTAATGAATGGACAGAATATGGTGGACGCCAGAGCCTGTACCCTGTTTTTCTCCTGTCAAGTTCTTTTATGACAGGTATTTCTTATTTTAAATAGGTAGATAGGTATTTAGATAGCATATTTATCTTTAAAACTCATCAGATTTATCATCATACTCTAATTACGGATACATTTATCAACCTTCACTGGATTAAAGAACATTGGGCATGTTTTTCCTGTTCTGGCCGAATACTCTGTGCACTCCTCTCCATCTAGAGCTACCACAGACCTTTGTGATCACAGAATAGAAGATAGGAAGGGAAACAAACCAGGATGAAGTAGATGGTGATGATTGGATACGCCAACAGTACTGACCTATCTCTCCCTTCTCCTAACCTTCAAATTGTTAAAAGACAGAGCAGATTGTCTCCGATTCTCTCACTCGACATGTTTCGAAGGGCACATGAAATGTTACAGGGAGCAGAGACTAGATAAGGGAGGGTTAGGACGTGTCAGTATGGCCACGTGCATTAACTACGAGTAATCAGGGTTGTCTTGTCTTAGTTAGGGGTGCACATTGTCTTGCTTTTCAAAGGCGTTTTCTTCGCCGGTCGCTGAGTCTGAGGGTTTCTAGAATCGCAGAACGATGTGGTTGAAGGAGAGGATGAAGGCTGAGTGAGGGTGAGACACTGGTAATGGTCTCCTGTGTTCGCCTGTGCCAGTCCCATTTTTGCTCCGGAGAGTTGTTTTTTCGATATACCACTTGAGGGAACTGGAGACCTCAGTGTTTTCGTTTAATTACTTACTTCCCACTTCTAGCATTCTGCCAGCTGGGCCAACTGCTCCTCTCTGTTCTAGGAGTCTGATTAAAATCTATGGAAGAATATCGTGACGATAATGTCTTTGTCACAGTTGTGAAATGACCCAACTGCTCCAGGAAACCAACACAGAACAAAGACATGCAGAGAAGAGAAAGAGAATAAGATTATAAGAAAGAAAACAAGGAATCCAGAAAGGAAAAAACAAGCGAGAAACCTCGATCCTCGCTTCAAATCCGTGAAACAACAACGCACGACATATCTCTGCATCACCTTGCGTCTCAGGATATGCGTGCGCGCACATGGCTTTGGCTTTCTGCATTTGTTGCACAGAAAACACACGTGGGAAGATGAGAGATAACCAGCTCTTTGTGCGCTCTTTGTCCTTCCCGGAGACTATTTCTTGTTTCTGCAATGCATGCGGTGAACGACACCATGCAGCCTCAGTTCGCGTAGATTTTGCGGGACTCGGAGGCACAGTATCGCCAGCTCCCTTTTCCTTCCCCATATGCCGGGCAAAATTTCCCACGAGCCCTTGAATGGGCTTGCAATAGGGGGTTGTACCAACGTAGCAGAGCCTCAAACCAAGGACATCTTTGCATTCAGCTGCAAATGTACTCTGCACTGGACTAAGTAAACAGACAATTTGGTGCTGGTTGATCGGATTGGTGTGTTTTCTCCATTTCATTAGGAGACAAAAAAAAAGGGAGCCCGAAAGAGAACGTGTCCAAACTACTCTGTACATTTTAATCTTTTGAGACTTTGGAAAAAGCCTTGCAAACTTCATTTACCGGCCTTTCATTTAGTTAAGACCCCAAAAGGTTGAGGCCATCGGCCCTGCCAACCCCAACCACCACAGCGGCAAGAAGTCTTCGGCCCAGCGACATAACCATGGAATCCTTTCAAGTTTCCGCCAATATTTGCCTGAACAGGCCGAACACATAACGATAGCGGCTCCGCGCTATCTGTTCTTCCTATTTGCTCGCGTGGGTTCAGAGTACACATCCTGGCGGAGCCGCTCCCCCTGGACCCCTGCGGAACGAGGAGTTAGTTATTCGCCATTCCCTGGCTCGGCTGGATCTGTCGAAGGTCGATCATGATAAATCCACCCAAACATGCAGTTTCGGAAAATTGAGGGAGAGGGAAGGGAGAGAAATTGTCATTTCCCTCATTTAAGAAAATGTATAGTATGTACATACATGATATTAACGGATCGATCGGTCTCCGGTGCTTGAGGTTTCTTTAAGCTTCTTCCTGTTGTCAATTCGCTTTTTCCAGAAGCGTTCTGGCACATAAGGGCTCGTATCCGGGAAGTCCATGATCCTCCGAAAGTATTCGGTCAGATATCTCCATATTTTTTCGTCTTCTTGTGATTCGGGTTCCATAAGTTAATGTTGTACAGACTAGTTATGTAACGACGGAGCAGGTCTCTGTTGGTTCTAGAAAAATTAGTGAGGGGTAACTAAAGAAAGTAGGAATTTTACAGTTTTCGTCGGCGTTGTGTCACCGGCAACATGAACGAGTTCCACAATCGATAGTTTAAATACAGAAATCTGATGTCAACTATTTTTGACATGAGTTGAAAAAGAAACACTTAGTGTTTTATTTTATTTTGTTGCATTTTTATTTTCACTTTTAATTTTCTACATTTGTGATCGGATATTGCTGGGACTTGTTTTCCCCCCTCCCCTTGTTCTGCACAAATAGCCGCCCCAACCCTTAGCTGGATTCTATCTTATGAGGTGGGACCAAAACGCCGTTCGTTAGTGCGCACCAACAGCGATGACGAGACCGCATTTTCACACTGCCAAATCTGAAGATTGGCAGTGAAACAACGTCAGATATGCGGTCAAGCAAACGACAAGCAGAGGGCTGGACTCTGTTTGGGCCTCCATCTCGATTGTTCATTATTAATCGAACCCTGACGGGAGTTTGCAAACAGGATTTCACGCCCCGACCTCCACGCTTCCTTTCCTTTTTTTTTTTTTTTTTTTTTTTGGGCTGCTACGGACAGATGGATGCGAAGGCAAAGAAGGTACAGTACATTTTGTATACTCCACATTTACTTCCCACTCCCAATCTCCAATCGAGTACAACCGTGACAGCAGAGATTCACCCACACTGGTCATAAACGAAAATCCCCATGATATTCAATGTCCGACCAATTCTCACGATGACATCTAGCGTACGGTGACGTACCCAGATTTGGCGCATGTGTAATTGGGAGAGATGAAGTCCTGAGCAGTTCCCCCCCCCCAGTATTCCTGTTGATCAAGCATTGCCTACAAAATATCGGCTAGTTTCCAGGACATGCTTAGGATGAATTGTTCTATCTCCGAACTTCAAGCTCGATTTCAATACATGCAATTTGACAGCGACAATGAACAGGAGTTTAGACCTGGTAAATTATTGATAGATGGAACAACTCAATCACCCAGTTTTTACCCACCTGAAAGGCCCCAGGGAACATGTACCAAATTTCAAACAAAATACACCAACAATATCTGCCACAAATTAGGCATCCTAATTCTCCATATGACATTGATTGATTGCACACCCGCTAGGGGGAAGCGAAAGAAACTCCCCTCCGGTGATTCCGGCAGGCATGGCGCTTGGTATTTTCACCAGTCTTCCAGGAGTGCAGATGTATACAGTACATACGTCTACTTCCCGAAAGGGGTATGATCATGAAGGGGTTCTTCCACTCTTTTGAGTTTATTTTCCCAGCAACAGGTGTGGGACACACTGATTCTGAAAGTAGATATTTTGGCAGCGTTAATCGCCCTCTTATCATCGATTAGGGAAGTTGGAAAGTATTATTTGAATTGAACTGTTCGACTGAGTCCCTAGGTCTTGCTATCTTAACCGAAGCAACTGACGCTCGAGTCCCAGCACCTCTGCCACCCGACTCTTGAGGGCTGGCGAAGCCTATTACTGCTCTTTTAGTAGCCGAATAATAATAATAGGTAGCGACATATTGCCCCGGCATTTTATCACGCCGCGCTGCATCGACAACATCTTCTGCTGCGGCCCGCAAACAGCCTTGAGTGGCCGAAGCAGGCTTTGACTTTTTTTGCTTGGAGGTATCTAAACTTGGAACCAGCCGAGTGTTCGCTGTAAGGAAGTAAGTTTCGCCTGTTCAAGCTCCGGTTTAGCACAGCCAGACATGCATGCAGCGCGACGGGCAGAAGTTATCCCGTTCGACCACGGTGGCCGAGAATCCCTCCAATCACGCCGACAAAACAAGGGGTCGGCTTGGTGTGGCAGTCAACGACAGGGAAGCATCAACGTTATCTCAGGCTGGTTCACTGCCATTCGTCCACGGTTGTGACACCAGGGCTTGAATTCATGTCCCAGGAAACAGAGGGACGTAGGCATGCTCCCTCTACAATCACACTGAGCCCTGGAGTGAGTCCCTGTGCGCTTTTTTTTTTTTTTTTTTCCTGTAGCTACGCGTAAGTAGTTTTCGGCTTGACGTTATGCTCTGGAAATAGTTAAAGGAGCTAGCCAGCAATAGGCCCTGATGAGGAAGGTCGTTGATCGATGTTCTCTAGTGGGATATTACTCAGCTACGGCCGAAAGGCCTTGCTGGTTCATTCCGGGCAAACACTAGAATTCGGTGCTAAAGAAGTTTATACATGGTGCCTTTTCAGCTTGGACCCACGGCAGCACGCACACCCCGTTAAAACTACGTACATACACATCATTATTCTCAAATCTATTCAAGAAGACTTTATGTATTTGAATTTTTATATTTCTTGAGACTCTAGCTCATTCTAGCTCATTCTAATACTATTTCCAGTTTTTAACCCTCTAATCTACATCTCTACACTAAGAAACTGGGTGGTGTTGAGAAGAGGGACAGTTAGATTGAATTACGGAGTAGTAAGATGTGTATGTTAGTGTGTATTTTATTAGAGAGAGCACTAAAGTTGAATGTGTGTCCAAAAGAGTGGGGTCAAAAGTTGGCATCACATCCAACTGTAAATTACTGAGTTCATTTCTGCATGCTTTCACATGGTTTGTCTAGGATGATTCATGGGCTCTCAAACCAACAACATCAACCTTCATTAGTCCTCATTATAGCTCAATAAGGGATTTGCCCTTTGAAAAGTTGTTGGTGATGTTTGATGCTAGAGATAGATACCATTGTGTTCTCATCTGAAACAGGTGTAGCTGAAGATGAAATTTGAGCATTGCTCAGAGTGAAAATATTAATCTTTTTACCTGTTCTGCCAAGTTTTTTCCATCTGTCTTCTTCAGAATATTCTGATTAGCAAGCATGTAAAATAAGATGTGTGCAGTCTGGATAGTGTGAAACGTATAAATGGCTCCAGTCAAGATAGAACTACTTTTCTCCAGATAATTATTGTCTGGGATTTCAGAAAAACTCATCAATTTGCTCCCGTTGAAATTGCGCGAAACTCTCTTTGACCTCATATTTTGGCACTGAACAATATTCTGGCCAATTCCGTTGGTGTCGATCTACGCTGTACTGGATTGTTTTTATTATTCACCGGGCTCAGGGAACGGCATGGGTCGTATTCGGGAAGGGGGAAGGCTGGCGTCCCTGCATGTCTGTTTGGCCAAGCATTTTTCTTACTCGCTGGCTGCTTGCCAGTGCTTGGTCGCTGCCAGTGTGGGAATTTTTCATTCCCAGATATCACATGCATTAGTGCATACTATTTTTATCATCATGGCATGGTGTGAAACTGCGCCCACTTTTGGCTAAGTGTGGTTCGGGAGGGTGGGCAATGCTCTTGAAGCTTAAGGGTTCCACTTGGCGTTGAAAGCTTCTTGTTTCATGCTATCGCGGGGCCCTCAAACTCCAACACCGCCTCGAATAACACTGAGTTCGACAGGTTTTGTTTCAGGATGCGATCATGTCAGTTCTAGCGACGGGTTTGCTTGATGATAAGCTCCGCCCGCTGCCAGTGGGACCGCCAACATGCAGAGTTGCCGGCCTGATGAGAGGTGAGAAGAATTCATTCTGACGTTTTGAGGTATTCTTTGCGTCTACTTCGCATGTACTTGGGCACATGTACCTTGCCTTTTAAGCCTTTTCGTTAGGATATGATCGTTGTTGGGGATTGGAACTTTCTGTTTCGCTTGGCTTGACCCAAATCTTGGATCTAGGTTGCTTTTCGCTTCCCAGGACAGACGTCATATTGTTTTTTTCCTTCACACGGTGGCGTCTTCTTTCTGCCTCAGGGTATTACGCATAGTACTAGCCGCGGGCAGAATGACATGGGTTCCTAGTTGGGGATGGTGTGAAGGATACCAGGGTCAAGGAAGTTCTTCCTGCGGTGAGTCACTGCTGCCTTAGTTGATTTCGAAACTGTGGGGAATTATTCAGCAAAATGATGTCTGCTGGTCAATGGATGAATCTGGCCCAATTCCTCGAATACACTGCCGGATTAGTAATACCGAGCATCACTAGGATCTATGATGGAGGATGGAATTAGGGATCTCATGTGGCAAGAAGGTTAATCTTGATTCTCAACCCATGGTAACACCAAACTGTGTCCCGCATTCTTGGAAGCGAAGAGAAACGCCAAAATAGGTAATCGCCTGGGCCATTGTGACTAGTTCGTCAGAATACCGAACAAGAGAACTTTCGCGTCGGGCAGAGAGTTGCAAAAGGAATTCTTCTGGAATGGGTCAGTGCTTTGGAAGCCGTAGCGAAGAGCCATAGAACGTGTGTTTTTGTAAAAAGAAAAATAAGAAAAGAAAAGAAAAGTAGGAAGAGCCGGCAAGCGGGAAGGAAAAACCGAATTTGTTTGACATGCCTAATTTTGTGGAAATAGTTGCGGCAATGAATAAACAACAAGGGCGACCCCACCTTTTCTTCAAGTCAGGGCGGCTGTGTCTAATAAATGGACAGGCAGACAACTGTCCGTACTTTTAATTGTTAGCTGGTGGTCCATCCAAAACGGCCAATCAGGAGAACTGTTTGTGATGTCAACTTCCTCAAAGTGCCGGCCAGATTAAGGTTAACTGCGCCGTCCGCCCTGCAAATTGCAATACGAGAACGTTATTCTTTAAGCACCCGACGAAAGGGGATCATGCCAAGGCGGACGGTAGATATTAGCTCGCTAACAATCGGAAGAATCAAAGACCATTATTATTTTTGCCCATAACGGTTCCATCACTGAACAGAAGATTCAAAAAATAGGATTTGAAGTTCTCTGGTCCCCCACTGCCGCCTCCCCCCAAAGCTTCTTTTCGCCCCGCCTGCGTGTTTGTGATCCGTTGGGATAATACCGAATCAATCACCATTGTCACGATGAAGAAGTGTTCAAATTCTGCCAATTGTTCATGGACGATAGAATATGCAGTTACAGCGTTTGCTCATCATGCGGATGCAAAAAGTAGATAAGAGGATAAGCTTTTCTCTGTTTCAGAATGAGACAAACTTTTGTGCGCTCTTGTGTCCTGATGATATCCATGTCCCATCAACTGACAACAGGTGAAGGTATGATTCATTGGCGAGTTTGACCACATGTTTGTGGCTAACTTTTGGCCAATGGAGAAGAGGGGTTGGCGATGCTGTGCCGCTGTCTTAACCCTATCCTATCGTAACCCAAGCATGCTAATTTCCAACTCTTCCAACGACGACTAGAGTGGGTACAGTAGCTTGCAAAGAAGAGATAAGTCATTCTGGGGAAATCTTACGCTAGTCATCGCTTGATTGAGCTGGAATCCACAAAATTTCGCGTCATCTGCGCGTCCAAGAATGATTGGGTTTGATAATCCAGAATCCATTGCAGTCAGGACATCTGTTCGAAAGCGATGAATTCATAGTGAAATATTTCCACCTGGACAGTCCAATCCTGTGTGCGAAACATTGCGCGAACCTCGTCGGACTGTTGGAATACCCAACTTCTCGCTGGTATCAATTCGATCCTCCTCAACCCACGCGCAACGGACGCGATTCTGGCCATTATTGGCGCCAGAGAGCTCTCTACACTTCCCTTGTTAACCGAAATCTTCAAGAATATTTCTCTTGCTGGGGATGTAACTTACCGCTGGTAATATTTGAACCTAGCATCTTCCTGAAGAAGAATGGTCCAATACGCAGTCATCGCAGGGCGGAGAATGGTGCAGTCTTGGCGGACAACGTGCAGGAAATCGCTTCCATCCGCAATTTCACTGGTGCTTCCGTCGGGGAGGAGGACAGGGTGGTTTGCACTAAACGGCTAGCGCATGAGTCAAAGGGCGCCTCGAGACCCGCAATATAGCCAAATTCCCCTATTAAAACGCCCAGAATCGCGGTTGACCCTTGACTCGATCCCAAGGGCCAAAGACCACACCTTGCCGTCTGACTGGGATCTTCCCCACCTCGCCAAGGGTCTCGACACGGCATCCTAATCGGGTTTAAATTTCGGACTGTCGCAGGGATTCTTAGCGTAGTGCAAAATGCCCGCCGGCCAAGCAAGTTACACATTTTAGGCTTAGTATTATTTTGCTTCTTTTTTCACTGTGAATTCAAGGAGTGAGCGTTTGAGCCTGACAGTCAACCTTATCATCTCATTAAAATTGTTCTCCAATCCCGTTTCAAGATCTTGCACTCTGCTCCATCACCATGCTTATGGGACCGCTGGATGGTTGGCACCCCTGAAGCAGCTAACGACTTTCGGCTCTAAATATTGAATCTTTGCAGCTTAAGTTGTTTTCAAAGTGTGACTTTTTCCTCTTCCATACTATGTAATGCCATGCTTGTTGAAATCTGTGATGACTGATTCTGCTTATTCTCGAAGCGGAGATCCTCTTGAACCTTAGCTCGTAGTACCAGGGTGTCGAGTAGGCGAGGGCACGAGATGGCCCCGAGTAATTTGGGCTTGGAGGTGCAAAAATTCAGAGGACACCGTTAGTGGAGATTATAGCTCTCGTGATGTCAAGAAGCATTTCCCTGGCGGAACTGACCTACGCTTTCACGCGTGTAGATTGTGTTATTGATTGATTTTCCATTGTCGTTCCAGCCAGCCGTTGGTGGCTACGATTGTTTCACAGGAGCAGAAGATCGACGTTCAGGAAGTGGCTGCCCTGTCCTGCTAGCGATGTGACTTGGTCTTGTTGTAAGCCTGTGTGATATGGCTGGTGGCCCTGAACAAGAAAATGAAAGCCAAAGACCTAATTATAGCGCAGGCCTCATCACACGCAGATAGGAGAAATCCAACGTCAACCAATACCCTTCACGGCCAGGTGTTAAAGCCAGCGAAATGGAAGCCCTCCACCAACAGAAATTATTCATTTGTTGATGTTGTTGAGGCTCATTTACAATTGCTTAGCCTAGTGTATGGAGTAGACTAGTGGAAACTCAAAGCATCTGCTGACTAACGTTTAAAAAAAAGTTCCACGTGGAGAAACGAGGGGAAGAGAAGTGTGTGGGAATAATTCAACATATCATTATTTGGGAATCAATAACATGGGGACACAGCGTTTGGCAAACCCTCTGATATCAAGGCTTTTCCGATTGTTCTGAGACAACCATGCAGCAGCAGTGTAGTAGTACACAGTATTGTAGTGTGCGAGAGTTGGTGGTTCCGCCGAATTCTCTCTGTAAGGGCTGTGCCATCCTTGCCTAGCAGCAACTGCATATCTCGTCCAGCCATTGTTCAATTGTTTCGTTGTCATACTACCTGGTCCACCAGCTCAGACATGTCCATTCTTTAGCTGATACCAAGTTCCACTTGGCTGTACTTCAACTTCAAACATGGTTGTTTGACAAGATAGCCTGCAGGCTGCATGGGTTGCACATGGGTTGGTGTTGTCGACATTGCGGCTGGACCATCTCGGGCAAATATCCCACGATAGATTTGATAGCTCATTCTGCTGACTTGTGCCTAGGTACTCCGTAGTTTAGCTATGTTGTCTGGGAGGTTTAACTAAGGCACAGCCGAAAATTAGTCTCACCAAAATTCAGAGGTGTGGTTACCTCTCTTTTTCCCGCTTGCAAACAGCAAAAATTCTGAAGCTCTCACTGGCCTCCAAGCCACGTTGTGTTTGACTACAACAACTCTGGCCGTGTCGGGTTGGCCATGGCAATGGCCCATTGAGGATTGATGAGATGATGAAGAGATCGGTGCCGGGGAACAGCCGCCTCCGCCTCAATGCTTGGCATCAGGGTCGGAAATCCTCCACAGTTGTCCCGATGGCCGTTGGCATTCCGCTCTTCCTGGAGCAATCACCGCAATCACCACAAACAACCATGCAGCATCTGCGGATCTATGTCTGTCGTCGTGGGCGGATTAGTACTAATTAAACAAGATCACTTTGACATAGAGACGGAGCTAACCATCCAGAGCCTTTTTTTCATCGCCTACTTTTGACAGAGCCAACTAGCGAGCTTCTGCAAGAGTGAACCTCACAACAACACAACAAATGACGTCGACGCTCCAACTCCCACCAAATTAGAGAAACGGCAACCAGTGAGGGTGAGAGTACCATCGAACCTGTGCAACCTCTGATCGGCAGGAAGTAATAAGAATTCATCACAGGAATTATAGCGTGGGCATGGGATCCGCTTGGCTCCTGGAACGAACCCCAGCCGCGGGAGCAGAATTGGCCAGGGGAGCAAATGCCATGGGTGGCTGTATGTGCATCGACTTACCAGATCTAGCATGCATGGAAATCATCCATGCTGTCTTTCCACCAGCTCGTGGCAGTCCCAACGACGGGTTTCAAGCCAGAGCGGGTGCTTCATGCACCAACCAGCCCCCAGGACACGCTGATGGATGGAGTCATCTGCAAAAAAGAAAATTACATGTTACATCTGAACCTGCTACTCCAAAATACCAAGTTTGCAAGTCACTCTTTGTCCAGCATATTCCTAAAATAATAGGGCGGCAAAATTACCATTACGCTTTTGTCCGAACTCCCTAAACTGAGCCTCCGTGAGGTCCCAGTTTGGAACCCACCAACTTAGCTTTTGCAGCCGAACCCGGGGCATTGATTAAAGATTGAACCCGTCGAAGCCTGACTCTCCACAAAGTAAACCTTTATTTTTTGCTTTCCCTGTCTGGCCTAGGCTGACTGCATTTTGGCTTTACCGATAACAAAGGGGCGCCCGTCCTTGGGCATTCTGATTGATCGGATCAATCCTTGACCTGGCAATCAGGCGCTGCAATACGGTCCATTTTATTTTCTAAAAAAATTCATTTTTTATTTTTGCTTTTTTTCTCTTTTTTTCGTTCTTCATTTCCATTTTGCCCTTATTTTCTTTTCGTGCCCCGGTTTGGTGATTCGAATCTGTTCTGTGTTTCTGGCTATGCCTACTTTTACCCGAACCTTTAATCTTCACTGCCTATTTCATCCGCAGTCGAGCGTGAAAGCACCCCCTTGCCCCATCCCTCTCGTAACCCCACTCACCCGTTTTGCTCCAATTTACCTACTTTCGATTTACCGAAGCGTCTTGGCACTTTGCTTGAACTAAGGTAGCGCGTTCCTTTGCGTTAGCTGACTGGGTATGCACATCTCGTGTTGCGGTGCAAAAGGAAAAAGTTATATACTTCAATTTGCCCTCGGGGATCAGACCCAAGAAACGTTTTCCACGTTCCTGCTGATCATACTTCTTCTCGAACTTCTTGGTCGAAAATTATACGAAGTCATAATTTATATTTATTTCTTCCATCTTGTTACATTGCTTGTTGACTGATCGTATCACTTGAGTTTCAAGAAGTCCTCCCCCATACCCTTTCTCAACCCTCAGCATCAACTACTACTTTTAAATATGGCTGGACCTGGAGGTGGACCACCACGCAAGAGACATACGAAGTCTAGGAAGGGCTGCAAGACTTGTAAGAGACGACATATTCGATGCGATGAGACCAATCCTCAATGGCAAGTTTTCCTTCCGCAACGGAAACGGAAGAATGCAGGATATAGAGCCAATAAACTAACACTATTTTGTGTAGTCGAAACTGTACAAAACATAATGTTCGTTGTGATTACATGGATAATGTTATCCCTCAGGAGCAAGCGGTGGCTCCAAGGACAGGACCGGATCTTCTTATGTCTTCCCAGATTGATATCGAAATCGATGCCTGGCTGAAGACTGGAAACCCACCCTTCCCTGAACTACAACTTAGCTCTAGAGAATATTGGTTCAAGTTTTCGCGGACTGATTTGCGCCTTATTCACCACATCTCCGGACTTTCAATTGACCTACATCGACGAGGCTATAGTAATTGCACAGTCTGGGCCCAGAAAATGCCCATGTGAGTTGAAGAAACATACTTTCATTTGACCAATGTCGTCCATACTAACTTTCTGGAATTTCAGTTTTTTGGCCATTGCGTTGTCTACTGAATTTGTCATGAGTGCCATTCTTGCTCTCTCAGCTTCCCATCTGGCTTGGATGACCCAGAACCCCGAAACCGAAAACCTTGCTTATCACCATCGGGGAGTAGCCCTAAAGGGTCTCCATGAAGCAATCGGTGCTTTCTCACGAGAAAATTCAGATGCCATTTTAGCAGCATCAATGCTTTTATCCTGGCAAGCTACGGAATGGCAAGTACTACCCTCCCTTGGTTGACGGACTGGACCACGGGGCTAAGTAGAATTTCTGTATAGGAGGAGTTGGGCCTCGCTTCAGCAGGGTGTCTCAACTGTAAGGAGTAGCCTTCCTCTGCTTTAGTTAGTGACATTCTGCTATTTGGTTGGATCTGACCACATCCATAGGTGCTTAACTCGATGCAGCCGTGGTGGAAGGAAGAGTCAGAATTGGCAAAATTTATGGATTCCCAGCGGGCCTTTCGAAGTGCGAGAACGCCGATAACACCAAGCTATCCTGGAGCGATGGGCCAGTTCCAAGACGAAGATCTTATGAGATTAGATCGTGTCGTGGGAAATTTAATTAACATTCACCAGCGACTTTCCCACAATCAGGAACATTATCAGAAGGTTACTGATTTGTTGAACTTTGTTCAGCAATTGCGAACTGATATGCCTGTACAATCGCCGGATAGAGCTTTCGAACGACTTCAACCGTTGCGAACGTGGCTCTTCTGGCTTCCCCCAGCTATGCTTCGAGGCGGAGAAACAGATCTCGGTGCACTTGCTGTGCTCTCGCAATTTTTCGGAGTAGCATTAGCTCTAGAGCCCATTTTCCCTGAAATCGGAGGCTCTTACCTTGGCACTATGGCTGTCCTTCCAATCGAAGACATTAGAAGAATACTGCACGCTAGGAAAGCCTCTCAGCCTTTCGCTCCCGAAGTTCAGTTGGCTCTAGGCTTAATGGAGCTGCCCTGCGAGATTGTTGCGGAATATCGGAGCCGTCTCCATTGGTCGCCGAGAAATTCTTTCGATGCCTACTCTCCTGGGTCTCACAGTCCATATCATGCTCTACCGAATCTTCATCTTGCATCCACCTCTCCATCGACAGGCTCCGGCTACTCAGCTTATACTACATCGCCACTCCACTCGCCCCTTACTCCTGCGATCGTTGCTTCTCCATACCAGATGCCAGCAATTATCACCTCCCGACGGCAATCTCAGGTTTACACAACGTCGCCAACGCTACATCCGCACCACACGGATGATCGGGTTGGGGGTGACTACAAGCACAATCCACAAACTCACTCGCCTATCTTCAATCCTGCTTACTTGGGAAATTTAATACATGGATCACCGGTCATGGGGACAGACTTTCATGAGTCTCCCACACTCAGCGTGTCAGGAGGGTTGGTCATTCCCGATCTTTGCTGAACTTGATCCATGCATCCATCTTGCACACGGTCCATCTATCCCTGCATTCCACTCACAACACCAATCCCCAGAGCTAAGAATCACCTATAAACACGTTTATATACACAAAATCATGGCAGAATTATGCGGCTGAGTCTTTTTTTTAATTTCCATTTTATGGAAATCCAGGGACCCATCTGCATCACGCCGTGGCTCTTTCGCGAAGCCTTACTAGCGCCCTTTCTACACTTATTTAACTCCCGACATCCCGAAATTCCTTCTCTTCGCCCCCATTCGTCGGTTTACGAAATGATAAGAGTCTGCGTCTTGGTGGATTTAACTTTCGATTGTTGGTAAGGATTGATGGACTGTTTTCCACATATGACGACCATATAGACGGACTTAACGAATGGGGTTCTTTTTTGTTCTTTACTCTAAATCTCTTTTTGAGACATTTTATTTGATGTAGGACATCTCTATTCTCATACCCGTTTGTTACGGTGACTTTTATTGAAAGTGGAAAAGTAGCAACACAGAACCCAACGACTGGATTCCTTCCTTTCCTTTTCTATCAAATTATTCTTATACCTTTCTATTCAATTTGGGGCTTCTTACATGAACGTATACAAATTCCCCTTTTTTTCTTGTCCATTCACATCTCTCTGATCGTCTAGTGGATATTTTTGTGAATTGTTTTATTCCTTTTTCATATTTGTTGGCATAATCTTCAACGAAATGAACAATAATCACATTGAAAGAACAAGTGGACACTCACTCCCGGCCCTTTACGCATAAAGCTCTTCGCCTACCACTCAGCTTTTAGATATTTTGGGGATACATGTCCCACGCTATGGTTCCTCATCTTCACGTTTGTATCTGAGGCTAGATCGCTTCGTTACGAGATAGCGGCCGACCTGGAATCTTGTCATTCCTCTGTATTAGTTTGGGGGGAAGCGGTTTTGTAAAGATAACTAGGCGTAAAATTTGCAATGCACAGCCGTTCCTGAAACAAAATTTTTAGTTTGCCATAAAATAGCACAAAAACCCTTTTAATTTTTCTCAAGTTTCACGTTGTAGATCAATCCGCAGCAAGGAATGTTCTGGCGTTTGGATGGCTTCCCTTGCTAGGTGAACGAATCACATCAAACCACGGGGAATTTCCCATTGGTGAATGGCACGAATGCTCTCATTTGTTGCATGCAGGGCTGTATCCCTGACCTTGTTCAAACATTGCCTCGGGAGCGTTTCGAAATTTCAGGGTTTGAGGTTGTCTGCTTTGCAGGCACAAACCAAATAGCCTTAGCGTTGCCGGGGGAACAGGGACGGTGGGGGAGCTAATTTGTTTATGACCCAACTAGGTTGCCATCCAGTTGCAGATGCATTCTCTTCTGACTCTTCTTTCTCAGAAAATTCCTTGGAGGGAAAAAGAAACGAAGGTTGGATCCAAGGAGTCAGGAAGGAACAGCACCATAGTTACCTATTGTGGCTGTGTTAGCTTACCCGCACAAGCTCAGTTTGTGGGGAACGAGCGACACCGATTCTGACACCTGCCGTCAAAATCGAGATATTGCTAGGATTGGAATAGGGCTAGTGGAGATCTGCTGTGGTCTTTGCCCAGAACCAACGACAGGAAGTGTAGTTCTCGTCGATGCAGAGTTGTAGAATTAGGAGATTGAAGAAATAGAAATCAAGCTCAGCCTCCTTTGATATTGACGTGCGGAGGAAATGGTGGCCTGGAAACCTGAAAAGCGACCGCAATTGTGAGGTTCAGAAGGCAACTAACCGTGCCAAACGCGACTCACTACGGAGTACCATTAGTAGAGAGAGTGAGTGCGCTTGGCACGGTTAGCGGTCGAATTTTGTCGCGAAAAGAAGCTCAGGAACTTGAACCGAGGAACCGACCGCGCTAGTAAACTTTGATTTCGTTTAAGTTGCACCAGGGTTTCTATTTTTGGAGCAAGGCAGACTGCGTCTCCCACTAACCGCTTTTGGTACCACCCTATTCGTCAACGACATGTCCAGATTCCTCCTCCCTTTGCATCGTTGCTCCAAACATGAGAACAACCTATGATGAAATTGAGAGCTGTGTGGGGCTGTGGGCCGTGCATTGCTCTCGATACCCACTCTGCAATTAAGCATTTTTTGCAACATGCAGATCCATTTATCGAAATGCCGGCTTTGGGGCTGTGTGAGCATCAGTTGGCAGCAAGCATTGCGAGCCTGTGCTAGGTCATATAGCTGCTTTTGGCAAGCACCTGTTCTTTCTCGGCCGTACTGGTTTCTTGTCACATGCCGACATTGCCTCTACGGACCCCTGTTTGGAGAGTAATTGCTCGGTGTGGCTCCGGGTGTACTTCGTAATGAGTGCTGAAAGGAGCAAGGATGGGTCACATTCGCAGGCATCGCGAGAGCAGGCATCGCGAGAATTGCAGGCGAGACCACGGTAAGGCGGAATAACACGTTTCCAGAATGAAATTATTGTCGTCTTGAGAATGAAGTCCTGCCGTCCAATTGGGTGATATTAGGCGAGACGACGAGAGAAGAAATGTGAGATTGACCAGTCCATTTTATTTTGGAACCGGATGCGCGCCGGCCAAGTTGAATTTTGCAAGATAGAGCTAACTCGGTGGATCTTTACGAGACTTGCCCCTTTTCACATTGTCGCCGAACACCGATGATACAAGCGTGGCCTTCTATCACTCGTCCTCCTGATGGTCGAACCGTCAGGACCGAATTCTGTGGATTCTGTTAAACCCATCCGAGAACTTAGCATCCGAGATATTATAGTGCTTGGATGATCACAATAGCGGCCTGCGATCAGCAGCCGCTTCATTATTGACAGCATGACTTTGTCAATAGCAGCTGGCGCTTCAGTGCTGGTCTGTTGCTTCCCCTGTCTTGTCTGCTACATCCTGCAACTAGAGACCTGTATTCAAGAACGTTTCTGGAGGGAAAACCCAAATGAGAGCCTTGAGCGCCCTCCACGCCGATCCTCCAGCGGTCTTCAACCTAGTTTTGCTGCCTGTTTGCGGCGACCGCCCTTCTCCTTAGCCACTTCTGGGTTTTTGCTCTCCAGAATCAACGGAACGGGGATTGATCTGATGGTCTGGATTCAGCTCACTGGTGCTGTGTCGAAGATGCACCCTTTGCTTGCGTCTAAAATCTTCCACAGTTCTGTCCCACACCAGCTGTGACCTTCCAGATTGATCGGAACACACATTCAACGTAATCTTTTGTTTCTTCACCTCAGAGTTTTCCAACGGGCCACTATTCTAGTTTTTGGGATGAGATAGACTGCCTCTAGCAGAGTGCAAGGTGCTTCTTGGGCTGCAATATTTCCTGCAGATGCTTCTGGAAATACTGGATCATTTAAAATCAATTGTAAGGATATGGCTAACCTTAGTCTGAAATTCATGTTTTCTATCTGTCGTTTATCCAACATTGTCCCGTTTACGGGGAATAGCAAGCGGAGCTTGAGTGACCAGGTGTCATTACTTGATAGTCTTTATCGTTTTCAGCTGTCCAAAGATCGTGTTGGCCCTGCCATTAGCAAGAGACACTACGCTTGACTTCATGAATTAGAAAATGAACCAAGTTTTCTCTTACATTTCTAAATTGTTTATCAACCCGTCACAAAAGCAACGAGTCAATTGGTGCGGGGAGCTTGCACAACCTCAGTGGCAATGAGAACATTCATTTTCACAGCATGAAAGGTTAATTACCACCATTTTAGCTGCCTTCTTTTTCCTAGGCTAATGTATACGACCACAGGAAGCGAAGCAAGGCGAGAAGTTCGTCCTGGGCTAAATAGATCCCGGGCTTCCCCTGAGCGATACGCCGGCTGGGAAATTCCCTTTTGTTAGTTTCTCTTTGCATCTTAGGGACCTGATGTGGGATATTTCCCATCCGGGACAAATTGAGAGGATCTCTCGGTCCAACATGCGGCGCTACAACGGAAGACTGGGCTCTGCTTTCCATTGTTGACTGAAACTTGAATTCTGTTTCTTTTGCATTGTCATTTTGCCCACTCTCCCTTTTTGTGCAAAAACTGTTCCTATGTTCAGCTCTGAGATGCTTCGCACATATGATATCTCTTGCTATATCTTCCACTGCATATTGGGCCGGCATACTTCTCTTAAAATTGGACAGACATGTCCCTCAGTGCAAGCTTCTGTTGAAGAGTTCTCTGTTGAATGCACAGAGAACCCGTACTGTATCTGATAACAGTATGATTGTATAAACTTCGCCTCTGCGGTTACACGCTGACTATACTTCACTTTGTTTACTTGAATTTATCGATTCTGCCGTGCGGCTGCTGGCTAAATACATATCAGGTCCCTGCTATTCTCTCCGATATTGCTCTCCTGGCCTACCCAGGCCAGAATTGATTCTCGAAATGCGATTTCTCACAATCTGAGTAGTTGCAATATATCGTTATGCTGCCTTGCTGTGGGCCCCCGTGGGCCTTTCAAGCGGACTATCTGGTAGGGCGGCCAATATGAGTTACCAGAGGACACGCTCTGCAGTGCATACGTACTGATTGATACAGGCTCATAACCTGATAATCAGAGCTCTCTTCATATTTCGAGAAAATGAATCATGATGACGCCGTAATTCCATACTAACTGGCCAAGCATGTTTTGGTTATTGTTGTAAATCAGATATTCACCTGCTTGCCAGCAGAGCTTTCAAGACTTCACTCTTTGATAGCTCCATGAAAGTTGTTCAAGCTTCCATTTATACGTTGACATGTTAGCTCTTTCGCCATTTCATTATTCCAACGACCGCCTGTCTAGTGCCCTAATCCAAAATCCATGACGACGCAGAGGCATTCCCCACGCCATCTAGCACGGCATAAATAGCATTTGTCATTCTCCAATGTTGACCGCTCTTGCTTTAAGTTCAGCTCCTGTTAGAGAACTCTTGTAAACTTATCTCAATCTTTTTTTATATTCCTGCTCATAGTGATGGAAGTTGGGAAGGAAGAGGATTTGACACGCTAAACCACAAATAGCAAGTTTGCATCGGCCACAAACAGGCCTTTGACATCATGAGAAAGAAATAACAGCGCTGCGACAACTTCCAAACAAGGGCCAAAGATACATAATTTGACTTAGATTATTTGCCAGGACGTACGGGAAATTGCAGAGAATTAGGAAAGAAATCTATCAAGAGGAAGAACTATCCGTTAGTAAAGGAAACCCAACGGAATCATGACAGACGCCGGAGGTTGGAGTACTATCGAATCAGACGAGGTCTGTCGCTTTCCCTCCACTCATCTTCCACAATTGCCGCGATCAAGAATGTCCGGCTCCCTCTATTAATTAGTGTTCAAGCTTCCCATGCCATTTGGCTGACCGTGTCCATTGCTGAGCGCAGGGCGTTTTCACTTCATTGATTGAAAATCTTGGCGTCAAAGACGTCCAGTTCGAAGAGCTTATATCTCTCGACGCAGACACAATCAGGTCATTAAGGTATAGAACTCACCCCTGCCCACCTATATTATCTCCATCCGTTTGGCCTGCACAAGTAACCCACTGACCCACTGCTCGCCTCAAATCACACAGTCCCGTATATGGAGTAATTTTCCTCTTCAAATGGGCCGGCGGCCAGTCGCGCGACTCCGCTGCTCCACAGGATGGCACCTACGACCGCGCCGCAACCGATAATGGGCTCTTCTTCGCCGCCCAAACGATCCAGAACGCCTGCGGCACGCAAGCCGTCCTCTCCGTAATCCTCAACCAAGATTCCCTCGCCTCCCAATCCTCACAAGCAGGCATCGACATCGGGCCCGAACTCCGCGACTTCAAGGACTTCACAACAGGTTTCCCGCCAGACCTACGCGGCGAGGCACTAAGTAATTCCGCGCGGATTAGAGCCTCGCATAATGCCTTTGCGCGCGCGTCGCCGTTCGTCGATGAAACGTCCCGCCCGCCTGTTTCTGAAGAGGACGCGGAGCTCTATCATTTCATCGCCTACACGCCGTTCAACGGCGTTTTATATGAGTTGGATGGGCTACAGCCGTTTCCAATTAGCCACGGCAGTTGCGATGAATCGTCATTTCCGGAAAAGGTTATTGAAGTGTTGCAGAGGAGGATTGCGAGGTACCCGGAGGGAGAAATTCGATTTAATCTGATGGCGGTGGTGAGGGATTTGAGAGTGAGGGCGCTCGAGATCGGGGATGTAGAGATGTTGGATAGGGAGAGGAGGAAGAGAAGGGCGTGGGAATGGGAGAATGCATTGCGGAGGTGCAATTTTGTTGGGTTCATTGGGGAGGTGGCTAAGGGGGTTGTTGGGATGAAGGTTAAAGAGGGCGAGGAGAGTTACAACAAGTGGATAGAAGGCGCGAGGAAGGAGACGCAGCGGAGATTAGAAATGAGGAGAGGAAGAGGTGGTGGGGGTGATTTGGACTAGGCAGTTGAGGAAAATTTAGGCATGATTTGACGGAATTGGCAGCTTTGGGATAGAATTTTGTTCTGTTATGGTCATACCCAGAACTTAACTTACCTTGCATGAAGTTTAACGCCTTTGGTTGTGTACCTAGCAGAAGTCGTTTCCTTGGGTATCTTCATAATTCCCGCGCGTAGAAATCTATCAAAGGTGGAATATATTCTTGCGATTGAATAATAATGTCGACCTGCCAAAACGACTAAAAGTCAAATTCAACTGCTAACCCCGGCCCTCGCCAAAAATCAAAGTTCCATATCACAGAAAAGGGGGTCAGAAAGCATAATCTTTCTAAGGCACCCAATTTAGATGTGAGGGATATTAGAGAAAAATTAATAGACGTAAAGGTAGGTATAGTAGCACCCTCTAGGAATAGTAAATGGAAGACTCGAGCAATTGTAAGAAAATGAAACTGAAAATGCAATGTAACTAACCAAAGTTTCCTTCGGTCATTAATGCAATTTTTACGAGGTGAACGGATGGGAAAAGATAGAGAAAAAGAAACAGGTAAAATGGAATTGCACAGCTATCCTAAAAGAAGAAACTTTAAAGCAAAAAAAAAGGGGGCGTTCTCGGGCATGTAGGTGTATCTACAGGGCAGGGCATACTCACAGCCATACTGAACTACCACTTGCCCCGACCAACGACCAACTTATCGATCCTTTCCCTCACATGTGTGTTGCATGTTACTCTCAATACCCAAGAATATGCCCCTTGATCCGCTGAGCCATGTCAGGAGGCAGCTCGGCCTCTTTAATAAGCCCGAGCGATAGAACATCCGCCCAGAAAAAGAGTGCCCGATCCTGAGCATAGGCCAGATAATCAAACTCACCTACAGGCTCACCGATCGTATCGCTAGATTGCTCACTCCTGCGGTCCAATTCGATAGTGTCACTCTTTGTTTCTTCTCCTGTTGTCCCAGACTCTGCCTCGACGGGAGCAGACGAAGCGGCGAGAGCTTCTTCCATCCCCGAGATTTTGGCCTGGACAATCCCCCAAGCCACCCATTGCGCGGAGTTGGCTGCACGCCAGAGGCGAGTTTCGCGGAGAAGACGTCGAACTTCTAGGTCGAGTGCTTGTTCGGCCCGCTCGTGATCCTGGGACGATGACGTGGGAAACGGCGGAACTTGAGTATCGAGCATGAAGGGAGTTATCCGAGGACTATTGGAATGCGATGCATGAAATACTGGCGTTGGTGCCGTGCTTGAAGCTGCGCTCATCGAAGCCGCCGAGGACGTAGGCGCAGACTGGGTTTCCGGTGGGTGGAAGGTGCGTGGCCGATGGTTGAGATATGCGCGAATGAATTGATCCTGTTCTTCTGGGGTGGGATACCATTTCGTATTGCAGGCCCACGATCTTTCTGGGTCATGGTAGTTGTAGCACCATTCCGTCTAATATATACCAGTCAACGGCTGAACACTACAGCTATGTTATTGGGGGTATAAACGTACAAAGTGGTTACAGAATTCCAGGCCTCTAGTGTTCGCGGACGCATACTCAAAGTCAATAACTACAAGCTGTTTATGTTCGTTGGCTGGGAGTAGAAGAGGAGACTCTCCACTTGGTTCAAGGCGAAGAAGATTGCCATATTGTGTCTACCAGAGAGGGTTAGACATAAACGAGCCAAGGAAAAACGGAAATGGAAGAAAAAATAAAAAAAAAAAAAAAAAAAAAAAAAATAGACAGTGACTTACGTCGTTATGAGCGAACACAAGCTGCTTGTTAATCTCAGGTGCTCCACCATAGCATGTATCCAGCCACTTGCGATAGGATTCAACTAATTTCCGGAACTTTGGCCATGGGGCGCCGCATACAAAACCATGTCGCCGCCATGGCTCCGATTCGAGCTTGGACTGATTAAGGGGAGACTTGATTTCGCTATCCAGCCACGACGCGACCCGTTCGCACCGCTCAACCCATTTGTCCCAGTTCTTCCATATAAACGGGCCGCTTTCCCTTTCTTCGGGGAGTAGTTCGATCCCGTCATGCAGCTCCCTCATTCGCTTGGCGATTTGCTTAGAGGTCTCTGGATTGCGAAGGTCTCTTGGCGTGAGAGTTCTTGCATGGAAATACTGTTCGAAGCGGCCATTGTTGAACGTGCCTAGGACCCGGGGGCCAATATTCCGCTTCCCTAGACGACGTAGAATCTGGAGTTCGCTCTCCCGATCGATTAAATGTTCTACTTGTGGCCCGTAGATGCGGAGTAAGAGTTGTCTGATAGTATTGTTAACTTCAAAGTCCAGATCTTAAACATATTTAATAGTATAGACTTACGGCGGAGGGTGTCTAGGCATGACTGAGCTCGAGCCACTCGAAGATGGAAGTGGTAAATTCTTCGGCGGAGAGACAACATACACAGCATTTGTTAGCGCTCCGCTGAGGCGGACAACTTCAATGTTACTACAGTCTTCGAGGGGAATTCTTCTCCAGCCCCTGAAGCCTAGGGTGTGCGTCAAGCGCACGATTTCAAATTTGAATTTTAACCAATGTCCTTTGGCTTTAGCGGGGAGGTTGTTCAATGAACTCTGGCTTCCAAAATCATTGTCTGCTTCACCTCCGCCATACAAGAGAGTTTTGGAGTTATCAAGGACAACATCGGCACTGGGGGGTGGTTGATCAGCGTCCGAATAATCAGAATCAGAAGTTGAACCCCGTCTTAAACATCTAATGCCAGCTCGCCGTTTGAGAGAAGATGACGATCTCTTACGTCCAATCGGGGCAGATGAAATGCCCTCTATCCCAGAAACCGCATATTGCGCTAAAATCTGCTCCAACTTCTCCAGAGCCAATGTTCCCTCCGACGCTTGAGAGTCGCTTCTCCCTCGAGTTAAAGTTGAGGTTGCATCTCCGGTGGTGATATCTGGCAGGGTTGCCTGCGAGTCACCGGCTCTCTTGGAGGCACGCGCTACAGCCTTGGCTTTCTCATGCTGCAACCAGTCGAGGACTTGAGCGAACAGGGAACGTTGGGCATGTGGGTTCTCTTCAATATCGCGATGCCGAATTCCGGGCTCGTCGTCATCTTGAATAACCGTCTCAAAGTTAAGGCTATGAATTTGACTGCTTAGCGAGTTCAGAGAGCTGGACGAAGGGTGCGGCAATGGGCGTGTTGTTACCCTCCTTCCTATACTGGCTCGATGCTGCCTGGGTGATCGATCTCCCGCAATGGTGAGACCCGTGGAATCCCCATTCGCGGGTTGAGCTTGTGAATCAGATGCTTCTACCTTTGTTTCAGAATCTCCTGCTATTTCGAGTCAGCTTATCCAATATATATTTAAGTCTTGTCTGCTTCCTCCGAGAGAAGATCGCTCATAGCTGAATACATATTAACGTGAATTGAAATGCTACGTTTAATCATTCATACATATCCATATAGACAGTAAAAGAACCTAGCCATGAAATTTCCTGACCGTTCCCTTCTGTCATAGGTAATCCAGAACGTATGTCCAATGCCAGCATTATTCTGCATCATCACAACTTAACTTGGCACCAAGCTGGATGAGGAAAATTGCCCAAGTAACAGTCTTCATATGGTAGGATCAAAAGTAGGAATTTAACAACAATGCTTTTTCAAGCGAAAATCAAGCCAGAGAATCGTTGCAGAAGAGCATCATCTGCATTTAAACACCAGATGAATGAATGCACAAATATAAACGTGATGGAAGATGGAACATGAAGAACTTACTGGAAATGTCATTTTGGGCTACCGTATGGCCCTTGGAATCGGTGGGCGCCTTACTGAGCTGCTGCTCTGCGATAGGTGACATGATTTCTCGCGATTTTTCTTTCAACAAGAAGGGTCGTCCGACTTCGTCTAGAGCATATAATATACAAGTAAAGAAGAACGTAAAAAGGGAAGAGGAAAAAAAAAAAGAAGAAGAAGAAGAAGAAGTGAAAAGGCAAAAAGAGACAACCTTGCTAAAGCCCCAGCTGGAACTTGGGTCCGAGAGGACAGTGGCAAATGGCGAGGGAAACGAAATGACCCCTTTCTTCGCATGCAGATTCTTCCCAACTCGAGCTAGTGCCCTTATGGGATTAAATAAAATGTGCGCGGGGACAAGCTCATGCTCTTGCAAGATTACAAGGTAATAATGTTGTCAATATGGAGGAGGGGCGGAGGGGTGAGCACCGAATCTTGATATCAAAATGTTTGACTGATAAGACTGCAGAACCCCACGAAGTTAGGATAGATGGTTGGCGAAAAGCGGCTCGCCCTAGGAAGGGGAAGAGTATTAGAAGCTCAGGGACAATGTTAACGGGTATATATAAATATATGTAAGAATAAGCAGGGAAAAACAGCAGGGAAGGGAAGTTGGATGAGAAAGTTGTCTGATCGCCCGTTAATTTTTTTTTTTTTTTTCGCCGCCGAAGTTCCAGGCTCGGCCCAGATGAGATCCGCCCGAAAACGGAAAGGGGTCACATGCTGCTGACTCAGCAAGAGCTTATCTTGACCTCCATTCTGATCTGACCGCGATCCTTTTAACATCGTCAATTACTATACGGAGTATAGGACTAACTATCATAATAACCAGAGCCAGATTGAGCTCTAGCTTCTCTTGAAAATAGACGTCTTCTGCCGTGGAAAAAGACCCATCCTTTACAGTCACTGGCAAGCTTCGCATCTGCCGCAAGATGCAAGTTTTGCTCGGCACGCGGATATCATACTAATGCACTTTAAATGGTTCTAGACCGACTCACAATCGTGGGAAAATCGAGATGTTGCATATGCCCAAACCTAAAATGGAGGCGTCCCCTTTTAGTAAGTTAAAATAGTCTTCAGATTACGCTGAGCTAACTACATTTCTCAATACGTAAGAGAAGCTAAAATCACAGGTAAGTTGACGTCTTTGAATTGCGAATTTATGCTTCTTACTCCCCACTTTTTCAATTAACCGCGATGTTTGGGCACGAACCCAATGCAATAAAAGCCACCGAAGAAACATATGATAAACAGCTCTGAAGCAGAAAAAAGAGAATGACAGAGAGAAGTAATCACAAAGCCCCCCTTTTTGTACATCAAGAAAGAACGGAAGGAAAGGGGTAAAATAATCAAAACCGTTTCCAAAGCAAATTATACAAGAATATATCTATGGCACTACTATCAAGTTATCAACCGCATGCTCCCGCGGCCACACCCCAATCGAGCGTGGCAGGTAGTACCACCACTGTGGGGGACATCCCGCGGTGTCAGCTGGGTTCAGAGCTTTTACGTATTCCCAGTGTTCAGGGTACACCCCACCCCTCTGCCAGTTGACAAGACACGTCACACGCCAGTCCCGGCGTGCGGCTTCATATTGTAGCTGCTGAGGCAGGCTCAGAGTACTCTCTGGGACACGACAAGGGCTTATTATAACGTTCCGAGGATGGAGATTCGCATAGGTCATCACCAGCTTGTGATTCTCTTGAAGACGAGGCTTAATTTCCAAACTCCGCTCGTTGATATCACAAGGGTGGCGAGTGAGAAACGAATTGAACTCGTCTTCGTTGCTGATAGGGGTGGTTGCTAAATACGTGAATCCTCGTGAATCTTTGCAGCGACGACGTTGGGAGCCACCACCAAGTATTTCTCGGTACTCTGGAAATGGGCATGGGAGTTCAACGGATCTGAGTGCTCCAAAAATGCCGTTTAGCTGGACGCCTATTGACCATTTCTCTGTATGATTGAGCTGGCCCCAGAGCTCCTCCAGTGTGCATCCGTTATCATAATAATTTGACATGAACAGGAATCCCCATTCCGCGTGCATGTCTACGGCTCTAAGACAGCCGTGCGTTACTGGTAGCGGGATTTGGGTATTTTCTCTGATATATCGCAGCATTGAAATGTCATCGAGCATATTGTACAGGCCAACCTTCACGACAAGGTTTTCACGAAGGTCCACTAATATCGTCCCATCTTCCACGGCCAAAAGTGTACCCTGAGCCCCGGTGGCCGAATGGTTAATGCGGCCACCTGGTAGCGCCTTGGCGTGGGAAACCAAGGCGTGTGGGTTCGAAACCCGCAGGGGATACATTAAATCCGGAACTCAAGCACCTCAGGTTCCTAATAAATACAGAGGTGTACAAATCGCTCCAACAAATTGCTCTATGTTCCTGGGATGGGAAGTTATTATCGCATGTATTTAATTGTCACTCCTTTGTATTTCCTATGTTCTTGTTATCTTGGCGTGGTCTCAACACCTGTATTTCCTCCTGTATAACCAACACTTGGCCTGTATTTAACATCACGCAAGGACTCATCATAAGCTCCGCTTGCATATGAGTATAATGGAAGAATAATAATAATAATAATAATAATAATAAGTGTACCCTGAGTAATTGCTGTGTTTAAGTCTCCGATGACGTCATGCAGAGGTAGAGTTTCCCTCCTTCGTGTCTGATAGCTCAGGTTCTTTTTGGCGAGCTCGATCACTTCCGGACTCAAACGTTCCATCTCCACAGCGTTGGGGAGAATTATATACCGATCCAATGTCAAACCGAACGGCAAGCAAACTTTACGCCGCCAAGGTAGCCCAGGCGCCCCTGAATCTGAGAAAACGGCACGCAACCTGTTAACGGCGAACTCTGCCTCCAACGCAGAGTGCACTAAATCGGCTGTGGGATTTTTCCTGGTCATTTCATCTGCCATGGCTATGGCGATCTCTTTAATCAACGAAATTGTCACGGTCGGGATCTCATCTACGCTATGCCTGGGACCATTGCAGTTGTCAGAGTTCACATCACTTTGCTTCGATGCTGCGGTGGGTTCCGATCCCATTGATATCAGTGGCGGGTGGGATAACTGTTTTATCGGCTGTGACGCTGCTGGTATTTGCGCTTGTGTTTGAGGCTGTGGTATGGGTTTGGGCGACGGTGCAAAAGTGGATGGATCTGTGGATCTCGGGCCCAATTCAACTCCTGAGTAAAGGGAATGAGGAGGCAGCGGGTATCCCACGTTGTCTTGGCTTCGCGGTGGTTGATCCATTGCTATTACGATACCAAAGCAAATGCGAGGTTAAGAACTGTGAGAACCAAGCATTTAACATGACACCCAGGTTAGCCCCACTGTCGCCTTGATTGAAACTCTTTCCTCTCCTCACACCCTCCACCTTTTCAGAAAGGAAAATTGGGACGCAGCGCAGTGTCATACGTACACAAAATGAGCCAACAAAACGAATGACGCCCCCAATCCAAAATCCAGATCCAGTAAGGAAAACTTAACAACAACAAACGAAAAGAAAAAGATAAGAGAAATAAAACGAAGCAACGAATCCCCATTCTTCCCCTCAAATCGGCCCCCTCCGCGCCACAGGCTGCTGAGAATTCTCGAATGAATACTAAGCTCCCACCAAAAGAACAGCCCACGGACACACGCGAGCAATGTGCCGGATTGCTCTAGGGATGGGCAGGCGCCGCTGCAGCTCCTCTGGTATTGCGATGCGGGCTAGATCTCGGTTTAGAGCGTGGGCTTGGGCTTCGATTTGCTCGTTGTTGCCGCTGTCATCCCTGCTGGTGGACTGGCTGTCCTTGTCCATGTCGAGGCATTTGGTGTGTTTGGCGTTTGGCGGTAGCAGTCGCGGTAGCGGGGGTAGGCTGGGGGGTAAGGGATAGGAGAGGGGTTGTGGTAAACGAGCGTGAGGACTTGCGGAGGTAGAGGGAAGAGATGGATGAGAATCAGGTCTGGCCTATACAGTTTATTTTTTGGAGGAGGATGTCATGTCGTGCTGCGCGTTTTTGGGGAAGGTGCAATGGAGAGTGGATGACGAGAGTATATGACCAGAGGAAGGGACAACAATTGCCTGTGTATTTTCGGGTTTACTTGAGTGGAAAAACGGGAAGGCGCAGTGTAGTGTATATCGTTGCCCAAGGGGCATTTACATACATGGTTTGAGGAAGGAACGTTGGATTTTTGGTATGCGTGTTACCTATGTAGACGGCTTGAATGTGAAATGATGGAAGGAGCATATGGACAAGATATCTTGCGTTACATACATAATGTACATGTACACGTCCCAAAATGAGAAAGAAAAAAAAAAAAAAAAGGGGGAAAGCATAGAATAGAAAACGGGTATTCGCCTCGCCTCGCATCGCATCACATACTCTAATGAAATAAATAAACCAGTAAACCCAACTGTTCTGCCCTCTTGTTTTGTCCCCCCAGTTCCAGGTCCAGTTCCGCATTTATATTTTTTCTTTTCCAGTTTTCCCACCAACAAACATAAGAAAAACGGGGAGGCCGGAGGAAGGGAGAAAGAAAAGAAAAGATGTCGTTTTTTGATTCTCTTTTCTCTTTCCTATTCTCCCCCCTTTCTCTCTCAGAGCAGAGCAGAACAGAGCAGAACCCACAAAGACATCACCCTTTTGAATTGCCTGAGAATAACCCCCCGACACCAAAACATCCAGAAACTCAATTGAAATCAAACCTAAACGTAAAAAAGGCATATCATCCCATCATATCATATCATAGTTATCATATCATATCAATTCATTTTATACAGACATAAACATCCTGGGTTAGGAAGCCAGAAACTGGGAATCCACTCCAGGTAAAGAAAGCATGTTACTACCATTATTTTAACGCAGGGACGGTAGCCCCCCTTTTTTTTTTTTTTTTTTTTTTTTTTTTATCGGATCCAATCAACTCGGGCGTGGGTGGATTGGAGAGGGCGATTTGTTTGCTCGGATCGTAGATGAGGAGGTTGAGGTGTTGGTGTTGGTGGTGGTGTTGGGTAGTAAATAAAATCCGTGACTCATTCTTTTGTACTAAGAGAGAAAAAAAAAGGGGGGGAAGGGGTATCGTCCCAAATTCTTTTTGATTGAACGGAGATTTTGGAAGAAGGGGAAGAAGGGGTATCCAGTAAGGGTTTGTTTTGTCAGATGTGATTTGATAGTGCTAGTGGGTGGCTGTGCGGGTATTTTCGATTCATTCGATTCCACTCCGCTATTCATGGTATCCACGGATGTAATTTATTATGCATTTCACGTCGCGGTCGCCCACTGGACGACTTGGAGCGCAAGAACGACAAGGATAAGCGTGGAGGGGAGGATCCTATGGCGGTTTATTATGTTAGTTTTCATAACAGGTCTCACTAAAATATAGATGTAGAAAGCTGGAAAAAAAATGAGGAAAAACGCAAAGGGCAAACCCACCAAACAACATAACTCTGGAACAACAACCTCGCCATCGCGCCCATGTACACATTGTTCAGCTGACAAATCTGCGCCAGCTGCAGCGCCGACGGCGCCCCCGTCAACAGGAAACACACGACGACAAAGATTGGGTCGTCTAGGATGCTCACAGGTACGAACTTAGCCGCCAGCGCGAGGATGGGGCTCATTATTAGCGTGGGAAGGAGCATGCGCGCGAGCAGCGAGGCGACTATTAGGTTTCGCTCTTCCCGCGGGTAAGGGTCGTGGGTATCATCTTGAGAGGGTTTGCCTGTTAAGGTGGAGGTGTTGTTGGGAAGAGTGTTGCGGGCGAGATTCGCGCCGAGGACGACGAGGATTAGTGGTACGGCGACGTTGCCGCTCTGCTCGACGGCGCGGGTGACAGAGTTTTTAATAAAGGTGTTGGGGCTGAAGAAGAGGCGCTGGAGGGAGGGGATGGAGGCGACGATTATGGCGGCTAGCATGGCCCAGAGTGGTGGGTTCATGAAGGCCCATAGGCCGCGGAAGAAGCGGGTGAGGTGGTGAGACGCAGTTCGTATGGACTTCTGGAGTGGGAGAGGGAGGGCATGGAAAAGGCTTGTGGAGCGGTTGTGAAGGCTTGATATGAGGGTGTGGTAGGTTGATTTGGCTTGTTTGGAGAGTTTTTGGAGTGGATTGCGCCAGGTGGAGGGTTGTTGTGGTTGCAGTTGGAGTTCTACGGCTGGAAATAAAGTAATTGCGCCTGTAGAGGACTGGCGGGGGAGGAATTGCCCGTTTGGCGGTGGTAGATGAAGGACAGGGGAAGGAGGATGCTGGTTTTGATCTTCTTGTTCAGTTTCAACTTCCCCTGAGTCATCCATCGCGACTAGTTTTGAGAAGGGGTATTGTCGCGCCATTATGGGGGTTTGCCCTCCGGATTCAAAGTGGGAGACATCCCCTGAACTTGACGAGGCGCTAGGCGTGTCATGTCCGGCATTATGATCGTCAGTGGTGTCGATGAGCGTTTGGACATGTCCCACAGTGTCGTCCGGTTCATCAGTGTACCGTTCAGAAACGCCGATACGACTAGCGTCGAGCTCTTCTTCGTCTCTGTAGTATGTCTCTGGCGGGGCAAGGAGGACTCGATAGCCCCAGCTCCATCTAAGCAGTTGGCCTAGCTGCTGAAAGATAAGGAGATAGAGGATACCCCTGGCACCAACCTCATCGTCACTGTCGTTTGGAACGCGATCCCAATGCAGGCCTTCGAGAGTGTGGGATAGCGATAAGATGAGAGATATGGGCAGCGAATTGGAGTTGCCGAAAACCTGTAATTTGGTTAACATACTATCTCACTATGTAGCAAGGGATATATACATACACCCATGGCAATGACAAAGTTCGACTGGCGCTTCTTGAAGCGAAACAGACGGGAGATCACGGCGGCGCATAGGTATGAGACCAAAGTCTGGATCACGAATATGCAAGGGATGATGGCTAGATCGGTTAGCTTATCCGCGGTAAGTTGGGAGGCGAGCTTCGTGAACACTTCGGAGAAAATCCGGCAGTCAGCAACAATATATAAATAGATATAGATAGTATATACACATGGGACTGGAATATGTTAATAGATTGGGCTTAAAAACATACCGAGACATGGGGTAAACAGTACGACATTGAGATTGGCGACGAATTTCTGGGCGTCGGCGTCGAACATGCCCATGCGGGCCACGATATAGCCAGGAAGACTGATGCAAACGACCTCGAGGACGGCGGCGAAGACCAGGAGGACCAGGCGCGGCAGAGGGGGTTGAGCAGCTTGGGCAGCTTGCTGAAGATTGAAGGCGTCTGGGACGTGAGGAGGCCAGCCATCGAGGGCTGCCGCCACGGGCTGTTGGGCTACATGGCGGGTGAAGATGGAGGAGTTACGGAGGATATTTGCGTTCACTAGAGAGGCTGGGGAGGTAAAAAGCATCATGCAGCGGGCTGCAAGGATATATGAGGATTGCGGTGGTTCAATGAAGTTGAAGAGGAGGAGGAGAAGAGGAGGAGGAGAAGAGGAAGAAGGAGAGGAAGAGGAAGAGATAGCACAAGAAGTGATGTATGTAGGACAGGCAGAAAACAGAAATAGCAGTAGATAGATAAAATCCGACGCCACCACAGACCCCAAGAGCTGCAACAGGAGAAAGAAAAGGGGAGTGGGGAGTTTGAGAATAGCAATTCAAGGCGGTAGCAGACAAAGGAAGAAAGGAGAGGCGGAGAATGGCGCTGACATGGCTACCAAAGGGGGAGAATAGCAGGTTTTTTTTTTTTTCTGTGACGGGACACCAGCCCCGAGCTTATGATGCCATAATCCAACCTTAAGTTGACGCGGACCCTGGATGGGATGGACGCGGCCACCAAACAAGAAAGGTTCGTCTCATATGTCAAGGCAACAAATGGCTCAAATGGCTCAAATGGCTCAAATGGCTGGGACACGAGGAGGGCAGACCGGGATAAGATGGTAGAGATGGGAGAAGAGAAGAGAGAGGGGAGGAGAGGAGGGGAGCATCCGAGTTGGTAATTCAGGACGCTGACAGAAGGCTTGGTGACGTGTGTTGTGGCGTCGGACAGGGCTGACGCTGCACAGCCATATCGATATCAACAGGGGAAGTATCATATCATATCAGGCCACAATCACATACACATAACACACACACACACACACACACACACAAGTCCTGCGTGCGTAACAGTAGTTATTATGTTGTTTATATCTGAATTGTTAATACAAATTGATATCTGATATCTGATCTGATGAGGCTGATGACTCCTGCCAAGCCATCGCCAAGTGACCCAGCCAGCCAATGACAGGCCAGAATTCACCCTTGTGCTTCCACGCTTGATCGCCAACGCCACACAACATCCAGACCCTGGGATATACATATACATAAATAGCAGCAGCGTAATGTGCTCGACAGCAGAAATAACTTAGAATCTCAATTTCGGGTTTCGTGGTCTCTTTCTCGCATAACATTCACCGTCTACCGAAACTACCGTCCAATGCTAACTTAACTACGGAGTACACTTTCTCCCGTCTCGCAGCCTAGGAACCATGGGTGCCTTTCCTACTAGTTAGTGGTCTCAAACCAAACCTTAAATCATGGAAAGCAAAGCTTGGAGCGAAATCTCTCATGATGGAAGAATGCTTACTATTGTATGAAAAATCCAGCTATCACACGAAATGCAACACAAAGCACAAAGTGCCAGTGTTCCTCTGAACCGCATCGTCGACTGATCGATCTAGAGCTAAGGACCGCCTCTCTTGGAGCTTGGAGAGTGTCCCTATGTCGCGATCGGACCGAAACGGAGCAAAGGGAATGGCCGCGGCGCAGCTAGCGGTAGAGCGGGACCGAATCCAGAGGGAAGAAGAGGAACGAGCGAGCGAGCGCCGAGCGAGGTGCACCGGGGCCGAAACCGCGCGCTTGCGGTAGATAGCAGAAGACACGGATCGAGCTTATACATCACCTTCCAAAAATGGCTAATATATTACCACTTCAGGGAATGTGTTACGAGGTTATAAGTTCACCGTTAGCCCGTACTTAGTAGCATTGACTTGCTTCGATTCCTTCTTATGCCTAAGTGATTCCGCAAGCCCCTTTATAATCTACTCCCAGGGACTACTGTATCAGCCATATGGGAGCTTTCGACAAAGGGAGCAACCGCCGCATCAATGGCCATGGCCCGACTATACTTTCGGAGCCAGTGCATAGAGACATCTGGAAAGTGCGTCCTGATGCATGGCGTGTGATTATTAAGCATGTTCAAAATTAGTTGAAACAAAAAAAATGGCGCTAAAAACGGATTAAACAGAGGTATCACAAGATGCGCAGTTCAGATATCCCATTCTTGAGGCCTCTTACCCCTTGAGGCTGATACTAAGTATGTATATTTTTGGTGCCTAGAATGTAGTCTGTCCAGGCCTTGGCGCCAAGCCCGTCGAAAAGTGCATGGCAACTCTTGAACTTCCCTCCTCTTGAATCATACACCATTTTGCAGTTTCCAAGCAATATTTGAGAAAAAAAGCAAGCTCCACACAAAGTCGACAATGAATGTTAGTGAGCTAAAGGACGACCTTGCTGAGCTCTATCACAACAGATCATCTGGGTGCGAGACACCCCATTCTTTATGAATCCTCGCTCAAAGATACTGTGGAAACTTGGCCCGGTCTTCACAGAACGCGAGACCTATGGAGATGATGATATCTATGAGACATATATGACAGAGACATGTGGTACATGCGTCGCAACTCAGGTTGAGCCCAACCCCGGAGTTCAGGGCATTGCAAAGATAAGAATGCAGTATGCAGACATGGCCTCCAAGTTTCTTGTCTCCCACCATGTCTGCTTTGTTTCTAACCTTGACACCTTGACATGTGTAGGATCCCTGATGATCCTGGGAACCCTTCATCAACCAAGCCTAAACATAGCAGCCGTCGCGTTGGATTTGAGTTTTATAATCATGACACACTCACCAAACTTGGTTGCACTTGTATTCCAAAGCTACTAGACTATGCATCTCTAATTCAAAAAGAGAAGGATCCTGTTCCAGGTGGCTTCCTTTTCTTCCTTGTGATGGAAAGATTACCAGGGCGCAATTTGGCTAATTTTGCTGATTGCCCATGTCTGAGAGGGACCAAGTCCGGTTGGCCTTTGCTAAGTCAATCCGGTAAGTTATCCCTCCTGGCCTTGCAATTCTCAACCCATTCATTCCTTCTTTTTGAAAGATGATTTCCAGATTTGACATAGTTGCCAGCGAATTCTACGCCTTCAGGTTCATGCATAATGACCCTAACCGTCGCAATCTGATGTGGGACCCTGAGAATAAGAAGTGGTATGTGTGGTAAACTGGACATACATACCCCGTACACAGTTTTATCATTGCTTACCCTAACGATATTCTGCAGCTACATAATAGACCTTGAAGATGCGTATCAAATCAATGACGATGAGGAGCCCACCAAGTTCATGTCTGAGCTCCATTACCGCGAGTGGGGGATAGCTGGCCCCGAAATCAACTGCCACATGTATGGTTTGGGTCCAATGGTCCCGCATGATGGCAAGTGCATTGAGGGCCCCGACGACGAGATGCTTGAGAAGATGGCCGCCGATGCAGCTGTCAAGGAGCTTGTGTTCGGAAAATAAACTATCCTTCTTGGATTGTAACGCTTTCTACTGTCGCCCTTTATGCGAAGGGAAATCAGGAATGGAAGGTGACTAGTGATATATCTACCTCCTTCCATGGACAGTGTGGGATCCTTCATTTAAGGGTCAAGTGATGATCTATATATTTGCGCATTGAATACTGATGTTACAGCCCCGATGAATGTTTAACCACAATTCCTTTTGTAATCAACTGGGTGGAAGGCCAGGTAATTAATCTGTGCAGCGATACAGAGGATGGAAGGTTTTTCTACCCAGTAAATTGGTGTGTACTATAATGCAAATGAATTTAAATGGAGTCTTATACAATGGCTCGCCAAAAGTAAAATCAGCTAAAAAAACAAATATATTTAAACAAGAAAAATATGTGGATGCTACTGCCTATCGCACTTTGCCAATAAAATTGGATTTAGACCAGAATGGGATTACTTTCTCGTCAACAAGAACCAAAGGGAGGGAAATGGATTGGATTGGATTGGATTTTTATTTTTATTTTTATTTTTATTTTTATACGGACATTTTTTATGGAGATTCTTCTCCGTTAACCGTAGAATCTTAGGGTCCTTCTGCTTGCAGGGAGAGTCCTAGAATAAATACATTTCAATATCATGGCGGTAAAGATGAGGCAGTTAACGATAGGAGAGAAGGTCAGTAATTTAAAGAAAGCCTGCCATCTCAACATTGTCATTGTTAGTCTGGAGGGGGTATATTAGAGCAACGCGACCCTCTTTCTTCTCTATGAGGATATGGATGCGTCCCATGTTTCCCTAATCGATATTAAAAACAGCCCAGGCAATCAATTTCATGAACAAGGCCGAAATAGCGGCAATATGTCAGCAGGTAAGTCGACAAAAACATTATCAACAGAAAGACACTCAAGGCTGATCCATGTAGGTTCTCTCCGGGCTCTCCTTCATCCACATGGAACTCGGAATTACCCATGGCGCCATTAACACTGAAAATGTGGTGTTGAGCGGAACGGGCATTGGTAAAGCCAAAGGAATGCGTTGCACCACTTCTGGTGCTGAGCTCGATGATACTTTGGGCGATATGGTTGCAGGATTGATAGTCGGATCGGCAGGAAGTCACATTTTTCTGCAATTTTCCCCAGGGGTTGACTGTCTAGTTCCACATGTACGGGTGGCAGTGAGGAATGGGATGTTCGCATGGCGTTTGATAGCAGCAAGTTAAGGACTGAAAATGCGTTGTCTCAATAGGAAGTTTAGAACAACTAAGTCTGTATATATTTACTTAAATCCACTCTGCATTGAGAAAATAAAGAAAGAGAAACGGAAAATAGAAATAAAAAATAGAAATGGAGGAAGAGAGAAAAAGAGAAAAAGGGTAGCATGACAGACACAATGAACTCTGCAGAGGCAGCAGATAAACTTTACTCTCATTTCTAGAAATATTCATCTGCAATGTAAGCAGGATGTTTTTTGAAACCTCAGATGCAATATTAAGATCTCTACAGTCCCTCCCAACAGATATGCAACACATTTCCAGTCCACCTGGACTGTCAATACTTTGTGAAGGAATGTTTCAATAATGCTGCTAAATCCGGAGGAGGAAAATAAGCTTTATCGCCAAGCCAAGATAATGCGGCGGGTGTGGGGTGAGGTTAAATTAAGGTTGGTTGTTCCCACTAAGGTTAATCTGGTATAGTCTCTCCTCTCCTCGCTTGTTGGCATCCAATATTTTTATCCTCATTCTTCCATGTATCTTGTTTCTCTTCCCACTCAGTTTGATGCTCATGAAGACACCACGCGAAAAATGAAAATTGTGTCATTTGATGCCTTTGAAGACTTCCACGACTATTTCATTGTTTTTCCCGCCTCTTGGCCTCAGCCCCAAATGGGGACAAGCTTACCTAGCGAACAGAGTGCAAGAAACCTTCATGTTCTTTCATTGCCTCGTAGACAGTCTCTCCCGAATGGATCACCATGTACTTACCGGAACAACTCACAGGGGTGAAAGATAACCGGGTAGAATCGCGGGATGTGAACGAGGGTGCCTAACGTCCATCCCTGCTCGAATTTCCACTCAGAAATTATCTAGTCACATGCCGTCCGATTCCCGCACGAATAGTTTGTGGCGATTGCCGTTCGTCAGGAGCTCAAGTCCAATTGCGCCAGCAGAGAAAGTCCCTACCCTGCTTCGGGGGTTAGTTATGTTCTTTCGCAACTTTCCCGGGCCTTTGGGAGGTCTGCGGGATCTACGTGGTCAAACTCTTTGTTTGCTTTGCGCCCGCGGGTTTTCATTGTTCAATACTATCTACGCCAATGGCGTCACAGCCTGCAGATGCTACTTTGCGAAGGAGGGAGTGTCCGAGCGTTTGATTTGACAGCTCGCCGCTATGTAACTGGTGTCGATCTCCCGGCATGAACCGTGGGTCGGGAATTTCGTGCATAACGGTTCTGTCCGGCGCTCTCATCTCTCATGGATAGAGTGAGTGGTTGTAGAGAAAAAGTCCCGGGGACGGGGGTTGGGTTCGGCCGTGGGATTTTTTCTCACACATCTCGATTAGCCGTTCAAGGAGAGAGCCGCAGTGAGGTTAGAAGATAACGAATGGTTGGTATAAGAAGAGCTTGAGGGATTCCTACTGAAGATGCACCTTTCGTCATATCTATCCCCATCGTCAAGGCTCTCTCTACGTGCCTATTACAATTTCGTCGTTCATAATCTGGTATATCTAGTTATATTCGCAGACCCCCTGGGAGCAGCTCATTTATCAGACCGACCACCACCATGGATAAATCTACAGAATGTAGTAGTATCACATATTGCAACTTGATGAATGGATAATGACTATGGCTAACCCGTCTTCTAGATACTTGTGGGAAATGCGACGGGGATCTGAAAGGAAATTACCGCTTTTGCAGCAAATGTAAGTATATTCCTTCGCTTTCGCTTGGGACAGCGCTCCTACCTCTCTAGATAATATGAGGCTGATAGTAATAAACGAAACCTCCAGGCGAATGCGCTGTGCCCCGTTGTGTCAATCCTAAATCCGGCTTGTATCTGTGCTCTTTCCGTACGTCCCAGATTATCCAACCTTTCAAAATCCATAAGTTCTACTTTCGCAAGAGGGAAAAAAAAGAAAAAAAAGAAAAAAAAGCAAATTTGCTAAAATTTTCTTTACCACGAAACAGATACGTGCAAGAAATGTGAAGAAGACATGGCTCCCCAGGGTCTATATTGTGATGATTGTGCACCAAAGACGAAATGAGTGTGGTCCCCTCAGTGTGGCTTTCTATTGTCCACCATTCCGAACGCCACTTTCAGCAGGGCGTCGGACGTCAGGCGTTAGATTGGAGTAACCAATATCACGCAAATTTTGGATTACCTTTTCAATTTTCCTCCACGCACTCTGTCTAACCTCCGCCCCACCGAACTCCTTATTCAACATATCGGCCTAGATCGCTCTCGTCAATTTTGTTTAACCCTGGCCGTTTGGATATCGACGTTGGAATATTTTCTTTGATTTTGTATTACTTTGCTGCTGGTGCAGTAGTAGTTATTATTGTTTTTGTTTTCTTATTTTGCTTTGTATACAATGCTCAAGCCAGAGTGGAGATACAGTACTTATACCCAGAGATCTTAGCTATACTCATTCATTTAAGAAGAATCAACAAAGAAAGATGAGGTCTTCTTTTTTCTACCCTTTTTATTCTATCAAGCAAGTCTCCCGTTTCTCTGTAGCTATCTATCACTCAAAGCAGCGCTTTAATTTTGAAGTAATAAACGTTTTGCATCTTAATTAGATAGATGGGGGGCTGTCATGTTGCATGAAGAGATTCGAGTTCATCGACAGCTTTTCGCATCGCTGCAAGTGTTTCGTCGATTACCTAGGTACCTCTCATTCCCCCACCTCACGTAGCATTAGAGCATCTACTGCCCGCTCACTTCGCCCACTAGCCTTGGTGTTCAGCTGCCAGTGCTGATACGCCAATAGGTAGCCAGGTCTGCCAGGATGGAAGGAATGTATGAATGCCAGTGAAAAAGAAACTTGACTCCACGGCTTAGCTTGGCCAGGTACAGAAAGGAAAGATAGGGGGCGCGACTATAGCTGAATCTAGTCATGGTTGAGTGTTGTGTCAGCGATGCCCATTGAGAGGGTATAAGTGCTAAGAGATAAAAATTCGAAGTATTAAGCTGACAAAGTGCCCTAGAGAGAGGTATAATAGTAGTAGGGATCGCCTGTGGTATCATCCTTATTCAAAAAAGCCCTGAACCCAACCCAAAATTGTAAAATGCAAGACAATAAGACCCAGCGCCGGCGCTGTCATGAGCTGAACTCCAAAAGACTCAGCATATTCTCGCCAGCAGTACGTGAACCCAGTGCCACCCCAGACTAACTCGCAATCCCATGTAAAACGTTTCGCTCAATAACAGACCTAACCCCAAAAGAAACAGGACGCACAAGAACCAATCAATCTTCAAGTAAGTCAGCCCACTCCGGAATCTTCTTGATCAAACTCCACATGTACTTCTCCAGTTTGACAGCGCACTTAGCATACACTGTACTCGCATCATTGTACTGGCGACAATTGCTAAAAATCAACTTCAGATCAGCAACAAGGTCTTTCGGAGTCGTATAAGAATCGCACTCCAATCTCTCTTCCATAGTCGACAGGTCCATCGGCGAGGAAATAACATTGTAATAGTCGGGGACCTCATCCCTGTTCACCGGAACGAGGAACGGCCACGCCTGTTTGTGGTTCTGGATTTCATTCAGAAAACGCCGCAGTTCGTTGAAATGGCGGCCGTGGCGCGGTTCGCGGGCTAACTTGTCCATGTCTGGCGACCAGCCCGTTGCGCGAATGGCGGGGATGGAGAGTGGGTCGATGGACGTGACAGTGAGGCCGTTGGCCCATTGCGGAGGCGGGGGGTGGATGATGTGGCTTTCGCTGAAGGTGCGCATTTTGGCGAGGACGGCTTCCTTCTGTTTGAGAATCATGCGGCCGACTTCGAGATAGCGTACTCGGGGAAGCATGGAGCACTGCATGAGCGTGCCCCCTTCATAGTCCTTGATGTACCCCATCCAGATGGACCTGTCGAGCGTGATCTCTTTGGTAAACCCCTGTTTTTGAAAATAGCCCGTGGCATAGTTATCGGCGTAGGTTAGAAAATGCATCACCGGCCCAGTAGCTCTAACGTAATCTTTCAAATGGAACATGAGATGCGCGCCGTATCCTTTCACCTGCTGGTGCGACGAGACGGCGCAGAACACGATTTCGGCAAACCCGCGGTCACGGAATTCCCGGAATGTTATTCCGCCAATGACTTCCAGAGGCATTTTGACGATGGCCATGGAGAGATGTGCACGATCGTAGACAAGACGCGCGACATAGTCCTTGGGCATTTTGGGAAGTTGTTTTTGAAACAGGCATTTGAGTCCTGTAAGGATGATTGTACTCTCTCTTGAGCCGTCATTGTTGACAACTCGGAACTCGATCTCGCCATTTCGTTCTTCCAAAACTGCAGGCTTTCATAGAAGATAGTTAGAACGGTTTTCCTGCCATTTCTTTTTTAAAGGCCCTAGCATACCTTCTCCGGGAAAGGCACCGTCCTCATAGCCGGAGTTTTAGACTCCGGTTCTGTCGACCCATCATGAAAGTTTTTGATTCTTTTAGGGTCTGGGGCGTTATTTGGTTCTTCAACAGCAGTGCGCTTCGCGTCGAGATGTTGCCCGATGGAGGTTGGTAGTGAGTGCGACGCTGCTTTGTCCATGTGTGTTGAATGCCTGCGCCTGGGCTCTCGAAAGGCGGATATGTAAATGACAAGTATACTGCAGGCTGACCTGGAGCTCTCTGAAGCTATATCGCAGACTTCCTCACCCCCTTGAACCTTGGAATGATGGAATGGTGAGGTAGCTGGCTGGGCTGGGCTGGGATTTAACTACTGGCGGTTTGTTCCAAATGCGGGATGGGGCGACCAGGTGAGGCTAAGACAAACTTGGCATAGTGGGCTTGGCGCCCCGTCCAAGCAGGGATAATTACTCCGTACCATGTCCAATTATTATTATTAATACTTGCTTCTTCTGTGGCGTTGGCGATAGTGGCTGTGTATGTGTTCTTGACCAATCACAAGCAAGCAGTGTTTGGAGCCACACTCTTACATAAGCCACGTACAGCCGGCCAAAAGATATCCGCAATCACATGAGAATTGAGCCTCCTCCTGCTGACCTTCGTCGTCGTCGTCGTCGTCGTCGTCTTCTTCTTCTGTTGCTGTTTGTGTATGCTCATGTCCATCTTATTCTCTATCTAAGACCGCTCGGTGCACAGGCACAGGCTATCCAGGGAAACCTCTTTGTGAAAGATCTTCTGTCGTTCATTTGCTACTGCCAACTATCTTGTCCCCGCCAATCGCCAACCAGCGTCCGTCCTAACGCCTGTTAAACTCTGCTGCCTTAAATAAAGCCACATGCCACTCTCGCCCTCTCCCCGCCATCCGCTCGAACACTCTCATCAAGTTTTGCTCTGACAGAAAAGACAGATCAAGAACAGAAGACACGAAAAGGACTGAGCGGGCAGTATAAAAATAATAAAAAATAAATAAAGGAACAAAAAACTAAAACCAGCAATTTCCTTGGTCTACAATAATCCTATCCAACCGTCCCAGCGGCCTGACTCAGTGTGCCCCGCCGAGGCAGCCTATTTGATCCCTGGTAGAAAATTCTTTCCCGTGTGTACTTCTTCGGCACTCGCCCCTTGCCCCTTCAGTTTCACACATACGGACATATTATTACCACCGCTATACATTTATATATATATACATATATCTATATATCTATATATATACCTCTTCATATATACAACCCGCCGCTTCTTGTCCTACCAATTACACTCTGTCGTCTCTTATTCTATCTTCTCCGTTCCAGTATACTTCCATGCCCCGACGGTAGTTCCCGACGTTGACTGGTCTGGAGGTGCGCTGTGGAGGTCGCCTAGAGCAGCCCTTCAGAAGAGAGAGATCAAGCGAGAGGGGCAGAGAGTGAGACGGAGAGAGAAAGGGAAAAGAGACAGAGAGAAAGAGCGAAGCCGCGAGCGCCAGTTGACATTTTGTTTATCCGAATCCGAATTGACGATAGCAACAACACGTCAATGGTCATAACCAAAACCGGCTCATCCAACCCTTCGTAGCAGAACACGCACCCCTCCCTCCCTGCAATATGGACGGCCATGACCTCCAAGATGGTGCGGACAATGATCTCCCTAAACCCCAACAATCATTTCCCGCACTTTCGCCCATGCCCTCGGCCGATAATCAGCCCCCAACCCTGCGTCGTGTCTCTGACAACCCCACCATAATGAGCCCTTCCTCCACCCCTCTTGGTCACGTCAATGCCGCTCGGAAGCCACCTGTTCCTCCTCCTACCTCTACCCCACGATCCAGCGGCTTGAACCAGGATATCCAGGCAAAAATGAAGGCATTCTCACTTTCCAGGCAAGGTGTCCGCCCAGGAGCGAACCCACAGTCGTCACCAACAACAAATAACCCCCGTACTGGAAATCCCATAGTGACTGCTGCGGTTCAGGGAGGTCCACTTGTCGGCGGTATTCCTTCCACCACTAGCCGGAGCACTCCTTCCCCGGTAGTTGGTGGTGCTATCCCGCCAGGTATAGGCAGATTAACCTCACATTCAGCCCCTGGGTGGCCGTCGCATCCTCCTACACCTACCCCGAACACGCCAATGCAGCCCAAAATGGGTGGTCTGGCTGCAAAAAGAGGGTTAAACCGTGGAATGAAACTATCCGATGCTTCGGGACCTCCAAAGGGCCGCGCAACGCCAGGGCAGCCGGGAAGTCTCCCTGGTGCGAACGATGCCTCGCAGGGCGCTGGAGGACCTACTGAGACACAGTTTAGCAAGTACTCGGAATTTGTGGATACCAAATCGGGCACTCTGAATTTTAGGAACAAGGCCATTATACATAGTGGCGGCATCGATTTTACCTCGGGCAGCAGTTTCAGCATATCTCTAGACGAAGTTGATACTCTTGATGAACTGGGCAAAGGGAACTACGGCACCGTCTATAAGGTTCGGCACTGTCGTCCGCATTTGCGAAGACCTGGTTTGGGTTTGCGGGGTGCCGTCTCAAGACAATCTGGGGCTCAGCCTACACAAGCCTCTAACGACCCTGATTCTAATACTACCTCCAACGTGATAATGGCTATGAAGGAGATTCGCCTCGAGTTGGACGAGGCGAAATTCACTGCTATTATTATGGAGCTGGATATCCTTCACCGCTGCGTATCGCCGTTTATCATCGATTTCTACGGTGCGTTTTTCCAGGAAGGCGCAGTGTATATTTGTGTGGAATACATGGATGGTGGATCTGTGGAGAAGGTCTACGGCGATGGGATTCCAGAGAACATCCTTCGGAAAATCACCTTGTCTACCGTCATGGGCCTGAAGTCCTTGAAGGACGAACATAACATCATCCACCGTGACGTCAAACCGACTAATATCCTAATCAACACCCGCGGCCAGATTAAGATTTGCGACTTTGGTGTCAGCGGGAACCTGGTGGCTAGTATCGCGAAGACAAACATCGGCTGCCAGAGTTATATGGCCCCCGAACGGATTGCGGGAGGCGGTCCCACCGCTGGCGGTGGGACGTACAGTGTGCAGAGTGATATCTGGAGTTTGGGCCTGACGATAATCGAATGTGCTATGGGTCGCTATCCATATCCACCTGAAACGTTCAATAACATCTTCAGCCAGTTGAACGTAAGTAGTCGAAAACTAAAACATACCCCAAGATACAGCGAACACAAACAAAATTCCCAACTTTTATGCTAACGCATACACAGGCCATTGTCCACGGCGACCCTCCCAAACTACCCGAGCGCGGTTACTCGTCCAAAGCCAAAGATTTCGTACAGAGCTGCCTGAACAAAAACGCATCCCTTCGACCCACCTACGCCATGCTCCTTCGCCACCCCTGGCTATCCAGCCTGATGCAGCCGCCTGAGAACCACCGTCCAACCGAGAAAGATAATAATGATGATGATGATGCCAAAACCGACGGTGACAAACCCAATGACAATGACACCGACGTTACCAGCAAGAAAAGTTCGTCTAAACCACGACCATCTTCTCTCTTCGAAACGGCCGATGAGGAAGTCGCTAGATGGGTTGTTGATGCGCTTGACCGTCGTGCAAGAGGCGTCATGGGCAATCAGCAACGGCCAGCGTTGCATGCCGTGGCCCTTGATGCGGTGCCGGGGAGTCCGCTATTGGAGGATCCGTCGTCTTTACCATCACAGTGAGAAATAATGAAGGGACGTGGAATATGGATGGTCAGGTAGGGATCAGAGTATACGATTTTTGTTGTTTGGGGAAGGATTGAGGTTTGTAAAAGGAGATTTGGAGAGGTGGAATTTGAAAATAAGAAATGTCGTACCTGAGTACAAAAGAGGGTATTGAACGGCATATATATATATATATATATATATATATGCATATGAAGTTGCGTGTATATATATGCAAGACACATATGTATACGACATGATGTTTCCACGGTATCGTGCGGATAATTATCAACGACCGGGCTGAATTAATTTCCACACTGCTAAAGAACGAGAGCTGGTGGTTGGTGTAGGCGAAGGAAGCGACGGTGCAGAGTTGGATGAAGTGCAGGACAAATAGATAGACAGACGGACAACTGAAAGAAAGGCACGAAACGAAATGAAAGTATGAAAACTGCGCTGGCGCGGGAATGATGGATTTTTCCTTTTTCTCTTTCCCTTGATGGTTCTGTTTCCCTCCCGTTTCTCTCCTTTTCTTTCTTTTTTTGTTTTGTATTGGTTTTATTGATGCCCTTCTCCTTTTTTTTCAACCTATTCCTCTCCGATTTATATAGTTCTATCACCCGAGAGGATGTGGGGAGCCTGAAGTTTGGGATACGCTATTTGAGCCATTTATTGCTTCCTTGTCGACCAGCGTCTTTCTTTGCTTGCGCTTTTTAGTTTTTCATCTCTAGGCAAAGGTGGTGGATATTTGTTTTTACATATCTGTTTCCTGTTCCGAGGGCTATTCGTTTCTCCCTTCTTTCTCACTTTCCTCATTCGGGACGCCCGTTACTTTGGCGTGCCCATGGTTCATATATATTGTATATCCATTCCCCTTCCCATGTTCTTCTCCTTGGGAGCTTTTTCTCTTTTCTCTTTTTGTTCGCTATTCCCAGCAAGGTGACATACTACACATACAGACATATATGATTGAGTGTGTTCATATATCCGTATATTATAATATATTCTCCGTTGCCTTCTGTTTTCTTCTTTTTCTTCTTTTCCCTTCTACTTACTTCTTATTCTAACTGGCGGACTTGTGTTAGTATAGAATTTATTCCCGTTGTAAACACTACAAGAACTTTTTATTTTTATTCTTATTGATTTGATTATTGATTTGATTTTTTGATTTTTGCCCCATATGCATTTAGCCCTGGCTGTTCGTCCTATCTGATCTCTCGTTCAATTAATTTATGCACGTTCGAAGGCTATTATTATTTGCAGTTTGGTTTGTGTGGGGGATGGAATTGAACGATATATACCGATAAATACATATTCTCTGCTCTTCCTAATTAAGATAGTATATCTGTATTTATTTTGGTTTATGAATTTACCATCCTCAAGAATGATTCTTCCATCATCATATTTATCATATTCTGCGCTAAGTAAGTTTACTAGTTAATTAGTTAAGTTAGTGTTGCGGCTGACTAATGACCGCCCCGTCGGAATGAAGTGGAAAGTGGAATGAATATTAATATTCATATTTTGTTCTCGAACCGTGTGTTGCGCCGTCTTTAACTGCAGATAATTGGATAATTGCACAGGAAAGAGAGCATATAAGAGAATAGATAGGAATAAGCATAATCTAGACAAGACAATTGACTGGTTAAACCATTCGTTGACGGGCAATTGCTGCGTTAACTTAACTATCTCCCTCAAACCTCTCTCCCTCCCCGAACTTCAGCTCCGTATTTCCTGGTATCATTTATATTTGTTTGTATCTACAAATATATATATTAGGGAATGCCCCTCCTCCGCCCCCCGTTCTCTTCCTTTTCTTCTTCAATTCTTACGTCCAACCTCAGAAAGTTCAGAGTCACTACACCCTCAGCAACAACTCTCCCACATCCCTCCCGCATCCCCGCACGCAACTACCACCACCCCGCCACTCCACGCCTGAAGCTGGCCTCTACTACCCCTGCTATTTCTACCACCAACCCCATCAATATCTCGTCCAATCTACGACTGTATTCTCTCGCCAGGCAATTCTCCTCGTCGTCCGTGTCTTCCGATTCCGTGCCATCCGCCGATAAGCCCTCATCTACAACCATGGCTCCCATCGACGAAGTGCACAAGTACGACTACATTGTCATTGGCGGCGGTAGCGGCGGCAGTGGTGCTGCCAGGAGAGCATCTGGATGGTATAAGGCGAAGACCCTCATTGTTGAGAATGGGAGGTCCGGCGGATGCTGTGTTAACGTCGGGTATGTTCATCTTGTTGCATAAACATGCTACTCTACTGCTGCATTTCCCCCGTAACAACAACTAAAATACGATACAAAATCTCACTCCATGCAGTTGCGTCCCCAAAAAGATGACCTGGAACTTCTCCTCCATCTCCGAAACCCTGCGTGACGGCGTGCATTACGGCTACGACATTCCCCAGAACATCCCCTTCGACTTCTCCGTCTTCAAGCGCAAGCGCGACGCCGTCATCGAGCGCCTCAACGCCATCTACGAGCGCAACTGGAACCGCGAGGGCATCGATCTCGTCCACGGCACCGCCCGCTTCACCGGGACCAAGGAGATCGAAGTGGAGTTACAGGACGGCAGCGGGAAGGCCCGATATACGGCCCCGCATATTTTGATTGCCACGGGCGGTTACCCGCTTATCCCTGAGGATGTCCCCGGCGCGCACCACGGCATCACCAGCGACGGGTTCTTCGACATTGAGGTCCTCCCGCCCAAGATCGCGGTGGTTGGCGCGGGATATATCGCTGTCGAGCTGGCTGGTGTGCTGCAGTCCATCGGCGTCGAGACCCACATGTTCATCCGTGGTGATACGTTTTTGCGCAAATTCGACCCGATGGTCCAAACGACCATGACCAAGCGGTATGAGGATATGGGTGTGAAGATCCATAAGGGGTTCACTGGCTTTAAGCAGGTGGAGCTGCTCAGTGATGGCAAGGGCCCGGAGAAGAGGTTGAAGATCACAAAGAGTGACGGTGAGGTGTTCGAGGTCAATGAGCTGCTGTGGGCGATTGGACGAGCACCGGCTATTCAGGATCTGAATCCGGAGAAAGCTGGAGTCCAGCTTAAACCTTCTGGCCATATTGTTGTTGATGAGTTTCAGAATACCTCCGTTGACGGAATTTATGCCTTGGGTGACGTGACGGGGCAGGCAGAACTGACTCCTGGTGCGTCATATATATATATTTCTTTTTGCAACCCGAATTCCTCTCTTTAGTTAGCGCATGAATTTTCTTGCTAATATCTCCCCCCCCAAAAAACAGTCGCCATCGCCGCCGGCCGCCAGCTCGGGAACCGCCTCTTCGGGCCCCCCGAGCTCAAATCCTCCAAACTCTCCTACGACGACATCCCCACCGTCGTCTTCTCTCATCCCGAAGTCGGCACGACTGGCCTGACGGAGCCACAAGCCATCGAGAAGTACGGCAAGGAGAACATCAAGGTCTACCATACGAAATTCTCCGCCATGTACTACGACGTCATGCCTGTGGAGGAGAAGCAGAGAAACCCGACGGAGATGAAACTCGTCTGCGCGGGCCCGGAGGAGAAGATTGTTGGCCTGCATATTTTGGGTCTAGGCGTCGGGGAGATGTTGCAGGGCTTTGGGGTTGCGGTTAAGATGGGCGCGACGAAGAAAGATTTCGATTCTTGTGTCGCTATTCATCCGACGAGTGCGGAGGAATTGGTGAGTTTTAATCCCCTGTCGAAAGTGAAGTAATTTTTTTTTCTTTTCCTGAGGGGTGTGTGTAACTGACATGATTTGATTTAGGTTACGATGCGATAGATTATAGAGGAAGTCTCGCTAGGAAGTATATGTATGTAGATAGTAAGAAGATGTGTTTGAATATAAGTCATGTTTTGGTTTAATTCATAATCAAGAGCAACTGATATTCCACTGGTCACTGCGCATGGACCAACTCTTGAAAAAAAATAAAAGTAAAAAAGTAATCATCCCTTAATCCGTCCCTATTTCATAGACACACATACCCAAATCCTCGTACTTCGAAAAATAACAAATCACAACTTCGCCCCTATCGCCCTCGGCTTAACATCCACCGGGGTCCACCAGGGGTAAACCTCCGGCACATCCCCCTTGGTGCCAAAACTCGCCTTAAACTCCGGCGCCCTCTTCTGCAAAAAGCTCTTGACCCCTTCCTCATTCTCCCTGCCCCCAAACATCCCATAAATAACTTTCGAATCCAACAAATGCGCCTCCTCCGCGCTGCAGGGACCCCGATACATCATCTCCCTCATCAGCGTCGACGCCACCGTCGACGTATTCTTGGCAATGTCCGCCGCAATCTCCAGCGCGCGCGCCACCGTTTCCGCGCCCGTGGGCAGCACTTCGGAAAACAACGAGCCGAACAGAGGGTGTTCGGCCGGGTATGTGGAGCCCGTTGCGGTGAGGTGGAGCGCGCGGCTGTAGCCGATCAGGCGCGGGAGAAAGAAGGAGGAGGCGGCTTCCATCACCAGGCCACGACGCGAGAAGACGAAGCCGATCTTTGAGCCGCGGGTTGCGAGGCGGATTGTGGCGGGGAGGGTCATTGTGATGCCGATGCCGACGGCGGGGCCGTTCAGGGCCATTATTGTTGGTTTGCGGCAGGCGTTTATGGCGAGGGTTACGCGGCCGCCACTGGTTGGGGGGTTAGTTTTTTCTTTTGTTTTCTTTTCTTGTATTTTATTTTCTTGTTGCTTTTGGGTTGCCTATTGGCGTATGAGGGCAAGTTATCGCGAACCGGAGGGAGGTAACAAGAATGGGTAAATAAACTGAAACATGTGATGGGAATTGAGGAAACTGAGTTACGCACCCGTCTCTATGCTCAACCCCATCGTCGCCAGGATTCCTCCTCGATCCATCGCCGGACGAGCTCTTCGGGAACCCAATCTCCAGGTCCGCCCCGGCGCAAAACGCGCGCCCCGCTCCCGTCACCACAATGGCTTTGACGCGGTCGTCCACGTCGACCATGTTGAAAAACGAGATCATCTCGTCCGCCATCGTTCCCGTAAACGCATTGAGCTTATCAGGCCGATTGAGAGTTAAGAGGAGGACGGGGGTGGCCGTGGAGGCGCTAGCGGGTACATGATCGATTTTGATGTGCTGGGTTTGCAGCGCGGAGTATGATGGAGGGATTTGGATGGCCATGGTGATAGAGGTTGGATGGATGGGGCGATTTGTTATGTTCAATTGATGTTGTAGAGGATCTGGGGGATAGAATTGTTAGTTCTGTTCGCGCCTTTCGGAGATGTTATCCTTTGCCTAGTAAATCCCGGGACAATTGCTTTTATTTGTCCATTAAGTTGTATGTACATGACTATGGACTGCAGCGGAGTGCATAGCAATATGTACTAGAAAGCATCAATAAAACAAGTCGGCATACCTTCTGTGTTTTCTTTATACTGTATTCACCTGCACAATAACAACGGTTATTGAGCTCTTTATTTCAAATCTTTGTCTTTCTTCCCGCCCTTTCGCTCACTGTGCAGGTGAATTCATCCATCGCCCATCCTGCTCTGATATAACGAGTTTTATCGATGGATTTTTCCCCGGCTTGGAGGTGGCTGACTAAATGGCGATTGCCGAGGATTCGGGAAGGAATAGCCGGATGCCGAGCCATCGGCCAAGGCTGACCATGGTGTGGATGGGGGGCAAGGCCAAGCACATAACTACATATTGTAACAAATCATATTTAATATCTATAATTGGTATCATCATCGTACTCCAGCCAGTATTCTCCAACAATTCCAAATGAAAACAAAGAATGATAAGAAGGATAATTCGGCGTGTTCGATGGGTGCCGCCCTGTCTAGCTGCTCGGTCACATGGCGTGCTTGCGGTACTGATTTAGAAACAAAAATAAGAAGAATAGCCGTCTATATACTGTACGCCGCTTTTGCTCGTCGCTGTTGATCCCCATCGTCATCATCATCATCATCATCATCATCAAAACTGGTTAAATCTTCCGCCGGCGCACGTTTCGCGTCTAGACTAGGGATTCTATCACTGCCCCATTTGCGCCATATCGAAGCTGTAGGCCCAATCATGGGGCCGAAAGAAGTTGTCCCATAGATTCTATCCGATGGGTTAGTCGAGATATCGTTGGGAGGTGAAGATACAAAAGAAAAAAAAAAGAAAAAAAAAAGGTGCGAGCCGAATTGTGTGTGCATTTTCAACACGTACCCAGTCAATTTCTTGCGGAAATTGGATGAAGTTCTGAATCGTCATGGTCTCCGGGCTAAAAAACATGGCTTCCGGATCGGCCAAGTCCATCTCGCTAATTGGAATCGGCATAGGGACTGACGTTGCTTGAGGATATACACCGTCTGGATAAAATATGTGTACTGTCGGGACTCCAGTTAGGGATTCGGATCCTACCTCTTGTCAGAATGAAATACACTGAACTTCACAGATCTAGATGATGCCTACCAGGATAAGATCTTGCACCCAGCGACGTCATTGGATTCGTCTGCTCCACCCCCACAACTTCATTCATTATGCCATTCGGCATCGGGAGCATTAACCCCACCTTCTGCAGAATGATATTCATAACTCCACACGCCCTCGCAGCACCAATAGAGGACGTAGCGGAAACACTTAAAATTGCATACGCAGACTCCAACAACTGCAACATCTCCGACCTTCTCTCCGGCGTCACGCTATCGACGATAACATCGCTAGCAACGCCAACACCTTGCCGATTTAGACGGTCAAGGTATAGGCAGAGAATCATTGCAGCAAGGAGAGACTCGTGCGCTATAAGTGACATTCTTATCCAACTGAGCCGGTGTAGTATGCCTCCTGGTTGCAACTCCTGATGTAGGAAGGCCTGCTGTCGTAGCGTCGTCATTGCGGCTTCAATACATGTCTGACGCGAGTACGTGTATTGCGGATTGTTCCAGGAGATGGTGTAGTATTTGCGGTGTAGCATGTAGCGCCCCTTCTGGTAAATGAGATCAAGTATTAAACGGCGCATGATTAAGTCTGGTGTTTCGGCCACCGGGAGTGTCGTAGGATCTGGCTTGGATACTGTCGGTATGACTCCGTAGCTGTCCTGTAGGGCCTTGTCCAACTTCAATATTTCCTCGTACGATGCAAGCTCCTTCGCGTTGTTCAAATCTACAATAGACCCGAAAACAATTACCAAAGGCCTCTTTGCAATGGTGTATGCTAGCCTCGGGTTGGCTAGGTCCGGTCTTGAGGGTGGGAGTTCCACAGCGTCTTCATCAATGTCGTCATCGAGGATACAGCGAGGTAGTTCGACATCCATCTGCGCCGGTTGTATCATCCGAGGCAAGCCAGCATCTATTGACGTGAGCAGATCCATATGAAATAGTACCGTCCATGAACGTCTTCGCATCTCGCCTTCGAAAACGGATAGACTAGGATGGTGTCGAGGGTCACGGTGGTACCCTTTACGCATAGCGATGCGAAGGATGACCCCAAAGAGAAGCCAGCAAGGTAGTTGCATATCCGGGTTTCGGGTATATTCTGTGAAGAAATATAGTATCAGAGCTTCGACTGCGTGGGGTGGGCCAGTGGCGTAGTTTCCGGTGAACAAGCAGTGAACAGCCATTTGGCGATATTGGTCCATTTGATGGGCAGGTTCTAGAAATGATTCCGGCATCCGTTCGCCAGAGTGCATAGCGATGCACACGGCACTGCACATCATACTAAATAACCCGCTAACCCATGTTATCGGCGTAGACCAAGGATCCTGCCAGAATAAATCATACTGGAGCAAGGCAGACGCGTTAGCAACTGGATAGCTCACTAGAACGGGAAACGGAAAGCATCATAGATACGTACCTGTTTTCGAAAACTTGGACGATGGATGATTACTAGTCGTCGCTCAGTTATGCACAACACAATTGCTAAATAGAGGGGAAATGTGGGAGAAAAAGAAACTCGTACTTAACGAATGAGCATCGGAGCTGAGATATCGCGCAATTAAATAGTCCACAAGTGGCTTTGGGGGAACGCGGTCAAGTATTTCCATCTGCGTCAGCCTCCCAAAGCGGCCACTGAGAAGATCTGTTTCACAATAGCCTGATTCAGAAGCTGTCGTCTCTGGGGGCTCACCTTCGCCTTGACCTGCGAAGTATCCCTTCAATTCACCAATCTGGAAGATCCCAATGGAAAGGGCGCCGGTTAGTTAATATTTCTTACAGAAACTTCACCGATGTGAGAAGTAATAACCATATAGCGCGTAAATGAAAACTTTATATAAAGAAAAAGTAGCAGGTGCAATAGACAAAGGGAAAAAAAGCGTACATCCGCCAAAATCGAAGCCCAATGCCCACTATCAAAATATCTTGAATCACCACCCCTCGGCAGGCCCAGCCTCGGAGCCGATTCTATAGACTCCAACATGGGCATGGCCGAGCACTCACGGCTCCCAGGGCCCGTAGAACCAGAGGTATAATTTTCGAAGCGATATCCCAGATGGTGATCGCGGGCATCCCAATCAGGCCGAAATTCTGACACTGTGCTCCACGACTGACATGATGGAGATCTGTCTCGTACCAACGATAGAACCATCTTTTCCAGGTGTCGAACACGACCTTGCATGGTAGCTCTGTTGACTGGCCGATGGGCCGCCCTGGTCTGACCCTGTGGCGGGGGGTTGGCGTAAACACAGGTATCCCCACGGCCGCGGGTTGCGCAGTTCTCGCATGGTAGGTTGCGGTCGCATTTGAGTCTTGGGTCTCCTGGTTAGCTGAAGGTATCTGAGGAAATAAAAAGAAAACTTCTTCGTCTTCTGATTTTTCTTTACCACGCACTTCTTTTGCCGGCATGTTGTACATGATAGTTGAAGTCTCTCTCTTCTTCTGTGGGGAGGTTTGCGGGGAGGGGCGTCATCGCTAGGGGGCGCCGCGGTTGATGAAAGGTTTAAATTAACCATTGTAGCAGCTGGGACTGAGAATCAGTGAGGTAAACTGAAAACACACCCATAAGTTGATTGTTACCCCAAAGAATGGCTGCCTAGTCAAGTTATACAAAACGAGCACCTTGGGTTGAATAAACAGTGATGTCCCCGGCAGAATTAACATCGCGCTGTGCATGCGGAGTCCAACCAGCGCACACTGGGGTGTATACACGTTTCTCAGCCCTGACTTGGCATAAAATCCATCCTGGCTGAATGTCTAATATTTAACTCTATTGACTGGAAAAGTCTCCGGGAAACCATAATATCAGAACGATGATAATTCCCTCCAAGGATCATCGCTTGGCGGGCCTGGAACATTAGCACTCAAAAGCGGGAAAACAGGCGAAAGGCAGGCTAGGGGTTGATCAAAGCAATACTCCGTACGGAGTACTAAGCGGAGTTTCCCGAAGAAGAAGTCAGTCCTCGAATGTCAGTCAAGATACTTTGAGCGAATTTTTCCCCTGGATTGCTGGTCAAATAAGCAGCGCGGGGATGGCCCGTTGCGCTCGTTATCTTATTCTTGAAACTTCAGTTATGCATTCTGATTAATTCCCGAAGAGCAACAGACCGACCTGGTGATAACTGTGAAGAGGATACTCCGTATATTGCACCATTATGATTATCACTGACTCCTTGATTTTTTGAAGTTTCCTCATCAAGCGACTGAAATTAGGCTGTTTTGGGATGTAGGCCTTGGGTTCTGAAATAGATATAGTTAGAATTAGGATGATAAGTCCGCTCACTTTCAGTTTTTTAAGTATTTAGGGACTCACGCTATTGGATCATAGCCCGCCCAGGGGCTTCGGGACAACAAACTCTTAAATAATGGTTAAATGGTCAGATACGCTGTAAGTTGGAACTTATTAGCCTGTTACGCTAATCATTTAGCCACTCGCCATGTGGACTCCGTAAAGTGTTATGCTTAGGAAAATTGCCGGCACGACTCGGAGTTGTGGGTGTCGGGGAACAAAAACTTCAACGGGAAACTAATAATAATATAAAGAGAGTGAGGGAAAGGGAAGGAAATCAGTCTATCGACCGGCATCTTCGTGCCGACTATAACCCCAGTCTTCAGATCCTGGTCCCATAGCCACACGCACCTACGCACACACCAACACTCTTTGGAATTGGCAATTTACACGGCTGTTTCCGTCTCGTTCCTAATCCCCTTGCAGGTCCCTTAGCTGACTAACCAAAGTGCTTGCAACGATCGCGGCTGTTCGCTGTTTCTCATCGGCATGCCTTAGCTTTGACCAAATATTCCGCTTTACGGCTCCGTTAATGTCGTTTGCCGGTCTACGGCGTTTAGGGCTGAATGGCAGCAATAATGCTAACGATCCTTCAACGGCGCATCTAACATTTTTAAGAAACGACGCTAACGAAGGAACCTTTTCACCGCTAGGAGAGTGAGACCCGCATAAGGTAGCTTCCTCTTCAGACCGGGGGTTCGAAACGATTTCCCCGATCGGCTGCAAGCGGGTGTGGAACAAACTTAGGAGCTCTCGTACGTAGGCAATTTGTTTAAGCTGTTTGCTGACCGCAAGTGCAAATGTGGCTTCTGCCTCCCTCCACCAAGCTTCCGAAATTGGTTGTCTTGGGATCGGTCGCTTGAAAAAATGTAGGTTTAGTGTCGCCATAAACCGGTCACTCAAACTGTCAAGTTCGTTCTTGGAAGAATGAACCAGTAGTCTCTTTATCCGCGCAAGTTCCCTGTCAATATCGTCCAAGGCAACTGACCCATGCCAGAAGAGAGATTCAATCAGCTCTCTAGCCTGGCGAATTACAACCAAAGCATTGTTGCATTCGAATTCTAGTTCAAGTTTTGAGCCCATGTCATCTGCCAACAAGCCACAAAGTTCAACAACTTCTGACTCGCTCTCCTTTAGAAGCATGGGAAGCAGAGAAGCAGCTTCGTTCGATGGGTGGAGTAGTTGACCAAGTCTAGCGCGAGAATCTAAAATAAGCTGATACCGGTGCGGTAGTTTTGATCGGTAAGACGTCTCTGGCCCTGACTTTGTTGCAGATGGGGATTCTGTCATGCTGGGAGAAAGTAACGTCGTCACCAAATATAGCGCGCAGAGCAGCAATATCCCCGCCAATAGGGGCTTTCTAGAATATTCGCGGCTCCCTAAGCGGTCTGTGATATTAGAGGACGGTCTTCTGCTTGGTAGAGCCTGGATCCTTCTCGTTACATTATTGTGAGGAGATTTTGCTGGCACCTGAGTGAGTCGGCTCCCTGGACCTGGAGGATTAGCCGCCTGGGTAGATGGATGACGGACGAACGATGAGCCATCTGGAGAATATTCCTCGTGTATAGATGGCATAATTAGCTCTGGGCCAGGTGATGATACTATGGATGCATCCTGAAGGAAATGAGATGGCTGCAACTGGCTACTGTTATCTGGCCCAGTTGAAGGGTTGGATGATGGAAAATCCATCTCGGAATAGATTTCATCGTCACTATCAATACAGGTCAACTGATCTGCGTCTTCTGGAGACCAGCTCGCCCATGATTCTCCAAGAGAACGGAATGTCTGAGACTGGCTTGAGGATGCCATCTTGGCGGGCTTGATAGCAAGAGTTCTCCAGTTCTTCCAGATGCGGAGCAGAATGGGGTCGGTAAGAAGAGAGTACTATCGCGAGTATCGAGGAGGACAAGGAGGAGTTTGATGGTATATATTTGATATTAATTGCTTGGAGAGCTGGTGCCTAGTTATTTAATGAGATCAGCAGCAGCCTAGGCACTACAAGCAAAATGGGGAATAAACGCGCTTTTATAGGTTTTCCCCGTAAATATATTCACATATTTATTTCCAATACTTAAAAATGAATGTGTGAGAGTTGTGTGTGTGTTGCTATGTTGGTGGTGAAAGAGGTTGATGTTCTCTGCGAGCACACGCGCCTGTTTTTCAGAAAATTCGCGCGTTGTCCCGAACTTTCAGGAATTTTTTTAAAATATTTAAATAAGCCTACGATCATCAAATTGTTAAATAAATACTCAAGCGACCAAACGGCAAAACATCTAGCCACACATGCGGCGGCCCAGCATCTTCCCAGGGCGATGGCGCTGTATTTCTTTCCAGCCCACAGCTAACAGCCGCCCTCAAATCATTCAGAGATACCATCACCCATCTAGTCTCGCTGCGAGAAGTTGCTCGTGTGCGGTATCGCAACAATCCCAGGCCACCTCCGGTCAACTGCTCAACAACAAGAACAACAAAAACAACACACCTCACCGTGACACCTATCTGCAGACGCCAGCTGTTTCTCCAGCAGACCATAGAGTAGTAGGGACGGCGCAAGAACTCTTTACCACCTCCCCATACAGCCCGGGATCGCCGCTATTCCTCCCAAACGGAACACATATTCTCAACAAACTCACCTCCTTCCTCCGAGCACAGTACATACAATACGGCTTCCGCGAGGTCCTCACACCGAGCATCTATAAAAAATCTCTATGGGAAGTTTCCGGCCACTGGCAAAACTACAAAGATGACATGTATGAGGTACGGGGGCGGGGAGCAACGGGCGAACAAACGGCGGGGACGGAGATTGGCGAGGACGAATCATACGGCCTTAAACCTATGAATTGCCCCGGCCACTGTTTACTCTTTAAATCGCAGAATCACTCCTATCGCGAGTTGCCGCTCCGATATGCAGATTTCAGTCCTCTTCACCGCAACGAAATCTCCGGGTCGTTAAGCGGACTCACCCGCGTCCGCCGCTTCCATCAGGATGATGGCCATATCTTTTGTAGACCGCAGCAGATTGGCAGTGAGATTGAGTCCGCGTTGAAGTTCACTGATACTGTTATGAATATATTTGGATTTGAGAATTACAGACTTGTTCTTTCTACGCGGCCGGAGGCGGATTTCATTGGTAGCCTTGAACTATGGGAAAGTGCAGAACGGCAGTTAAGGAATGCATTGGAGAAGAGCGGCCGGTCTTGGGAGCTCAATGAAGGGGACGGCGCGTTCTATGGGCCTAAAATTGACATGCAGGTACAGGATTCGGATGGCAAGTTCCATCAACTCTCCACCATTCAGCTAGATATGAACCTCCCGCAAAGATTCGAACTGGAGTACGCTGTTGCGGAGGGTGAGGAGGACTACAACCCGGAAACTCCTGGAAGAGCAGTGCCCGTCTTAATCCATCGGGCAATTTTCGGCTCCCTTGAAAGATTCTTTGCGCTTTTAATTGAGAAATATAACGGCCGATGGCCGTTCTGGCTCTCGCCTCGCCAAGGCATCATCCTGACTGTCTCGCAGGACGAGAAACTTCTCCGCGCAGCGGAAGATGCCGCAGCAAAAATGTCCGGCTATCAAGCCCACAGCAGCAGCGAGGATGCCAATTCTACCACAACGACAGGGCCTCTGAAACCACTCTCACCGGCTCGGACGACGTTCAGTATCGATCTGGATACCTCAGCTCGCCCTCTCGGGAAGAAAATTCGCGAGGCCAAGGAAATGAAATACAATCTTATTTTCGTACTGGGGGAGAAGAATCTGGCGGATGGGAGTGTTGATGTTGATCTTGGCGGACAAATGTTGCTTGAAAAGGGCGTGGGAAATTCGAAGGCTACCAACCATCTTCATCTTCTTGACGACACCCCTTGCTGGGATATTACCGGAGCTCCGAATTTAACTAATGAAGCTAACAATGTGGCGAAGGTGGTGAAGCTGAAGATGAAGGTGGATGACGTCTATAACTGGTTATTACGGCTGGAAACAAGGTTCCACTGAACCTGCGGCTTGGAGCTCTATTTTGCTGTTTCCTTTTCTATAGCTTTCTGGATGGGTGTGTGGCGTATGTGTGGCCCCTAGAATCAGAGCCCCCACCCCTTGTACTATATTCAAATGCCGGCGCTACTTTGTTAGAATAACTCGTTAACACGATCTGCATCATCAGTCTGAATGTTCTGCCTTCGACCGCTGCCACAACCTAGCGGCGGAGCATCCATAAGTGCCATGCCTGGCCGCTTCGCATTGGCTCTATATCCTAATTACATGGGGGTCAGATGCCCTTCGGCCGACCACCACGACGTCCCTAGAGGCTAGAGCTCGCTATTTCCTCCCGGGCAATGTCCAGGAGGTCGCTAAGACTTTAAGAATAACTCAAAGATAGTCAGTTCACACCATCCTCATCCACAGCACATACGTTGAGTTACTTGACCGGGCATTAGTCTAATTGAGTCTCTCTGTTCTTTGGGCGTGTGGAGAGGAGATTATTGGCGGATAAGCAAGGACGGCGATCCACTGTCCACTTCTCACCGGCGACCTACCTGGTATACATGACCAGAAAGGGTCATGGAGAGGCGCCTGTGCAGCCGCGCATCGCGGATGGTGTAGCTAGAGGGAGGGCCGGTGATGAACCATGATGCCCACTACTAAACCACAGATCCCAACCTTCTGCCGCTCTTCTACGCGGGTTCCATGCGGATTCTTGCTGCCGAACCTTCCCCAGGTGAGACGCCGTGGCACCAGCGACATGCAGGCGATGAGGGCGCATACTCTCTAGTCGGCTCCACCATCAGAGTTCAAAACACAAGAATGATTCCTCATCATGACAGGGAGTGTGATCATCCATCGTTGTCAGGGATAAGTATCTTTGGTGCGCGGTCCCACTCGCCGTAGGCCCTTTGCGTCTCTAGGTCGGTTAGAACGTGTAGTCAATTCCACTCAAAGGGGAGGAAATTTGGAGATGCTTTGGATGTCTTTCACTGCTAGGACTGCAAGTGAGTTGAGACCCCTTGTACATGTACATACATGTACATACATTTTCCTCTGACTGCGTACCTTTAATAAAGTTAGCACCGCGTCTGTTAGGTCGTCATATCTCAAGACAACAATAGCAAAGAAGGGAAACAAAACAAGAGTTGTACAAATCTGTATGGAGAGAGAGTAAGCTTGCTCAAGTTGCCTACTAAGAGTGTACGTTAATAAACGGGAGAAAATAAACAAATCAGTCGGCAGCTGAGCAATTATTCATACCAAAGAAGAACGAATATTGAATCTTTCTCCGTCTGAGTCCCCAGAACCGATAGGGGTCTTCGAGTAAGGGGATTCTTTCTGGCACCTATCAAAGATGGCATCCACGCTTTTGATGATCTCAGGCCCGGAAATAATAGAGTGCCGTTTTCTCCTTGACATCAAAATTGCACACCCAGATACCTGCGGAATCTTTACAGCTGGCTTGCACGCATAGCTGACCATTGACTTCAATGTAGCCTGAAATAGTCACGAAACCAGTCACCTTTGTCAACCAGCTTGCGAATGAGGTATCGGTGCATATGATTATTCTCCTTCATTAAAAATGAACAGTTGGTTAAGCCTGTAAGTGGCCAAAAGATCACATATTGCTGCTTAAAGTCAATAAAGACACTGAACTCATTGATATCTAATCTAACCACTAGTTAGAGAGATTGAATGGGATTAGCCTGAGCTGTGTGAGTTTATTCAATCATATTTATTCAGCTCATAGACCTGTTAAAAGTAACTAAGTGATAAGATGAGAGTGGATATGCTTACTTCAAGAGTGAGAATCTGATGAATCACGTATAGATCACTCCGTAGAAGTAGTAAATATCACTACGGAAACTATTCAAGAATTAGTTCCGGATATCAGCATCTCAAGACATAAATAAATAGTCAATCCTCGCGATAAATCTCCGTTAAACCTCACCAGCTGCTAGACTCATATAACTAGGGCAGTTTAATCTGTGCTTATAGTATAGTACGGAATATAAACCAGACTGCTCCATTTATTAAGAATCAGAATTTGAGTTGGTACAAAGCTGTCAGACTAGCGATGTAACATTTCTTCTTATAATTCGTGTTTAAAAAATGCGGTAACTACTCCGTATGTTATATACAGTCACCGGCTAAACGGTGTTCCTTCCGAGCCTCTATCTCCGGGCTAACGCCTCAAACTATTCCCGTTCTGACCGACAACCGCTGGGAAACCTCGCCGCTCGACTGCGCGGCCCTGGGTTGGGAATTCCGGGAGAACGGGCTAAGGGCAGTTTCGAGACAGCCCATTCTCGAGATGGGGAATTGCCGGGGTTTTTCTGGCATTATTTGATTGCTCCCCCCGGCTTCTGTTGTGCCCCTCACTCAGCCCTTGAGAGAGTACCCCCCCTCCTTGGACTGTCTTCCTCCCTGTCGCTTCCATCCGATGTCTGAGAAGCCAGCAAAACCTGGCTTGACCAGGAAGAGTGCCTTCTCCTGTGAAGCATGTCGCAAACGCAAGGTACGCGGTGCGGCTGTGGTTGTGGATGCGGTTGTTGCGTGGTTGTTTATCCCGCGTTTTTATGGCTTACCTACTCCTATATCCTTCCGCTCCAAGAAGCCTACACCCCGGTTCCTTGCACGTCAGTTTTTCAGGGATCATTGTTTACTTTGAAAGACATTCTTCGTTAACCAGTCCATATCCCTCCCCGACTTGTGGGGAGATCCAATTTTGCTGTTAGGTCAAATGCAATGGAGCCAATCCTTCCTGCTCGCGATGCGCCGCCCGTGGGGAAACCTGCATATATAGCCTGTGAGTTGCGGATAATAAACAGTGGCTTCCTTGGGCCAATAATGGCTTAAACATTTGCGCATTCAAAAAGCAAATGCACATTTTGGGCTGAGCTTTCTTTTGCCTGCGGATCCTTACCTTTCTTTGTTAATTATTTTGGTGCAACCTTGTGCAGAACGCCCACCCTGTCCTACACAAAAACCCTTGAAGCTCGCGTGGCTGAGCTCGAAACAGCCCTCGCAAATCTACAGGGCGGGACTGGGAATATTGATGGAGGACTAGGACAGGAAATTTCACAACAACATCAGCAGCAGCAAATGCATGTCGACGAGCCGCGGGAGAATTTATTGAGAACTGGCGTGTCCCACGGCGTCGACAACATCGAGCATATCCCGTCAGATTTGGCTAGAGGCATTGACAGGTTGAAAATTGGAGATGATGGGCGCATCTCTATTTACGGCCCAACCAGCCTATTCCAGCTGCCCAGCAGTCTTGCGCCTGAGGAAGCGAACCCATTGTTGCCCGCCGCTGCAGAGCTCGATAGCCGAAAGGAACGCCTCATCAACAATGCATGGAGGGAGAGGGCTTTTGAACAGTTGGCCACCATACCAGTAAGAGGACGCAGACTAAATGTTTACATTGTTTCCTCTGCCTTTTTCTTCTTCATTCTTTTAATATGGGAAGTGGAGATATACTGAGCTTCTTATCTTCCTTTTTCTTTCTTTCTTCGAATTAGGACCCGTTTCAATATCTGCTCGATTCGCATTGGTGTTGGATACACCCGCTTTACAACTTCGTTTATCGACCGGCATTTACACGTCAGTTGATACTCTTGGAAAAATTTCACCCTTGCTTGCTTTTTGCTTTCTATCTGTTTTATGCGGCACGTGTAAGGGTGCGTTTTTGCTCACTGGTTGTTTTGCAGGTGACATGAAAATGAATGGCCCGTATTTCTCTGAGATTTTGTTGAATGCAATCCTATCTCATTCAATGAGATGGTGCAAGGATGAGCTAAAAATCACCAAATATATCGACGCGTCCAGCGGCGGAACCCAGTTTTTCGATCAGGCCTGTTCCGGTTTATTCAACACTCTGAAGGCGGGCAATGGCCAGATACCTATCGTGCAATCACTGCTCCTCTTAAGCGCACAAGAATGTGGCCGGGGCAACACTACGCAGGCCTGGGTATACAGCGGTATGGCATTTAGGCTAGTCGAGGATCTGGGTATCACTATTGACAGCAGGAAGTATTCTGGCTCTGTACAGTTCTCCGATGAGGATATCGAGGTTCGAAATCGTCTCTTTTGGAGTTGCTACTTTTGGGACAAATTAGTTTCTCTTTATTTTGGCAGATCTCCTATCATTCAAGATACACCTGTCAGCCCGCCACGGATATTATGTCAGTAAGCCCATTGTTGAGCTCGATTTTCATCTGAGTTACGATGGCTCAAGGAGCTAGGTTTCAGCTAACATGTGTAAATCATTTTATAGTGGATGACACGGCCGAAATTGAGATATGGACACCTCATGGTATTGTCTTCCCCGAAGGCACACACTATCCACCAACACAGGCCTATGCAACGTCATGTTTTATGAAGATGTGCTCTTTAACGGAAATCCTCAACCAGATTATAATCCACGTATACGACCCGATCCGCAAAAGCACAGAGGCTGAATTTCAAACCTGCGTGGGTCAACAGAGCCGCAACCTTGAAGAATGGTGGGACGAGCTACCCGTGTTTCTAAAACTCATCGTCGACTATCTCCCGCCCTACTCTCCGCCAAGCCATATTGTTACGTTGAAGTATGATTCCTGCTCCCTTTTTTTCAGGCCATTGCGGAACGAGGAAATTCCCATTACTTACATACCTCGTTACCGCCGTGTCCCAGCTGCGTATACCACACGACAAACATTCTCCTGCACAGACCAACCCTCTGTTCGAGACCATTCAGGGGTTCAGCCCAAGTGACTAGCAACGCGAAGCCACTTGTCAAGTGCATATCATCCGCTACGTCTATAATCACCCTCTTCGACCTCTACCGACGCACTTTCGGAGACGGACATGTCGTTTTATCTCTGGCGTACAGCATTTATACTGCGGCATCAATATTCTTGCTTGAGATGCAGGCATTGAGATATGCATCCCCATCAACACTGGACAAATTGAGATTCTGCATAGCTGCTTTAACCCGGGTTACAGCCTCTAATCCTGGTGAGTGGCACGCACTCCGTACCAGTTTCTCCCTGCTAGTGGACGAGATGGAAGAAAAGAAACCCAGTCCTAAATCATACGTATACATAGCTAACCAAACCCAAACGCAAAGTGATAAAAACTGCCCTAAAGCTAATCGAACAAGAACTCGAAAAACTTGGTATCGACATCCGCGACCCATCAGCAGACGCCAAGAAATCCCACAACGACAACTCCACTAACTCGCCTTCCTCCTCGTTGCCAACCTCCCAGTCCCCGTATCCTTACGCCGTCCCGTCACATGGTGCATTCAGCTTCGCCCCTCCCCCGCTGACAACTCAGTCTGGCGTTGGTGAAGACCCTTTTCGCATTCTCGCGGATGCGGACCCGTCCTTGGTGATACCGGATTCGCTGAAACAGGAAGGAGTGTATGACATTGCGCCGGAGCTGTTTGAGGCGTTTTCGTATGTGGAGCCGTTGTCGGCTAATATGGGTGGGGAATTTTATCCCGGGTGGGAGGATGGGGAGGGGATATGATTTATATATATTTCTTTGCACTTTTATTTTATATCCATGGATATTCTATATCGTTGCGCTGGTGGCATTACTGGTTTATTTTGTGATAGAGAGCTTCCCCTCGCTATTTCATGTCTTTTTTTCCCCCCTTCCCGTCATTCCCTTCCTTGTTGTGTTGATTTCTGAAAGTTATTTATGGCGCGAAACCTGAGCGATTGCTTTTCTGCTTTGTCCTGACCTGTTTATTTTCCAAGATTGCGTTTTCAGGAGTTGGATATAGTCTCCCTTGGTAACATGTACATACATGTACATGTACATTACATTACATAGTAGATGTATATTAGAAAATCTACTACACAGTTTAGAAAACCTAGAAATATGTATATATTTATTGTGCACTCAATTAAGACCGAAGCTGCCATGTTTTTTCTTTGTCTCCGGGATCGTTAGGCTGTTCGACAGCTGCGATGCTGACTAGTTATTTAAAACATTTGGTTTCGGCGAGATTCCGAACCTCTCCACTGGCCCAGAATACAGCAACAGACACGGCCAACAGTCTTCTGCAGCTATTGCTGCTGCTGCTGCTAGCCTAGTGTAAATAATCCCACGCTCCAATACAGAGCACATCAGTAACTGGCTCCCAAATGGGTGTACTCCGCGTCAGAGCCCTTCCCTCCCTCCAGCCCATACCGCGGGCAAAGAGGCTATGGCTATCGCCCAGGGGAACCCAGAGACCCCTATCCTCGTCCTCCTCTACACATACGCCCAACTCCATGCCCCAGTGTCTCCCAGCAAACTCTTGGGATAGCCACATGCATATCGTAGAGCCCTCTCGCTACCCTCTCTCCGCAGCCGCCGCCTACACCCCTTGCAAACCCCACAACCTCTCTGACGCCCTCGCCTTCGAATCAACCCTGGGCATCCGCAACTTAGTCCTCGTCCAGCCTTCCATATATGGTTATGATAATTCCTGTCTGCTCGACGGCCTCAAACAGCTAGGGCCTAAACATGGTAGGGGTGTAGTTTGTTTCAACGCGGCCGCCATCATCGATGAAGAACGGCGCCGTCGCGATCACGACGACGAAGGCACTTTGGCAACCTGGCACCGGCTTGGGGTGAGAGGGGTAAGGTTGAATTTTGTCTCCGTACCTCAGCAGCTGAGTGTGGGAGAGCTACAGAGCATGCTACGCCGGTATGCAGATGTCATCCGTGACTTGGGCTGGGTGCTACAGCTCTACGCGCCCATGGAGACCCTGCCACATCTCGTACCCATCATACCCCAGCTGGGCGTGAAGGTATGTCTGGATCATTTTGCGAAACCGACACTACCGTTGTCGTCATCTTCCTCGCCATTTAACCCCTACGCCTTGCCTGGGTTTACCGCACTCATTTCCCTGCTGGAGCAGGGCAGTACATACGTCAAGATATCCGCACCCTACCGGCTCAGCGATGACCCGCAGTTCCAGCACCTAGGTGTACTGGCGCGCAAGCTGATGCGTGCGGGTAGGGAGAGGTTAGTCTTTGCGACGGATTGGCCACATACGCGCTTTAAGGGTATCGATATTGCGCCGTTTGCTGAGACTTGCCTGAGATGGTGTGCGGAGGAGGACGCCGGTATGGCGGAGAGGCTCTTCCGGCGTAATGCGGAGGCGCTGTGGGATGTTAAGCCAGAGTGAAATAGGCTCCTCATGTGGGAATCGACATGGCCGCGCACGAAAGCAACTTTCGCGCATTCAATCAGCGAGGGCGATTGGTTTTACTTGTTCAGCAGATATTTAACCACCCGCGCTATGGGGATTTACCCCTCCATTCCTGAGAACATACCCCCCGTCCCAGTGCCCGCCCCGCCTCCCTCTTCGAAGGCCATCCAGCACGTTAAACGAGACTTATTAAGGGGGGAAACTTTCTGAATCCCTAGAGCATGGAAAAACAACAACGAAAATGCACCAACCCACCTGGGCTCAGCTTCTACTCATCCCTTCACTTCCCTCGCCACAATGTAATTATCATAACACAACTTGTACATGTACATGTATCTTTTTTATGCGCTCACCATGTAAAAGAGGAACTATTTAAAGGGGGAAAAAATAATATCTTCAACACAACATCAGATATAAGTAGAATATCAGTAAAATACGCCTATTTTTGAATGGAGAATATTGTACGCAGGATTCTTTCAAAAGTTTGAATTGGCATCAAAAATTTAAGCTGTAACTATCTCTGTTACCAGCATAAAGTATTTCCGTTCTCTTATCCAGAGTCGGGAGGTTAATGCCTGTTGCGTCTGAATATTTAAACATCTAACATGATCAACCTTCGAACTCCCGCGCCTATCGAATGCTCGGCCACCAGATCTATCTTACTTCATTCTTCAGCAATGCAGGAAGATATTTATGTACATTATACTCCGTACATATGAAATAGATCATATAAATTTATATAGTTCATTTGTAAAACTGTTGTTGAGCGTAGAATGAGAAGTAAAATATTGTGATACAGAGAGACATCCTTTTTGAGTCTTCCCAGCCGGCCTTTTCAGAAAGGGGTATCGCATGTGGAATATATGAAAAAAAAGTTATCTTCCAGTAAAAGCTGGAAAATATCCTATATTTTTCTGCTTGCAGGATTTAAGAAATCTATGCATGCACTGTATGTACTCTGAGATTTTCATGATTTTCATTTTGGAGAATAAATTGCCTCGTCTTCTATTATCAAAGGAGGTAACTTAACTATCAAGTTCCTTTTTTTTTTTTTTTTTTTTTTTTTTTTTTGGAAAGGCAAATATCATTCCGTGGCTTGAGATACTCTCACAAGATAACCCGCACCACATCAAATCATCATACCATCATACCTCCCCGCACCAAATATCACATATCAGATAAATTCTATTTCTCGCAAATCCACATTATCACTCCCTCAAACATCCCACCATCCATTCCCCTCTTTCATTGAGTCCCGTCTATATCAGCTCCCCCCTTGCTTTATTTGTTCCCAGAGGCTAGCTACCTCCTCAACTTTCCACTTTTTCATATTCATCCCTGCGAATACCCAACAGCCCTGCTATCGCAGTAATAATTCGCCGACGGGTCTGGGGGGAACTTGGGATCTCTCGGAGATTCTGGTTTCTAGTTCGTTCGGGAAAGATAAGGATGAGATATGGTCGTTAGAAAATCTAGAGGGAACAGGACAGATCAAGAGGAAAAAAAAAGTTGCAGGAAGGGGGAGGAAGGGTGAAGAGTATGTGATGCTATAAACCAGTGGTGACAACAAGGGGAGAGATGAATAATGAATACCATTGCCTTGCAGCATCGAACAGCTCTTCCGTCGATACAGTTATCGTTTCTAGGTGCATCAATGCCTGTTGGTTTGAATCGTTTTCCCGGGCGGAGGATGTTCTGTTAGTCAAACTTGCTTCTCACTAAAAAGGACTCAAGAAACAGAGAGCAAAGGAGAGGGAGTATCGTCCATGTCTGTGATTTCAAAACGTGCACTACGAATAAGTCTGGCAAGAGAAGAGAGAAAAAAAAAAAAAAAAAAAACCAACAACATAACATAACATAACATATAAAACTCTCCGCAGGAAGAGACACAGGCAGAAAAAATGTATATATACACTCAACCCCAATAAGCACAGTCGGACTCTCACGGAGCCTCGCATATTTCCCGCAGCAGAAGGGCCCACGTTCACTAGGACAGGTCCATACGGCGCTTACAGTGCTAACGAGCGTTGCTGCCACCACAATTGCGATGATGGCACGCGTGACGCTGCTGGAGCTATCTGCGCGCATTATGGTTTTGGACGGTAGCTTTATCTCTCCTCTGTAGCTGTTGTAGGGTATATAAAATTGTTGGAGGGTTTAGGGTTTCGGTTTCGGTTTTTTTTTTTTTTTTTCAGTTCTGATAGGTATGAGTGTAAAGAAGCAAGATGAAGGAGAGAGAATAGAACTGTCGATGCTGACATTGATGTTGATGTTGATATTGAAACGATCCCCTCGTCAATTTTAAGCCGCATCACATGTCTAGTATAGGACGCGTATATGGTGTGAGGCAGGCGCGCAGGGCACAGGAGGGAGATATCCCATGATTTATTTAGATATCTGCCCAGTTTATGCTGGCAAGGGAGGGGGCCACATGAGGTGTCTCGCATGGCCTTGCAGGCAGGACAGTCCAGGATTTCACTGGAGCCTTTCGTTGAAATTCTCTCCCTACTTTGAAGGAATAGGTGGACATGCAAGTGTCCGGGAAATCCGGTGGGATTTGTCTTGCGGCTCTGGCTCTGGAAAAGGGGTGTATGTTGTATGCAACATCTGAGAAAATGGCATACATATTAGATATCTATTTCCGCTCAGAACAAAGCCATAAAAATAATGGAGGCATAGAAATCGCAGATGACAGGCCTGTTCCGTCACACCTGTTGTAACTCATGATCTAAAACTGTTGTGCCAGATACATATGCATATGCAGATCTATGGCCATCGATGTTTACGCACACCGCTAAATTGAAACATGAAGTCGAATTCCCCGTGAAATTACGGAGTGAAGAGATGGAAAGAACGACAGAAAGAACCAGATGCTTGACATGAGGTAATCATAGCCGAATATTCATAATAAAATCGTAAAGAAAAACCCAAAAAAAAGATATTCTGTCTGTCAAGGGTATTCAGCAAGCCACTAAGATAGTTAAACAACAATGAAAAGTAACAGAATCATCAAAATCAGATGAAGATAAAATAAAACATATACCAGCTAGATCAGGAAGATTTTGCATCTGTCTCATTCGTCTTCAAGCTTTCTTCAAGAGCCTTGCGCAGGTCTTCAGTGCTGGTCTGCTTCTCTGGCTGAGTTTGCTGCACTTGTTCTGAACCTGAGCAGTTCCTTGCACTTTTCCATAGCATATATTCCGTAAGCGCCTCCATCTCCTCTTCATCACGTAATTGTTCCTCAGCATAGCTTCGAATCGACTCGGCGAGCGTGCGTTCAAGGTCGTCATTTTCATCTCCCACTTCGTCTCCATCCTGATCCGCTTGGTCGGCGTAAATATTGGGTGTGGGCGAGCTAGGGGGTGAAGTTGTGAGATGTTGTCCATCGAGGAGAATATCCGGACGTGTGTGGGGATGGGGCTGAGTGTGGTGGCAATTTTCCCGTTGTGCTCGCTGCGCTTCTTCGATACTCGCCTTGATTGCACGCGTGTACGCGTGTTCCTCACTTTCCCCATCCGCCTCGGCTGCCTGTAGTTCAAGGACGCTAGCACGGAGGGCACACTCGATCAACCTAGCTTCTTCGGCGTCTGTACAGGATGACTGTTCAACGGACTTATGAATTGCTTCTTCAATTCCGCTGGCGACGGATGGGCACATGGTATTTCGTCGTGGGTCATGATGATGATGATGATTATCAT